TCAGAATGTCAGAATTTGTACTGTGGTATAAGTTCGTTGTTGACCTTTGGTGGTTGAATTACCCCGCCATAGATAGACGTCCGTTTTTTATCATAGTGGCCAATTGAGTCATATATGAAATAATACTCAGTAGTTTTTTAGCATAGTGAATCTGTATAATTAGTTTTGTTAAGTGTTTAACACAGTTTAAACATTTCACCCCAGAACTTGTATTTGGTTACTAAGTTCCTTAGTCCCGAAGGCTTTAGGATGTAAAGTTGGGTTACCTAAAGTTGTAGGGTTGATCAATTTGTAGTTTGTTGCAAATTTATTCTATTCCCGTGGTCTTTCTGCTGTTTAACCCACCGCCTACTTGGCTGGGATTCAGCACATAGTGGCAATATTAGTGTAAGTAGTTAAGGTTTGCGTAGTAAAATCTTAAAATTTAAAGTAATTTTAGTTTTTATTAGTAAACCATACTTACCTAATATTGCCACTACAAATATGTCCCTCCCTCCTCCTCCGCTTACAGCAGAATGTTCATAATTGTTATAGCGGAATAATTGAGGAATATCCGGGCATTTGTACGGGGGTGCACAGTGTAATATGCTCAAGAAATTCCCGGGAAGTTGGCCATAGATAGATTCAATGGTGGATGTTAGCACATAGTGGCAATATTAGGTAAGTATGGTTTACTAATAAAAACTAAAATTACTTTAAATTTTAAGAATCTCTCTTATTATACTAAGTATATGTAAATACATGTACTAAGTGTCCCCATGGGTGTTTTGAGAAATTGTGCAATTTTTAAAATGAAGCATGGCCTTCAAATATGCCCATTTTCTAAAATATGCCTATTTTATAACCGAAACGAACCTCTCCACAATAGATCTAATCAAAAGGCATGAACATGCAAAATGTCACCACCTGCCATTTGTTACAGACACCAAATGCCATATGCCAAGCACCAAACACCATCGACAGGAAGTAACAATAAAAAAGGCATAAATATGCAAAGTGATGTGCAAAGGTCACCACCTGCAATTTGTTACAGACACCAAAACCGACCACTGTCCACTTACAACTTGGAGACAATATATGTCACCTCTTGTTGGTGGTGACATCAAAGTAACAACAATTTCAGCACAAGAGGTTTTGCTGTTGGACAATGGTGAAAAAAGTTTAGACCATAAGATGGCTAAAATACAGGATGGACCAAAACAAGGTAACCCAAACAAATGTTAATGACTGTCTTCCAAAATGGATTTAAAATCACATTTGGCACAATTGAACCTTCTTCAATATTCTTTCATTCTATTAAAGGAACATTGCGATTTATAGAGGATAAAATGGTTTAAAATAACACTTTTCTGGCTATAGACTTGATTTCCTGGTCTAATACCTTCTTTGGTGAACCTATTTTCTAAATATGCATGATGATCCATTCAAAGTCAATGTTTGACCCATTAAAAAGCCTAATTTATGGTGATAATGTTCTTTTTATGATGCGGGCAAGTCAAAACAGTACTATTAGAATCCATAGTAAGCATTCAAAGATCATTTAGAAGCATTAAAATTGAATCAACAGCAAAATTGAAATAACTGAAATCTGTTACGTCTTCTTCGCAGACGTCACAGAACACACTTCCAGTTCAGAAATCAGTGATTTTATCAATAATTTTTTTATAGGCATATTGAGAGGGTGTTTGTGGGCCTCATACCAACCCCCATTTGCCTCGAACCGCCTTTCTTTATAAGACAAATCCCGGCTGGAACAACCCCATTTTCTTAAAACCAAAAGCTGGGAATGAACCACTCTCAGAAAGGTGAATATTTTTCAGCGAGCAATGAATCACACCTTTATACTAGCTATTTGATGAGTGTGCATACTATATTCCGTAATTTGATTGGTCTGTGGAAACTGTTGCCATCTTGCGAACACCCCCCCCCCCATTCCATTCATCATGGGATAATAATTAGAGATGTCTATGAGCAACAAAGAACAAATTCACCTGGTGCTTCAAATTAGCCTCCACAGATGAAAGTGGAATTTTGAGGATGTTTTGTAAAATAGCCATTGAATTGTGGTCAGTTGAAATAGACCAATAAAATTTGGTAGAAAGAAAGAACATTGAACAAGGTTTAATTGTACCACATATGATTTTAAAGCAATGCTGGACCGAGTTACATTTGTTTAGATTACCTTTTTGCCTCACCCTGTACTGAACACTGGACAAAATGATACTTCAGTTTTGTCACACTGAAATATCAATGAAGTGTAAGGCAAATGGTTGACTAATTCATTAGCCTAGATTTTAATTTGTTTTTTTCTTTCTGGTGGTGGAAAGGGTTAGAAATTAAATCACTCATAATGGAAGGAAACAAGAAACATGGAAATATCTTTATTTCTCTTATATTTTATCAAAATTATGTACATGATAACATACTTTATTTTCTTTATGATAATTACGTCATGTACAACATGACATTGCAAGGTTGTTCTCAAGTTTATAATAAATAAACATGTAATATTGATATAATTTATTTGTCTATGCATAAATCATCAAATGGCAGTTCTCATTAACCGTCCTCTTGTTATTTACAACACAAATCGGTGGAGGGGGTGTGGCACAGTTGGTTATGTTTCATATTCGATAAATTGTACACTTCAAATTTCATATGCCATATTCTTAGAGCCTGATATTCCATATTTTTCTTGGGCATTGGGCCCCATATTCTTAATATTCATTTTCCATAATATTTACCCCTCATATTCTTGATCCATACTAATACTATGCCGTATCCTCTCACAAACTGAGCTCTGTCAATATTGAACTCCTCAATTATGTGTTTAATTTATCATTCTCCTCAAATATAAATGATCATGAGGAAGTAATGATCAACAAAATACAAAAATGGTAATGCTAGTTTTTTTAATATCAAAATAACATGACAATGCCAAAACCATAATACACTAAATACACCTGGTGGTACAGAATCAGTTTTTAAAGTTACAAATTGACAGACTGTAGTCTTGCTAGTAGACTGTAGTCCTAGTGAACAACCCCCCCTCCACTACATACCTCCCCACAGTACAAGGTCTTGTATGTTTCATAGGTCTGTCACTGATATGACTTATTCATTCATTATTCAGAGATCAATTGACCACTAGTATATTGGGAAGACATTACCTGCAGCGGCATAATTTTATAAGTAGACAAAGCCTAATGAGCGTGACTTAAAAGAGCAAACAGAACATTCCTTGCGGGATTATATAGGTGTCACATAACTTTTGTAAAGAAATTTAAAGGATAGGTATCGATATGGAGAACTGAATTCAACAATGTTTTTCTCTTAAACCAATCATTGAAAACATTCTGTAAAAAAACATGGTATTTTATGTAATGTTGACTGATTGACTAATGCGAAAATTATTTAGAAATATTTTATATAACTGTTTTTGTTAAAATTTTTTTTTTTTTTTTAGTGCAATTGTTTTTGCTCCTTTCTACCAATTCTTGAGAATGAAATAAAATGTCTTTCCGAACCTTGTCGGAACAAAATAGCAAATACAACATGTTTTTAGACCTCTCAATATTAAAGTTATACAAAGGAATTTTGGGTTGATTTTAAAAAAGAATTCAAAAAATTAAAACAAAATCCCCCCAAAGTAGATAAAAATAAAGAAAACCTTTTATTTCATTAACAAGATACTTTTTTAAAATCAACCAAAATCTCCTTTGTACAATTACAATATTGAGAGACCTAAATGTTGTGTTTATGTCGTTTTGTTCCAATGAGGTTCGGAAAGATGTTTCATTTCACTCTGGAAAATGATACCAAGAACAAAACAAGTGTTTGATGTGTTTTTTAAAACAATATAGATGAAAGTATGTATATCTATTTCAAATTATATTGTTACCATTCAAAACATGGCCATTAAATTGACAATTTGGAAGATTTTCAGAAATTTTTGATGACTGGTTTAAGAGAAATGTGTGTTCAAAAAGTTCGCCATATCGATACCCATTCTTTGGTAAGAAAAAGGAATATTCTAATCAGTAATAGAGTCATAACTGTTCAATATAAAAACAAGAACCACTAAGAAATGAAGTTCATGAAATAAAGTTTACAAAGGGGAAAATAAAAAGGTCCGAATGAGTCAAACTACTGCCTGTGATCCCTGACAGCAGCACCTGCACCTAGCCAGTCCTTACAAGACCATGACATGTTCGTGAAGCAGATAAGGAGGGGGGGGGCAACAATCTTGAAGCATGACTAACAGACTGAAGAAACTGCAATAACACAATTCTGTATGAATGACTTAAATGAACTGAAATAATACCAGACCCTTGTACATGTTGTATTTCTTAGTCCCCTGACAGAGGCAAACCTTAACAGTTGAACCAAAAACTGAAAATTACACATGAAATAACTTCTTCTGTCAAATGCACCTCGAGAATTGCCTACGTATAGTACTATAAAGAATGGGCCAAAATGTGTACCTTAATATTTCCATGTGGACCCGATTTAATCTAAAGAAGCACTGATGTCAAAAAAGGTAACCGGCATAATCGAGGGGGTACCAGTGCAGCGGGAAGAGGTGTGATGGACTACAGAAAATAGAACTTTGATGAGAGCTTTAGGCTGCAGATTACTGAATTTTTTGAAGCAAAACAGTGAAACACACCAGGTTTTAATTGTAAGAAAAAGTTGGCACCTTTTTGTACAACAGACTTTCAATACATAACAACCTGACTGACTGCAATTATGTTAGTAGAGCTCTTCAAACTTGGAGTTTGGTGGAAATTAACCAAACTTAATGCATAATACTTATGTTTGCAATTACATACATTTTCAAATGAAATACAGTTATATTTCAAACAAATAATTTACCAATGTAAACATGTTGTCTTATACTTGTAATCTTGTTAAGATTTATACTAGATATGCGTGTACTATCAATAGTTATTCAAAAACACAAAAAGTGTTTTTAAACAACTCATTAATAATCTCAGTCATGTTTCTCATTCTGTGATTGGTTATAAAAAATAACAAGCAGCATTTGAGATAAAAATTCAGTGATATTTCCCTGCAATACTTTCTGTTCATTGGTAGGTAAGAGTCATAATTTGAAGAATGAATATCTTCTGCAGTCCATTTTTTTAAATCCCTCTATCAGAATGAGGCTCTAATATGAATAAACCCGATAGTGATTCCAAAAAGCGAATACTTCCTGCACTTTATTCTCCCATGTAACAGAATGAGAAACATGATTGAATAATAAAGCAAATATTTCATTCCATTTTCAGGGAAAACCTTTCTCACTTTCAAAAATACACATATATAATATTCCAAGAGATGCACAGGTATTCTCAGTAGAATGAAGGTATCTGAGCAAAGCTGCAACAAAAGGCCAGTGAGTTGATTTTTTCCATTGCCCGCTAAAAGCGTATATGGTAATACATAGACTGGTTTTTAAGAATCTTGGAAAGGCAGTGCTATAATCAAATGAACAAACTACCCCAAAAATCTAAATCAGCGACAAATGACTAACAAATGCCCACATTCCATCAAAAAGTATGAAAAAATAATGCATCTATTTCATAGGGCTGGCATGGTACAGAATTCTGAACTTGTTCTCTTCTGGAAAACTAAAATTATTTTGGACTTTGTTACTTGTTATAAAAGATACAAGTGAGAATTTTTTTCTAAATATTGATATTTTGGCTCAATTTCTAGTCATGCATTTTCTAAAATCCAGGATTATAACAAAATTCCAGTGAAGTTACATTCACATTTGTTCTGCATGAAGTTCTAACATATTTCTTTTTCAGTAATTTAAATGTTATCTTAAAATAAATAACTCTCATCTGAAACAATAACACTGATTTTAGAGATTTGGCTTGATTAGACCACTTAGTTGGTTGAATGAAAATACTAAGTACCTCTTGGCCAACAAAGTTCCCACAATCCGACTGAAACTTTCTTGAAATAATATAGATAAGATACACTGTCAAAACAAGTTGTACAATCCCAGATATGAACCATTATCATTAGCACTGCTAATGACCAACAGCATATTTATACAAAATCATAAACAGCAAAATAATTACTTTGATTGTTATAACCAAAATTGCCTGTTGTTTTCAGGAAATGTTTCAATTTTAAAATTATAATTTCCAATAGATATGCATGTTGGATTCATTCATTTTGCCTTAGAAATTCTTACGAAATCCCCAACACATGTTGTTTTTGTAGCCCCTGAATACTCTGTTCATAGATATTCATCTGTGTAAAGTCAACATTGGTACACAACTCAGTGGATTTAAGTGGATCTTGTTGAGTGCATTTATGAATGAATACCAAAAATACATGTTATAGAATACAAATATCATATCATACACCTCCATATTCTCCCAACAGTTTGTTTGGTTGACATGGTAAATGTGCATAATTGTGACCTTCAATTTAGACTGACCTAGATATTTCTTTGTAAAAAAGTACTGACAATATTCTTTTTATGATGATGAGATCATGATAAAGGTATTATTAGGTTCACATACATGTTATGGCCTTTCCATTATATTATTATGTAACGTTGATAAAATCTATCATATATCATCAATAATGACATAAGGTAAAATATGGACAGGATTTTCATCAACTGATGGCAATGTTACAGTATCAGTCCATTCTTTAAATTCACCCTCTTTGTTAACTGTACCATTTACCCCAACCCACTTCTCAGAATGCATCTTATTTATACATGTATCAAACTGTTCTGAATCAGGCTCCGGTGGTTTATTAGCACTATGTTCATGTTCACTATCACTGTCCCAGCGTATTGCATCCAAATCTAAAGGGGGTAAACGAGCTATTAACTCTTCTAATGTTTCAGGTTTTGGTGGATCTGGTTTTTGATCATATTCCCGAGAACTTATAGATGGCTGTTTGGTTTCAGTCTCTTGATCATCAACTGATATTTGTTGATCGGGGGGTGTTGACTGAACATCAAACGATCCCAGCTCAGGCGGAGTTAGAGATTCACTCTGTCGCATAGACTCCAGTTTATATGGACTCAAGTCATTTTCAGACTGGGTGGGAGTAATTGAAGATTGTAAGAATTTTTGCACCATTTCAGTTTTAGTTTGACTCAGTTTAGAGCTATGTAATAAAGGGGGCACTGAACCTGGTCCAGTTGAGTTTTTTTTCCGAGGTCGGGGTTTGGCCCCAGCTGGCACCACAGATTCAACTACATCTGCTTCTTTCTTTATCTGATTGTGAGTAATACGATTCACAGTGTCACTTTGAATCTTAAAACCTTTTTTAGCATTCATTTCAGCTATTAGTTCAGCAGTTGTCTTTACTTTTGATTGCCTAGGTTTGGCATCAGTTTTTACACTTAAGTTGGCATGATTTTTAGAAGCATAGTTAGGTGAATCAGCTCGTGCAATATCTAAAATACTCATATTCTGTGCTTTCATATTTTTTTTGAGCTGATTGTTTTGTTCAGATGAAGTATTGGTAGACTCATTTGAATACAAGCTAGTTTGACTAGAACTTGGGTGTAGGGAGGTGTTCCGTTCAGCAGGCCTACCATTACTGCGATCTACTGGACTCACACTTAGACCATTTACAAATTCTGCATGCTTCAATTTGATCTTCAGCGAACCTTCCTTGTCAATATCAGTATTTCTTTTCTTAATCGGGTTATCACAGACATCGTCAGGTAGCTTGCGTTTCTTGCCAGAGGCGAGTAGAGAATTTGTGGAGAGGCTACTGGAATGACTTGATCTTTGCAAGGTTGTTTTAGAGTCTTTTGCAGGTATTTCTGGAGAGTGATTGTTCTGCTCAGCATGCGAGGAATATGCTGGACTGATGGGTTTTGATTTGACAGCATGACCATTAGATGGCGTGGCTGATCTATTGCCCTGTAGACAAGCGGGGGAGATAGGGGGTGTACCAGGAAGGCTAGAACCACCACTAGATGGTGTTACAGGTCTCAATCCTGGGGATATGCCTGGACGACCCATACCTCGAAGAGCAGGGGATGATGCTGGAGATAAACCAGGACGACCAGTACCACAAAGGGCAGGGGATGATGCTGGAGATAAACCAAGACGACCTGTACCACGGAGGGCAGGGGATGATGCTGGAGACAAACCAGGACGACCAGTACCTCGGAGGGCAGGGGATGATGCTGGAGATAATCCTTGGCGTCCCATTGCTCTGAGGGCTGGGGAAGAGGCAGGTCTTGCCAAGCCAGGTGTGGTGGGTCGAAGTGCAGGGGATGAGACGGCAGACCAAGGTGATGCTGGACTCACTGGCATAGAACCATCAAGTCTTTGAATGTTTGCAGGTACACTATTTGGTAATCTGTTAGTTAACCGATCCCCGTTAACTGTGTTACTGTCCACTGATATGAGTTTCTGCCATTGACGCACAAGGCTTTTTGCCCGTCTGGCCAAGTCTTTGTCTGTTGTCTTTTTTCGCATCTCATTGACATGTTTTCCCAGTCGTGTTTGCTGCAAATTAAAAACCACTTTTATACACATATGACACTCAACTGTCATTGATTATCTTCATTATCCGTATTGCATTGAATTATTAAGTATACAAGAATGCACAATTACTGTGTTAAGTATTGATTATACAACAAGAGACATAAATCAATTTAAACAAACTCAATAATGCTGTACTTTATTCAAACATTTAACAATACCCACAACAATGAAATTGAAATACATACATACTTTTCCTGTGAAAATGCTATTTAATATCTACATATTAGGTTAATACCTGATACTAAAGGAATCAATGTTTCATGATATTCATTTTCAAAAATAAGTGTAACTGACATTTTCTCAATATTCAAATAGATTTGAGTAATGTTTAATTTTATCTTGTCAAATGAAAATGTCAAGGAAGAACCCTTTCAAATGTCATCTGATCTTTAAAAAGTAAGGCCATATTTATATTTCTAATACACTATACATCTTTAAAAACAAAAATTGTCTGAATTTTCAGCAGTGTGCCAATTCAGTCTATATACTTAGCCTAGTACTGAACTTACTTCAAGGGCCTCTTTAGTAATGGGGAACTTCTCCAGGAAGCCGATGACCTCGAGCACCGTGGACAATTCCACCACCTGGAAATACAGCAAAACATTTAACTACAAATCATAAATATTCTACAGTGTTTTGATACGGCCATTACCTGAGAGTTCCATCTTTTTTGAAAGTTTTGCTGTTTACCTGGCCATCCGAAACAAGACTTTATTCATATGATTTAATCAGTACTAACTGGTTGGTACATGTGCAAATACTTTGCAAAATGCGAGGAACTAGGTATAAAAATACTTCTAATACAAACATATTTTACATAAAATGTTTATATATTTTAGATTGCTTGAGGTCTTGCTACTAACATGTAGTCTCTCATTTATTGGTGCTTCTTTGACATGTTATTTTTTAAAAATGACAATGGCTGAATGCTGATAATAAAACTAATAATTAATCTGAAACATACAGAAGTATTGTATCTAAAATAAGAATGTTTTGTTTTATAAAATATTGCATTGTACATTTTTTTTTTTAGATTTGATAGACTTATATTTTGCTTTAAACTGTATATACAATAAAATGTGCTGACAGGTTTTAAAAATCTCAAATAAAGGACTACAGGTGCATTCATGGGTGTAGTGCAGTACTCTTGAATGAATACTAAGTGCCGATACAGTGCGACCCCAAAAAAGGTAACCAAAACAAACATTTGAAACAAAAGTCATCCAGCATAGATTTAAGGTCAAATGTGGCACATCTAAACCTTGTTCAATTCAACCAAGTTTCATTGGTCTATTCCAAATGGTTACGAATTTAAGTCCACTTTGCAAAACATGCTCAAAATAACAGTCTTGTCCTGGAGGCAAACTCCAACTAAATCAGGTAAATTTTCTGACTACACTCACATATTTTGTAAAACACTTCAAATCTACAGTGATGATACAAATTAATTGATAAGTTGTATAGTTGGCATATTTTCTTGAATTTAAACATTTAATGTCCCAAACTCCCACAAACTGCAGAAAATTATACACCGTAAATCATATTTACCAAAATAAGTGACTCGAAGGCTTCATACCAGCGTATTTAGTCTTGCCTGAACCAGGGATCGAATCCGGGACCTATTGCGTAAGAGGTACCTGCGCTACCGCTGAGTTACACGGGTGGACTATGGATATGTGCCATGTTTTTTTCTATTGATTTTGTTTCATTTCATGGAGTTTGTGTTTCAGAGTAACTACCGCAAAAATGGCAGACCAATGACAGAATTAACAGGTAAAATCACTTCAAAATTTAAGAGAACTTTTTACCTATAATTGCAAAACCTTTGTTTTATTTGTTCATTTTATCTATCAGATAAGAGTCTCAGGGGTATGTAGGCAAATCCATTTTGGTAGGATCGGTCGGAGCACTCTGTTCAGTTTGAAAACTCACCCTTTTTTATTTTGTATCGGCACTATACAGCGCATATTTTCCGTGAAAGTGTTAGATACATTTTTGTTCAGTGTTCTACAATAAAGCTTCAGTTTTTCATTTGTGCATTTAATGATCGCAATGTTGTTTCACTCGCAAAACATGGAAATTAAGAGCATATTTAATTAGCATTTGGATTTTAAGTGTTTTACAGTTTCATTTTCATTCTAATCTCTTTTTTTCGATTCTGATACTTCTAGGGTTGTAAATATACATATTATCTTTGAAATAGCCCCAAAGGTAAATTTCAGCGGGGTTTTTATTGGGTGATTTTGGTATGTTTGGCATTTGGAACATGTTTTGTAAAGTTGTCAAAAAATTGTGACCATTGGAAATAAACCAATAAAAGTTAGATAAAAGTATATGCTAGATCATTGAACAATTGTGCCAAATATGACTTAAAACCCATACTGAATGACAGAGTTATTAAGATTTGATTGGGTTACCTTTTTTGGCTCACCCTGTACTATCTTAAATATCGAAGCTGATGATGTGGAAAACATTTGGGTAAGTGGTTAATTTTTGTATGACAGTGTCAGGCCCTGGCCTCATAAAATCTAAAACAAAATACTCAAGAATGGCTGGAAAAAAATTTGGTCTCAGATTTGGTCTCTAGTAGAAGTCTAACGTTTGGTTTGCTTGTATACACAGTATATAGGCTGGTTTGGTGATGATACCAGTGTATCAAAATCAACTATCAAATATTGATACACCAAGTAATTATTGATGCAAATGAAATCCTTCATATTTTGCCGAAATCCTCAGAATATTTGACTTTTTGAGAATTTATTTCTCTATTTTCAGTTTTGTTCATTTTATCACTGGTTGCTGGTGACATGCACCAAATTTTGTACAAATGCAAATAGAATGCTAACTAGATTATTGCACAAAAAACTAAATAATCTGAAATATACAAATGTCATTCATATACAATATGAATATACTTTTCCATATATTATTGCATAATGGTCTCCTGATTTCTTATTTTTGGGGTTCTACTGATGCAATAAACAGTGTTCGCGTTGACGCCGTTTTTTGCCATTTTTACGGAAATTTCAGAATGTTGGACGTAAAAATCAAAATCAACTTACGTCACTAGGACGCAAAAATTATAAACTGCTTCAAGATAACTTTTACTGCAGCACAGTAGCGGTGAAACATGATTTTCATCAAGATTTTCAAACTCACTACCTTGATATACGAGCAATGATCCAGGTATATTTATATCGACAAATCTGATTGGCTATCATGACTACCGAAGATTAACAGAGTTTCCAGTATGAGACATCGATTTTGATTGGTTCAGATATATTCCGGAAAATGCCGCAATCGAAATGGAAGATCAAAACATACAATATTGCAGAAATCCCCTGTGGTTCCCCACAAATTGAAACGATTGTTTTTCACGATTATCTTTATTATTTCCACTAGAAACCATTATATATTGATCTAATGTTATACATCAAGATAATTGTTTAATGATAGATCGGGGTTTTCCATCTAAAAGTCTTCAGAATAAGGAGAAATGTTAATAAAAAGAAGCAAAAGTTCACGACCTTGACATGACCTTCAAGATCGCAAGTTTGTAAAATGTGAAAACAAAACTCTTAATTTGAGCATTTCCTTTATTCATTTCGGACTATTTTGGTATAACATTACTTAAGAATTGTGTGAAAAGGACCAAGTGATAGATACTTATCGGGAGGATGCATCAAATTACAATATATGTCATTTTTATTCCATTTTAGTGTAAGCACTCTATTATCGCCCGCTTTATTTTCACTTTCACAATATTTTCTTGAACTTTTTGAAGAAATAAGAGGGACCAGTGCGTGAAATAAGGATTTTTTTAACCTAGACATTTTGGCAGGCCAGCCAGATTTAAACAAGCCATATCATTTTTTCTCAGGCCAATTTTTGGTAGCCTGTTTCTTACTTCTCTGGCCAAAAATTTCATTTACCATATTTCTCCACAACCACTATAAAATGAGATTTAGTATAGTACAATATTAACAAAGATAAAACTAATTCCATTGCATCATGTATCATTCACTGTACTTGATGACTTAACCAACAGCCCGGGTGTGTTGATTTCTCCCTAGATTCACCTTACAAAAACATGAGGAACATGTTCATATTGATCAAACTAAATTGTACTGATTTTGGTCGGTTTAGAATTGCTCAGAACTCAGAACCTTCTAGGTATTCAAAAACACATACTATGTGCACAGACTCCACTAAAATTCAAGGTATATATTAGAGGTGTCATGGTCCAAAAAAATTTCAGTACGGTACAGAACGGTACAAATGGTCTCGGGACATGGTACTTTCGGGACGGGACAGGGCACAACATTAAAAAAAAATGATACAATGTCTGATGATGACTGTTTCACTTTCAGTTTCACTTTTCAAAATCATATTCAAAAATACGTCAATCATAATCGAATATAAAACATCTGCCGCAAATGTGATCGGCATTTCACATAGTCTGCATGGTGTACTATCACCAATTCATTTACCTTGTGATATCGGAGTCCCAAAATACTTCCAAACTGCCGACTTTTTCGACTTAGATGCTGGCACGATTTTTCAATTTCTTTCCTACATCCGGCATACTGATAATGCACTCAATTTGCGAACGACATTGAAGAAATGAGTCATTCATAGCCAATCAAAATCACCATAATTTCAACAAACAACAACAGCCAATCGAAAGCCACGTTATATCTTGGGCTTCGGTACGAAAACAAAAATATTTTGAAATTTTTTCAATTTTCAACAAATGTCATGGAATAAGCCGGAAACGCAGGGAATTCAAAGGATTTCCGGACTGAAATGTAAGTTCTATTCATGGGCAATCTAACGAATGCCCCAAATGTCTGGCAGGCCAAAATGTCTGGTTGTTTTTATCAAAACAAGCCATCTATAATTTTGTCAGGCCAATGGCCGATGTCGGACGTCTATTTCGCGCACTGGGGACGCAAAAAAATTAGATGGGGACTCAAATTTTTCAAATGGGTTGCGTCCCTGGGACTCAGAAATGTTAATGGCTAGCGCGAACACTGGCAATAAAACAGCTAAATGGGCTGTAGTTCTTATTCTATATACTTTTTTGACTTTAGTACGAAAGAATATATTCTTTGGGATTCTCTCCAACAAACCTGGTTTCAAAAAAAAGTCATTGATACTTTTAATAAAAAGCGAACAACTCTTGCCTTAGGAAAATATTATGTTAAACATTGGAGTTTTGAACACATTTGATGTAATTATGGTTGTATTTTGAACCCTGCTTCGTGAATTTCCATCAAAATCACCATTTTGGTGTCTCGACAGAAAACATACACTCGAGGATAAAGAGAAGTCCTGATCGAAACAGAAGCAGCTGATAACTTACAGAGGGTAGAGCTTTAAGAAAAATTTGGAGATTATAAAGTAAGCAGATGATTTAGGTTTGAGTTACTCTTCCGAGCTGTCTTGTCAGCTCTGGGAGGCTGGATTGAAAATTCTTGAAGAGAAAAAATTGAGCCCATTTTAACTAAATGCTGTGCTGAGTAGCGTTTATAATACACTATATATTTGAATCAATACAAAATTTATTTGTTTTAACCTTATTTTGATCCTTCAACAGTCTGTTGTTGTAGTAAATAGTGATGTAACGAGTGACTCGGGTAATCGACTAGAACTCAAATGAGCCTAGAAAAATGATCAATCGATTGAAAATTTGAAAATCGTGATCTTGAAAATTTCAGAGAAAAATTGCGATTTACCCTCCATATTCACGATTTAAGCAAGGATTGTAGCTGCCTTAGTTTATGTTTTTCTAATAACTTCTGACTATATTCTGCAGTTAGATGTTGTTAGATCGCCAATTGTATGGGTTTATCGGCAGAACAAAGAGATTTTAGTTTTTACATCGGAAATATATCAGCAATTTTCAAAATGTCGGAAGGGGAATTCCCCAGGGATTTCCCTTATGACTGGTGCATGCCGGGAACTGAATAGAGGAATTTGACGGTTGAAATAAGTTAAATAATACACGCAAATATTGCTATCAAAAACGAAAACCTCTTCGTTCTGCCGATAAACCCATATAATTGGCAATTCAACTACAAAAAAGAATTCTAAAATACTAAGGAATGTATCGAGGGAGGTCATTTAGGTTTACTTCGGTCCAAAGCCTTCTCTATATTCCGGCTTTGAGGAGGAAGATTGAGCTGCCTTAGTATTATAAATATTGTAAATCATTGTGTCACACGCACAGTAAATATGGCATAATAATATGAAATATACCTTTATGTATAAATTTGAAGAACATCAGCTCACATCCCCGTCTGAATCTAGTATTGTTATATTTGATTTCTTTAAGCGAGAATAATTTCAAATGTTATTCACGTCCAGAACCGGAAGCCATTTTTAGCTACAGCGAGAAAATTTCACCATGTGTCAAACTCCGAAATGAAATTTTGAAATATCTAAATCCAGACAAGCAACGCTTCATCCTAAATATGATTAATATTCTTAAAAATATTTATAAAATTTATTAAAAATGAGTTCTAGGTGCGTGTAGGTGCGTATAGCACAGTACATACGAAATCAATGAAGTTTCGTCTAGCTGTAAGCTAGAGACTCGAGTAAATTTAGGTGTGCAATGCGTAGTATTTTCTCAAACTTTGTAAAAACATTGACTGACCAATTATACGCGCGTACGACCACAATCTTAAGTGGTCGTAGAATTCGATAAAGGTTTGAGATATGTATCGTATTGTTATTAATGTATCCTCAGACTCCCTAGTCTCTTTAGCAAGGCAAGCCGATCATTGATGTAGATTTCCTCTTCTGCATTTGAGCCTTTTATTTGTTAGCAAAAGTGCACACATTAGAGCGAACTGTGAACTTATAAGAAACTGCAAATACACATGTGTATAAATCACCATAGGTCAGCATACTGAGCCTAAAGGCAAAATGGAGCATAATGGCCTGATCATAATGCCAGACATGGCTGAGACAGGTAAAACAGCATCAACAACATGTATTTCAATTGGGTATAAAAAATATTGATATCGGTCTGGTTTCTACGTATATACGCGAGATCCATATATGGAAATGATCTTTATATATTCATACACAACGTGGACACAAATCTGAAAGGAGAGTGGCCCGATTTACGGGGAATTTGGGCTCGGAAGGCGGAGCGGATTTTTCCCTCCACATCTGAAAAATGGGTTCTTAGAACAGGACTGCGAATAAGTCTTTCGAGTGCGATTGAGAGATATTTGAAACAGTTTACTCACATTGTTATCCTTGTCTAGTGCCTTCAGTAGCTTATCTTTGATCTGATGAGGATTACACTGCATTTAGACCGCTAGATAGCAGCTAAGTTATAGAAAAATGCCAGACGATCGACCGTTCCCAGTTAACAGTATGGCCGACATCGAGACATTGGCGAACATTTCGCAAAGGCATCTGGGTAAATCCGAGTATGACGTTCTTCTCCCGAAGCTGACGTCAGAGTGAGCTCGTAAAATTCCGCGGAGCACGTGACATTGACGTTTGACCAATGAACGTTGATGTTTTGGTCATATGATCAAATAAAGAAGATGGCGGATTTTCTAAAAAATTTTAAATCGCAAATTTTCATCAATTTGAGTTATTTAAGTCGAATAATGATTGGATTTAGACTTGGAGAAAGGAAATTGAAATAACCAAATAACCTACACACTGGGACAGCACCTGCAACACGTAAAAATTCGATATAAGCTTGGAGAAAATGTAGAGAAATGTTTTGGTGAATTTTGAAGACGAACGACTTGACGAAGTCATATCTTCAGTTCAAAATCAACTTCTCTAATTTGACACCACTTTCTAATTTGCCTCACCTACCTTTTATTATTTCTCAAAACATATTGTCTCAAAATAACATTTGGTGAATTGATGCGATCGATCCTTGGACTTATCCCAAGACCAAATTACATTGGAATTTGGATAAATTTCATCTGAAAAATAAACAACCTACAATAATATGTGGAAAAATATGTTCATATTGCACACTAATGGCATTTGTATAACTTGGATTGCTTGTGAATTGGCTTATAAAATCTGGCACAGGCTTACTGCACCATGGGCTTTCAAGTTGAAAGCCCATGACTGCACTAAACACTAAATAAACCAAAATATATCAAATGTCATGTGTGTGCAGTATGAATACATGTATGTAGGTGGATTGAGATTAGGATGAAATTTATCTAAAAGATTGTATGAATTCACTAATGTCAGGATAAATTCCCAGATTAATCCCACAGTACATCACTACCATGACAAAAATCTGGATTGGATTACAAATCGGATCATAACAATTCACAGCCCCAGGAATTTGGGTGATAAGCAGGGAAATTTTGTAGCGAATTTCACCCGCTAAAAATAACGAGTGACAACTTACACTTCCTCCGAGTGAAGTATTATACAGGTATTCTAGATTTAAAGGGGCAATAAGGACTGTAGAGAAAATAGGAAAGTATTTTCATTTTTTCTGAGCTATCAAGGCAACATTTGGTTTAACATCTTCTTTGACATTCCTATTTTCTTAAAATGTATAGATAAATTATCAATTTCAGCATTAAGAAGTGTAAATTCAGTACAAAGCTTCAAAAAGGGGACTTCCACTTTTATATTTTTAAGATCCACCATGTTTCAAGAGGAATATCAGCTAAAATAATGTTTATCTCAGGGGTTTCTTTGTAGATAATAAAAATAGATGTTAGTCTTGATGAAATATCCAAACTTAAATATATTTTGACACTGGTCCATGATCGTTGAATGACCCCTCTGCACTAATTATTGCGCCTTAATCATTCAAACATTGTTTGCACTCTACAATCACATTTGTGACATTATCACAGTTTCATGGGCCCCAGGGACAGGTATAAAGAATCAAGTCAAGTTCCTTAAGGTCAATCTGTTATATGCAATCTGTATGTTCAGAGGATATTTTGTTCATAAAATGTATGAAAAATTGAACTGAACCTTTAGGTCTCAGGGTTATCAGAAATTTACCAAATACATGTTAGTGAAAAAGCATGCTGGATTTTTGAAATTTTTTTGAACGAAGGTGACAGTGTCCTGTCTTGATCTTCAGTCAGTTTTATTAGTTGAATAGCACTTCCTATATGTAAACATGATATGTAAACAAATATTTTTTATTGCCAAGTTTTAACCATGGGTTTATTTTCATCCAATTTTCAAAAAATGTTAGCCTTGCCCAAGTCGGTATCTTTTACTTATCTTGATTTCTATTATGACCGCCTTGTACCAAAGAGAAAACCACATGCTTTACCGACAGTTTGTTGATGTCGGTAAAATTTGACCAATCAACAACGGCCCTGTAGCGTTAGCTCATTATTATGCACGGTCGAAAACAAGTACACTTTTCGACGGGACTTTTCACGAACAAATCTTGCACGAATTCATCATGAAAATACAAATATTTTATCAGATAAATATCAATCAGAGTTTAGTGGATGGTGGAGCATCGATTGGATAGCCGGAGGTGATAAGATTTCAACAATAAACGTTAAAACGATCGCTTAATTCAAATGATCGAACATGTAGGCTGAGATTGAATCACTGATCGACGAATTTCTATCGTGCATTTTCATCGCGAAATCAATTTCAAATCAACATTGAATCGCATGATTTAATTTATATTAATTACTACATTCCAATGTACATTTAATTACATAATATATTCATGAATGATATTGCAACTCTTCGGAAACACTCAATCATTGAATTTCAAGTCGTAGAGGGGAAGTTTGCTTTGTTTATGCAGCTCAACCTGATAACGTTTTGATTTGTCAATCAGCCTGAAGTCACACGTCGTGTCGTCCACGCGATCTGTCAATCAATAAGGTTTCGCGATACCCCTGATAGCGTAGGTATTATGGAAATCTCGAAACTGTTGAATATCTCAGCATAATATCAGCGGAGATGTATTGGATTGTACAAGGCGGTAATAATTCAAGATCAGATTAGTAAAAAAATACCGACTTGGGCAAGGCTAAAAAATGTCAGAACTATAGGATATTATGAGGTTATATGATGGTTGATTCTGTATATTGTTTATACTCAAGTGAATGTATCATATACTCATGGGAGTATAACGATATACAGAATTAACCATTATATGATCTTATTAGCCCACCCTAAATTGAGCAGTTGTATATCAACTCAAAGAGTTGTATACTCTGCCCAGCAGGAGTTATACGCTTTCCAGGAGTTGTATATCATTCTCAAGCGGTGTATATGATGAGTGTTGGTTTTATATTGCAGTTATAAGATGCTATTATACAATCATATAAAGCACTAAGGGTGGGATAAAGTCTGGGATCACAATTGTCAAAATGACCCTAAACAAATAGCTTTTTGAGCATTCTGAAATGGTGACTGAAAAGTACTTGTAGTTAAAAGTTATCCATTTAGAAAGGTCACTGAACAGAATATTTTGAATTTTTCAGAAAATCTGCCCAATATCTGGCTTGAAATGATACAAGCTTTGAAAATTTGAATTCATTCCTAGCGATAGAGAAAAATGAAAACAACTGATTTGAAAAGAAGTGTAAATAAAGATCATACTTTTTGTTTCAGATAATTCCTCAAATTTTCAAAGCACTTCCTTCATAACTTTCAGTCTGAAAAATAAGAAAATATGATATTTACCATACAATGTATTCTTACCAGAATGGGATAGGTCTAGTTGTGAAACTCCGGCAAACACGACAACGATGACAATATTCTTGACAGGAAGGAAAATAAAATTTAAAAAATCTTTTTCAGGTGTTACACAAAAAAGTGTTAAGTGTACTCATTAATTAAAGGTGCAACAATTAGTGCAGGGGGGCTTTTCAACGACCATCGAGTCATCGACCAGTGTCAAAATGTATTTAAGTTTGGATATTTCATCAAGACTAACGTGTATTTTCATTATCTATAAAGAAACCACCTGGATGAATATAAATAGGCGGTGGTTTTTCAAATTAAATTGAGTGTTTCTTTCCAAACTGATTTGCCTTCAGACGACTTTACTCTCTCTTAAGGATAGAATGCACAAACGAAGCAAAAGTTTTGCTATTGTAGGCAAAAAATCTCTATGTGATTTTACCTGTTATTCTGCATTCGATCTGCCATTTTTATCGGTAATTTAATCTGAGAAATTTACTTTCAGCTTAAAATTGCACTATGTCTCGACAAGTTATTCCCCCTACCCGCTCTCCTGTATCTTCACCCCAACAGACTATTAACCTACTGCAGAAACGCCTTTATTCTGCTGAGGAAGATGCCATGCATTTAGTGGGGACACTACAACAAATGGGGTTCAGGACTAATCAGTCTGCAGTACAAGGGGATGGCCAAGAAGTGCTATCACCATATCAACCAAGGATAGTTGAAAATGAAGTCTTAAAGAAAAATTATGAGTCGCTGGTTTCAAGAGTTTGCAGGACAGAAAGTGTGATACAAACTTTAAAAATGAATCTAGCTGCAGTTCAGGCAGAGCGGGATCTAGGTCAAAGAAAGAATTATGAAGCTAGTGAAAAATTGGCTTTAGCATCTGATGCATATCAGACAGAAATTCAGGTAAGTTTTGGTGCAGTTATGTATGATGATGTATGCATAATTGTACTGTGGAGTAGAGTCATCATTGAATAACATGAAGATTTATTTAGTATTTGAAGAAAAAATATAAACACTTGCCTTCATGTTTTTAAAACGAGAAAGTTCATAAATGTTTGCCTCTCCCCATAACACCTGCTTTCCCCACTTAGTTTGAGAGAACAAATGAAAGGACCACAGTGCAATTATGAAAAATTAAATACAATAAGATGGATGAAATAAATTTACATACTGTTTAGACCTTTGACTATATAATGTTTCCCAAATAGGTACAGAATTCTTATTTTCCAAATTTGACCAAATGCCAGTTTCTCATTTTAAGTGGGTGCAAATGGGGTTTCAGGTTGATGCAAGCCTCTACGATATCTCAATTAGGTGCAGTGGACAGTTCTTGGCAGATCACTGTTTACATTCAATATATTCTAATTACATGATTAAAGTCAGTCAATACATGAATCTTTTCAGAATTTGACACGTGAACTTGTAAAATCTCGGAAGGAATGTAAAGAAGCACAAGAAGTCAGGAATAAATGCCAGGATGATGTTAGACGATTAAAAGAGGCATTGGAAATATCATCAACAGCCAAGGTAGAAACATTGTTTTGTTTTTTGATATGTATGCACTATTAGAGAAAAACTTATATCCCAAAGAATGTGTCTTTTTTAAAAAAAATTATTAAAACTAAGTCAGCCCTCTATTTTTCCAACACGTAATTGTAATTACTCAAACATGATATGTCACCTTCCAATCTACTGTATAAGTATGAGTTTATTTTGGTTCTCTATTTTGATCGATTTGATGTCCATAGTATAACAAAGACTTTTAGTTAAACTACATGTACAATGCTTCTTTTCATTGATTTCCTTTATGATAACATTTCATGATTTCATTCATGTATGCACATTGTCATGTGATATTATTTTTTGTAGGTTGAATATTCTGCAGCTGCTGAGGACTTGAAATATGGCAAAAATAAACTTGTTCGTAGAGTAGCTGAATTAAAGGAGGAGTTATCAAGAGAAATGGGTCTACGTGCAAGTCTAGAGGAATCACATAATACATTAATGACCAGAGTACATGAAATGGAAGACATTGTTGAAGCAGAAAGAAATGAGGTAAAAACTGTATATAAAGTCTTTTAAGCCTTTATAGCAATGATAAACACTTCTATTCACAACCACTGTCAGTAGTACAGAGTACTAGAATGTGCATGATGTACAGGGTGTCCAAGAAGTAACGTCAATCACTCTGGCATTTTGTCATTTATGCTTCAAATGTCATGAAACTTAGTCAGAATGTTCCTTGTACATTTATAAATATAAATATGAAGTATGGAGTTACTAGCATTTGATTGGCCGGTTTTATGGTTACCATAGTAACACAAGTGCATGGACCCCGGGGCAGCTCTGCAATCGGTAAGATCTTTACACTAGCTTTGAAGTGTACATCTTTTATTTATAATATGACCACAAATATAATGTTTTCCACTACACATCATGTATTCATAATATAGCTGTTGCTGGCGTTATATCAGTGTTATATTAAAGTTTATCGAATGTTACTCTACATAATCACCACCAAGTTCCACACATCTCTGGTGTCTTCTTACCCGCTCCAAGAAAACTCTATTGAAACCACCAGAGCTCATTTCTGCAAGGGATGACAGAACAGAGCTCTTAAGTTCCTCATTTGAAGAGAAAGACTGTCCAGCAAGTTTAGCCTTCAGTGCCCCATAAAGATAGAAGTCACTAGGGGCCAAATCAGGCGAATATGGAGCTTGTTCAAGTATGGGGTATTCCTAGTATCTCAATTACTTCCATGGTGTTCCTGGCCTTGTGAATGGGGGCATTGTCCCAGTGCAGTGAAAGGCACAATCCAGCCAGAAAACATATTATGATGTCATAAAGTACTCCAAAGAAGTGTTACCATGGTAACTCCCAATAAACAATAAAACCGTTAAGATTTGAAAAAGTCCCAAGACATTGCATTTCATTTTTGCCAAAGGTTTTACCTTATAATAACCTGATTTACATAATATTTACCAGGTACATTCTGAACTGCCCCGGGGTCCATGCACTTGTGTTACTATGGCAACCATGAAATTGGCCAATCAAATGCCAGTCACTCCATACTTCGTATTTATATGTATAAATGTACAAGGAACATTTTGACCAAGTTTCATGACATTTGAAGCATAAATGACAAAATGCCAGGGTCATTGACGTTACTTCTTGGACACCCTGTATGTAACTTAATTGTATCCCTATTAAGTTCTTTGTCCATTTGACCAATCCTTGAACACACTGCAGAGTTGGCATGGTACATCAATAATTCCATACCTTCTGGGGTTCTAGAGAGATAGTGTGCTGGAAAATGAATTGTATCTTGGGAGCAGAATATTGGCTGAATTTATCCCGCTATTTTTGAGGGCTGGGACAAACAAGAATATCTTTCAAGTCTTTCATTTTAATGAACTTATGTATTTCCTATATATCTCAAAATGTCAGATACTTATGGTATGGGGCATTTCAGTTATGAATGGGCAGTCCCAGGATTTATCCCACAGGAAAATGGATATCAATCCTCCCAGTACATTAATCTTGCTCCACACAAAATTGTCATTCTAAAAACATTAGAGGGTAACTCTTTAACAGAGCTTTTTGAAGTATTGTTAAGATGATAGACAACATCATCTTGGCTTTAATGTTCATCATTCTGAAATGTTTATTATATTCCCCTTGGTGAAGCCTGCTTTTAACATGAATGTATAGAGAGTGGGAAAGGACTTATCTAATCTAAATGTGCAGTTGTTTGGGTTTAGTTAGTGTGTACTTCACAAATAACCACTTGTATATATACTTGCACTGTTTTGAATATTATTTCCGAGAGCAGAATATACCAATTTCTGTAATTCCCCAAATCTCCCATCTTTAATTACTGTACAGACTACAATAAACATCAATTTTACTAACTTTTCACAAATGAATTGGTTATGATTGGCGAGTGTGTTAGAAAATAATCAGATTGCAATCTGTTTGCTACTTTGACAAAATACATAATAATTGTGTGATTGATTTTTGAACTTATCATAGACATCTTGATGAAACAATCTATTCGAAACATAATTTTTTACACCAGATGTTATTTATTAATTCGCAGAATCAGAGTCATTGATTGCGTATATTCTTTTGTGGACTTTTATGATGTCATGACATGACATATTAGTCTGTACTAAATCATATCTATTTAACTACACTTATACTACACTACACCATGCTTCAACATGGTACGCGTAGAGTAACATGTAAAATAGAACACCATAAAATGAACAATAAATATATTTATATTGGAGGTCGGAGGAAGTCTAAGTTGTCACTCGTTATATTTTGTGACTGGAATTCCCTACAAAATTTCCCTGCTCATCACCCTAATTTTCTGATTTTTGGAGAACATGTTTGAGAAACAATAAAAGGTGAGAGAGGCAAATTAGAAGGTGCTGTCAAATTACTTTAGAAGTTGATTTTGAACTGTGAAGTGCAGACATGACTTCAAAGTCACCAAAAAGTTGAGTGACATTTTACATTTCCTCTAACCTTACAGTGTGAAGCATTCAGAAGATTAAACTTTTTATGAGTCAATTTGTTTACAAGTGTTGAAAATAAACTTTCCCACACAGACAATAACATTATTACTGCAATATCAGGATAATTTTTGTCAATATTGACCCTATTGTTCCATTTATCTTGAAAGCGCATGTTATAATGTGCAATGCATTTTTTGTATCAAGATCCTGTTTTTCATTTGTTTATTAAACTATCAAAATATTCTAATTTTTATAATGTTTGCCAAAAACATTTTAATAGTTTTAAGTCTTCTGAATCATTTCACATTCCTTTGTTTTAAAACTTTGAATGGGTTGTGAATGATATATAAAATACTATTAAACCATGCATGATGTCAAGTTATGGTATTTTAATATTCAAATGAAGTTTTTCTGCACTGAATGAAAGGAAAAACATCAATATATCAATATTTGCACTAGTCAGCTCATAATGCAATTACCTATCTATATTATTCTACACATTTTTATTTAAATTCATACATGTATACAATGAAACGGTTATCAGAGCAACACTGAGTATGCATAGATATTAGAAACTGTTGGATACTTGTTAATTAGATGATTGATTTTTAGCTTTTTAAAAGTCATACTGACTTCAACTGACTCAAAGGAGAGCAGAGAATTAAGGCAGTCTTATTAGGACTCTTATGTATTCAGAATTTTGATTCTTCACTAAAACAGGATTGTTGTTACATTGTCGTTTTCAAGGTAACACAGACGCCTTTCTGAAACAGACAAAGGACTAGTCTCGGTTTAGAGAAAGGAGCTCATCAGTCTACACAACGTTACGCCTGCTTTGGACAATTTTGATATTTTTATATATTGTAGATTTAAGTGTCCTCTTTTGAATATCCATAATTTAATTTGGCTGTTATTTCTATATTTTTCATAAAATAATTATGAGCCCAGTAGACTGTTCTCCACACCGAGACTTGTCTTTTTCATTTTAGGTAAAGAGTCTCTCGTCTGACTGCACTGCACTCCGACGTGAAGCTGCCAAGTGGCAAGATGCAGAACAGAAGCAACAGGTTCTCAGGGCACAACAAGAGGAACAACTCACTGCTTTTTTCAATGAAAATGGTAAATACAAAATTGTAAACATGTTTGATAAATAGTGTTGTTAGTTCTACATAAATGGTCTATTTGATATTGCTTTTATGTTTGTGAAACATGAAAAGTCAATTTGTTTTCATGATATAAGTTTACTATCAACCCAAGTCATGATAATGTGCAATTTTTAATCTCATCATTTACTGTACAAGTCAGTATTGCCCTTGCACTATAGGCAACTAGAGAGTATAATTGAAATATGTAAACTGTAAAGTGAATTATTTTAAGTCATATTGCAAGAACTATAAATATTTGTCTCATGTGTAATTATAGATATTGTTATCTCCGCATAGATAGATATCACATTGTTTGTGAAATTAGAATGATAGCTAATTTTGAATAAAAACTGCTACCTGCAGCCTAAAACATCATGAACTTAACCGATTTACCCCAGTTTATTTGATGCAACAAAAGAAGACAGATTTTACTGGGTATTTATATTTTATTGATTGCCAGATGTATGGTATTATTTATTACACTCATATTAAATGTACCAACTCGTTTATTTATAGCAAAGCAGAAAAAAATAATTGAAGAAATGGAGGAAGACAAGAAATGTGTCAAAACTGAGTTTGGCAAGATGAAAGTTCAGTATAAAGGACTTAATGCCCAACTTGAACAGATGAAGAAATTCACAGAGGAGAAACATGTAAGGGCTTAGCTTTACTTCAATTTAATTCAATTTATTTAAGTAAAGTAAACATTTAAATAACAATAATAACAATATATACAGAATATCACATCATTTTGAGTGATATCATTTTTATCGCCGAGTTGATATCAAATATCAACACGAGTGAGCGAAGCGAATGAGTGTTGATATTTGATATCTACGAGGCGATAAAATGATATCACTAGAAATTATGTGATATTGGGTTTATCCCATGATTACGATCACCTTGTGATATAGTTCGTCATAAATACAATTTTTTTAATCGTTATTTAGCAGCCTTCTGATCAAATTATATACAGAATCGTAATTTAATACACCAACAATGAAACTTAAAGAGAATAAATTAACGGACCTATTTTCTCAAAAGAGAATAAATTATCTGACCTAATTTCCAACAATATTGTGGCGCGAAATGCAAATGTGATATCAGACGGATATGCATGAGATAAACGATATCACACGCATATGAGTTTGATAAACGATTTTCTGGAAAATATCACACGGATTTCAGTGATATCAGAAATATCAATAGCTGTTATTGTACAGATAACACATTAATCGTGGGATAAACTGTATTATAGAATTATAGAAATTAAATGGGGCATATACATTTCAGTTCATAGTTCTCATATATATTTGACATATCCAGCCCCAGGGATAGTTTGCATGATACAAGATCTATTGAAGAATATATCTGTATTGTTTTATCTGTCTAAATACTCCATTCTGACTGCAAAGAGGAACTTCATAATTTTCCTGTCTACTTGCTGTTGGCCAATTTGGGAGTACTGTACAGGTATACCTTCTGTATTAATGATGTCTGACTTTAAAAAGGTTATTTGCCTCTATGGTCGATTCCAACTATGTCCCTGTCTCTCCAAATCTGCAGTTTGCATGTTAATGCCTTGTTTACACATACAATCATCTTGTAGAGCACCCAAGGGCAACTTGAACATGAGAACAAGCAGCTACATGAGGCCCTGAGGACTGCAGCTGAGGAGAATGCTAAACTCATTGCCAACTATGAGACACAACTTGTGGTACATATTAGATAATCTAGAAAACATGTTCCTTTGAAGTATTCAATATTAAATATGTGATATGATAAAACTGTTCTCTACTTTTCTCTAAAATAACACCAATTTTGGGTATTTTCGAGCATTAATAAGAAAAAGTTAGAAGTTTGTCAGAAAGTGTCAGTTGTATCACTTTACTTTCAAAAGCCTGTTGTAAAAGCATGTTTGGCATACAGTGCACTTCTTACCTCTTTTTATATGCAGGCTGCAAAGGAGAAAGTCACAACAAGTAACCAACAGCAGGAGACAGTTGAGATACTAAAACAGGAACTTATAAGAGAAAGCAAGGAAAAGGCACATTTCCAGCAACTATGGTAAGTTAGAATCATGGTCTATCCATCTATTGTGCACACTAAGCAGTTATTATGTTGTAAACTCTGAAAATTATAAAGTTGTCTGAAACTCTTTGAGCATCCTTTGTTCATTTACTACAGTAGTATATACTGTAAGACAAGAAGGAAAAATGAAAAATTGTATAACAAACTTGTCAAAATACACCAATCTGTATACTATCAGTACATATTGTTTTGTTTTATGTTGTTTTTAGTGAAAAACTTCAAGGGGAGTTGAACGAGATCAATGGAGAACATGTGTCTGTAGAACGAGAAAGCAAAGAGACAATAGATGAATTAAACCATGAAATACATGACCTAAAACAAAAACTTAAGTTTTTGGAGGAAGAGAAACAACAAGCATTTAAAGAGAAAGAAACACTTTTGGATGAAGTAAGTTCAGCAGAATTTAAGAGACATTTATTTAGTTCTGTTCATTGAAATACATTACAATTTAAGAAATTAATTGGGTAAGTAAACATTGTTAAAAATGCAGTAGATCTTTATAAGATGTTGGAAAAGGACTGGCATTGTAATTCTGTATTTTGATTGTTTATAAATAAATGCCATCAAAATCAAAAAAATGAAAAAGGACAGCAATGACTTAAACATCAACCAATTTAAAAAGCAAAATGCATATCTTACCAAATTAATTACTGACTCAAAGAACAACTATCAAGATAAACTTTGTAATAACTTGGATGAAGAAGCAGCAAATGGCCTAAACTACTGGACAATTATAAAGAAACTTATAGGAACCAAGTTTTCAACAGGCATTCCTCTTCTTGAGATAAATGATAAAATTATTGATGATGACCTTGGAAAAGCAAATGCTTTTTTAAATAAGTTCATGACTAAGTTCCACCATAATATAATTGATAAGTCATTGCCGCCCTGTCCTATGAAAACAAATGAATCTTTGACTTACATAAATATTTCTCGAAAAAATATAAATGATAACTTACGGAACCTTAATTCATCTAAAAAAGGTGGAGAAGATAATATCACTAACAAAATGTTGAAACTTGTGGCTGACTCTATCGATGTTGAACTAGTTAAATTATTTACTATTTTCTTGGAGACAAATACATTTCCTGATTGCTGGAAACTGGGTATAATTGTTCCTATATATAAGAATAAAAATTCAAAAACAGACCCATCCAACTACAGACCAATCTGCCTCCTCAATAATCTCTCAAAGCTTTTTGAACGAATAATTTATACAGCAATTTTTGACCATGTTTCCTCGAAGAACCTCATTTATGAAAATCAGTCCGGGTTCTTACCAGGCCATAATACACAGAAGCAACTATTTTCTATTGTTAATATGTTAGCCGATAATTTTGACTCTAACCTAGCAACCCGTGGAATATTTTTAGACGTGGAAGGTGCATTTGACGCAGTCCCACATTTTTTGTTACTCCATAAGATGAAATCTTATGGATTAGGCAACAATATTATAGAGTTATTGACCTCATATCTAACAGATAGGAAATTAAAAGTAAGGATCAATGATACTTATTCAGACATTTCATGTAATGCTGAAACTGGTGCAAATATTCCTCAAAATCTTCAAAATCGAGACTCTAGATCCTATGAAATAAATAGTGGGGTTCCCCAAGGATCAATTCTTGGCCCCCTATTATTTTTGTTATATATTAATGACTTAGCAGACTCAGTTCATAATTGTAAACTTTTCTTATATGCTGATGATAGTTCGATCTTCTTGACAGTACCAAAGAATGAATCAGTTGAAACAACAAATCAAAAAATTCAATCAGATATCAATGAAATGGCTAATTGGTCCACTAAATGGAAACTCAAATTTAAGGCATCTAAGAGTAGGGGGGTTATCTTTCAATCTAAACACACACGAAAAGTTAAGAAACAAATTCCAGTAACAATGAATAATGAGCAAATACCTCTTGTAAATAGCCATAAACATTTAGGCATCATTTTAGACAAACACCTTAGCTTTGAAGAACACATTAACTCAGTGATTACTAGGTGTAATAAAATGTTAAATCCATTAAAAGCACTCAAATTTTCAGTAAGATCAAAACACTTACAGACAATTTACATGGCATTCATTCTCCCACATCTCGAATATGGCAATATTATTTTTGACAGCGCAAATCTAAACCTCTTAGCAAGTTTAGATAGAGTCCAATATAGAGCGGGTCTTATTGTAAGTGGTTGCATCCAAGGGTCAAACTCTGAGAAGGTGATGGCATGTCTTGGATGGAGATCCTTATCCAATCGAAGAAAAGAAAAAAAACTAGTTTTTTTTTTTAACATCTTTCATATTTATTGTAAGCACAAGTCATTTAGATACAATTACAAGGGGCAAAGCGCTGTAAGCATTAGATGTCCCCTTATATAAATAAACAATAAAGTACAATATTCATTTTAACCTGGATGTCACCTGTAAATGGTAGAATGCCTTGCAGTGAAACAAAAGATAGGAGGGCTGCTGATATCCTGGGGGAGGGGTAGTATGTTGAAAAATGGAAACAGGTCATAGGCAGGAAAATATTTAGATTCTGGTTGTGTTTTCAATGAGATAATTCGCAACCAGTGAAAATAGATTATCCATCTCTAATTGGGTTAATGATGGATCCCCAAAAAGAAAAAAGTGAATTTTGTCTTGCTGAGTTCTGAAATTAGTTAATAAGTCCCCATATATCCCTAAAGTATCTGTTATTAGTTTATTTCTTTGTTGTTCTTTCAGAGGGCATTTGAATAAGAAGTGGGGAAAAGTTTCAGGGGAACCACATAAACAATTTGATGACTCAACTGAGCTCCAATTGTGGGCTTTGAGCTGGGCTTTTAAAATTAAATCTACCCTGGCTCTATTTAGATAAAGTTCTTGTTGACGAGTTAATTTTAAACAAATTGTTGAAACAACACCAGGGAACAAATTTAATTTAAGTGTTCTTTTAAAAGATGCAATAGTTGGCAAGAGCTTTTGTTCCAAGGGAACAGATCCTGGATCATTCCATAGGTTCATCATTTTGTATATTGGAGACTTATGTGGATAGTGAATAGGGATAGTGAAATCTCGAGATTTCCTTAACAATCTTGCTTGAGGGTTTATGAATGGCCTAAATATATCTGAGATATAAATAGGTGTTAAATCATTCACGGCTTTATACATAATTGTTTTGAAGTGGAGGATCCTCCTCTCAGTTAAGGTGGACCAGTTCAAAATGTTAAGTACTTTGGAAGTGCTGGAGCCTGGGAGAGCACCAGAGACTATTAGACCAGCTTGGTACTGGAGACTGTCAAGTCTGTTAAGGTCACAAATAGGAGCACAATCGTAAAGGATATCACAATAATCAAATAAGGACTGAATATAAGCTGTATAGAGAATATTTAATTGTTTTGATTTTAGTCTACCCTTAAGTGCTTTTAAGGGGTTAAGAGCTGTTTGGATTTTTGCACAGATAGAATTTATATGTGCTGACCCATTTAATTTTTTATCAAAAATGAAGCCTAGGTGTTTATGAATGTCAGTTTTTTCAATTTGTTTATCATTTAAGGTAACTGGTGGATAGATTGGATTATTTTTCTTAGAAAAGGTCATTTCTCTGCTCTTTTCTGGTTTAAAATCTAGTTTCCACTGTTTAGACCAGGCTTCGATTTTTTTTAGATCATTTTGAATTTGTATATGAGACTGCGGATTGTTTGGGGAAGTAGGTACAAAGAGGGAGGTGTCGTCTGCATAAATAAAGCACTCTGAGGTCAGGTTGTCCGGTAAGTCGTTTATATAGAGGAGAAACATCAAAGGTCCGAGAATACTTCCCTGAGGCACAGAACAGTTTATGTAGTTGCTAGGAGAGGTGTCAGAACATTTGCCATTCACAGTTACTTTGACACTCCTATCAGTCAAATAAGATTTTAGAAAAACTAATAAGTTTCCTGAAAATCCATACGCTTTCAACTTTTTTAGAAGAAGGTAATGGGGGACACGGTCAAACGCGGCCGAAATATCCAAAAAAATTGCACGTGTATCATTGCCGTCGCTAAAATTGCGCCAAATTAGGTTTTGGATGGCTAACAGTTGTAACTCATTGCTGTGCCCTTTCAAAAAACCGGACTGGTATTTATACAATAAGTTATTTTCAATTAAGTGTTAGTACATCTTAGAGTAGACAATTCGTTCTAATATTTTGGAAGTAATACTGAGAAGAGATATAGGTCTATAATTTCTTATGTCATTCTTATTATTCTTTTTAAATATTGGGCAGATATCCCCTAATTTCCAGTTCTGGGGAAAATTACCTGTGGTCAAAATTTTATGAAAAAGTAAATTAAGTGGCACAGAAATAGTATTCCTGCATAGCTGGAGCATTTTTATTGTAACTCCATCTGGACCATTTGCTTTTGAGGGGTCAAGATCCTTAATTATAGAGATAATTTCCTGTTGGTCAAAGTCAATGTTCTCTAATTTGTTATTGCATCTGTCAGGAAAATGAATATTATTGTTCAATGCATCTGGTTCTAAGTGATACATATTAGAGAAATATTTTTGAAATTCAGTAGCTTTCTCCTGACTGGTCAAACAGGTAATTCCAGTTAAAGGGTTTTCTATGGTAGGAATAGGCGAGCTAAATTTTTTACCTAAAAACTTTTTTATAAGTTGCCAAAATTTGTCACTTGCATGTGTTTCTCCATTTAGACTTTCTATTTGATCTGATGTAAATTTTGCTTTGGTTTCTAAAATAAGGTTCTTGACAGCTTCAGTCTGATTCTTATATGCTGTATAATGTTCAGGAAGATTGCTTTTCTTGAATTTAACAAAGAGTTTTTTCTTTTTCTGAATCGCATGAGATATACTCTCATTTAACCAAGGTCTATCATTCGCTTTAATTCTTTTCATTTTGTGAGGGATAAGCTTTTTAAAGATGGTAAGAATTGTATCAGTAAATTGATCATTTAAAGTGTTCATATCATGGTTTTGAGTAAAAAAATTAGCCCAGTTTATTTTTTCAATTTCAAGGTTCAAAGCATCTTTATTTGCAGTATCATATTTCCAAATAAGTTTAAATTGATCTTCCTCTCTATTTAATAGTACATCGAGTTGAGTAAAAATTGAACAATGGTCTGATGAGCCTATAGGTTCAATTACAGTCGAAGAATTTATAAGACCTGGGACATTAGTGACTGTGAGATCAATGCAAGTAGCAGATGTTGATGTGATTCTTGTTGGTTCTTTTATTAACTGGTCAAAATCATTATCAAAAAATATATCATTTAAAATTTTTCCGTTTCTATCTTCATCCCCATTGAGAAACCACTGTTTACATTTAGCGTTGAAGTCACCATTCAAAATGATTCCATCTGCATTTCGTGATTTTGCCTGTTTTATGTTCATTGTCAAAAGTTTCATAAATTCATCTCTCTCAATTACTGACTGTGAGGGTGAGCGATAAAAAACTCCATACAAAAAGGTTTTATGTTTAATTCTCAGTTCGGCCCACAGGGAGTAATTTGTATTCAAGTCGGGTCTTTCGTTACATAAAATGTTGTTGTTTATATAGATCAAAAGTCCTCGATTATTTTGATTGTGTAATGGATTATGAAATCCATTCAGCAAGAAATTATCTTTAATTGATATAGTGGTCAAATTTCCAGTCTCACAAAGTCCCACAATTGATACATTCATTTCCTTAACTAGGTCATTCAGGGATTCAAATCGAGTACCCGCATCGGCTCCAATACTATTTATATTGGAGAATAAAATGTTTAAGTTACCTTTATATGGGACTGGCCCTGGGTGAGGATGTACATCATTTGATAATGTAAGCTTGAGCTGATTGATATTAGGTTGCAGATAAGTGCCGCTTAATCCAGGAACACTTAAAAATATCAAAGTAATGCATATTAAGGCTAGCAAAAACCTTGGGTTAATTTTCCTGTGACATAGTGAGTATATTCTTAGGACTAGAAGCAGTGGAATAAGCAGATACATGGATGCTATATTTAAAACTGTCATTCCAATTGTAACGGTAAAATATATCAGTTTAATTGTATCAAAGAGCTTTATCGATAACAGAGCGATAAGCGAAAATATCATCATAGCTATGATACAAGGCAAAGAAAATGAAAGCACATAAGATTTGTTTATATTACTAATCCCTGTACTGAACATCTTGATGTTGTATAGGTTGAACCTGCCTATAGCTGACCTCCATTGGACTAAGCTAACCCCCATCATAAAGATATTTCCCTCCCAGGATAGCAGCAGTAATTCCTATAAGTAAACAGAGTGTTTCAGTCATGATCGATATTAGAAGGCAAAGGATTCAGGAGGGAATGGAGAAATCAAGCATACATATAATTTAATTATGGCATCAAGACATAAATACATGTGTATACAAGTTGCAGTGAGATATAAGTGTTTTTGTATGTGGTTCCTCATTGAAATATGTTATGTGATCATAGCATATACGAGTTCCATGCTAAAGATTGTCACCTTCGGGGCTACAGTTTAGCTAGTGCTGGCAGTTGAAGCCGGGGGAACTCTCTGTTGTCTGGAACGGTGGATTTGAGATTGAACTATAGGGAGCTTCTCCATGTCAGAAATAATTCCTGCAATGTCATCCACAACATTGAAAGCACGTATAGCACCATTCGCAGTTTTCCCCAGAATCTTACCATGATCGGACCAATGGTTGACTATGGATGGGTGCAGTTCTAATTGTTTTAGTAGAGCACGGTTCATTGGGCTAAGGTCCTCGTATATCCGTATTGGGGTACCCTTGAGAAGGGATCGGTTTTTGAGCAATGAATCTCTAACGTGCCTGGATTTGAGACGAACAATTATGGATCTGGGTTTATCAGAGCTAGGTGAGGGGTTGCCAGGTACCCTGTGAGCAATCTCGATATCAGCTGCGGTGAGCGAGTCACTAAGTTTAGTGGAACTTAGCTCATTGCAGAGTGCAGAAACACAATGCTGGAGATTCTTGGAATCAGACTTTTCGTCGGCAGTTTCCTTAATACCGTGTATTCTGATCAAGTCCTTGCGAGAGTACTGAGAGTTATGATTGGATTGCAAGATAACTTGGTTCAATTTTATAGACAGGTCTTCATGAGCCTTTTTGAGCTTCACGTTTTCTGATATCAGGCTTTCAATCTGGCTGTCATATTTATTCTCGAGCTTGATCAAAGGTTTAATCACACGCTCATCTAGGACTTTATTGACAAATGATTCCAGATTATTTTCAAATCTCTGCTCGAATTTTTTGAAAAGTTTTTCCATACCTGACATTGAGACAACGTCAATATTATCCTCCTCGGCACTTGCGTAGGGGCTGCCCGTATTGGGAATGTTCTCAGGGTCATGAATACTACGCCCAGAATTTGATTTTCCGCGTTTGGTCGGCTGTTCTTGTTCTTCAACAGACATTGTCGATTCATTTGGGACTGCTGAAAATGTCATATCCCTAACGACGCCATCTTGGAAAATTTTAGGTGTCGACGTGGCCACTTTAGGCATGAAGTTTATAATACTTGGTTGCGTTGACATGATTATCTGAAGTCCTATCAGTTCCGTAGGTATTTATGTTCAATCACACAGTATAATTTGCAGGTTAGAATAGTAGGAGATGCCTAGAAACGTATAAACATTCTCCGGCTCCAATTTCCTAAACTAACATTGTTGGTGACGTCACTTCCACCTTCAAAACTAGTTTTTATGTTTGACTTTGTAAATAATTATAAGATGCCTTCATATGTTTCAAATGTTTTTGAACAGTATAAGAATCAGGTAACCCACCAAAGACTTCGTCGTAGCAATGATTTTAAGATCCCATTCAAAGCATCTGCTAAACTTAGAAAGTTTACAGCTTTATCCAGTATTAAATTATGGGATAATTTACCTGATGAACTGAAACAAGCACACTCACGCAACTCATTTAAGTATAAAATTAGAACATTTTTGAATGGGAAAAAGAAAGAATTCACAACCCCAAGATTAAACCTATCCAGAGATAAAGAAATTGTCTTAAATAAAACGAGATGTGATCTCATTTTTAGGCAGCATCTTTTTACACATAACTTCAAAAATATTCCAAATGCCAAATGTAAATGTGGTCACTCTACTGAATCAACCAAACACCTATTGCTCCATTGCCCTCTTTTTAACACTCAAAGACTCAATTTTCACAGAGAACTAGGGGGACTGCCATCCTTTAATTTAAACTCTTTTAATAATAGAAAACAGGAGGACAGGGTAGACTTTTTACTTTTTGCAGATCCTTCTCTTGACACAATTACAAATAAAAAGGCTATTGAATTAACAGCCGAGTTTTTACACTCTATTGTCAAGGAAGTTAAACAGTCCAATATTCATTAATTTATACATATATCTCTGACCTGTCTTCATGTTTTCAAGATTATTTTTATGTTCATAAATATGTTCTATATCTATCATTTTTACATTATGACCTATTTTAACTTATATTGTAACTACTTCAACAGGGCCAATAATGCTTCGGGGTAGGCCTGTATCTGTTTGTATGATGTATTATGAAATAAAGGAAATATAAAAATTAAAAAAAAAAAAAAAAATGCCATCAAAATAATTGATTTGATTCAATATTTAACTGAAGACAGAATAGAAAATGCATATTGTGAATTTGTTTTGAATAACCTACAATTGTAATATACAAATGAAATGTCTTGAATTGAAGATCAACCAAGCTGTGGATAGTATGACTGAGGAAAGAGCCAAGTTACAGGCTGAGACTGAAGTTAAGCAGCTTGAACTAGATACATTACAGGAAGCAAAATTTCAACTTGAGGAAGAGAATGCTAGATTGCTAGAGAGAATGGGACAAGTGGAACAAACACAGGTATTTATCTTCAGTGTGATCAAAATATGATTTTCCACCAAAAGTTTCATTTATTTATATTATTTACACAAACCTGCGTCCATTGATTTTATTCTCATAATATCTGCTCCATAGAAAGTTAACCCCTCTTAGATATGAGAATAATAACTCTTTTATCATTGCCTGTTATAGAACTCACAACAGCAGATTGAGAAGACAATGTCAGATATCCTAGAACAGAAGAATAAGCTGGCTTATGATAAAGGAAAGCTCCAGTCCAGAGTGGAGCAGCTGGAGTCCCAGCTCCAGTCTCTTGCAACCACCCACACTAACTCTGTTCAGCAGAGAAACACATTCAACACTTTGCAGGGAAAGTACACAAAGGTACCTAGAATAGATCAGTAAATAGGATTTGTATGCTGTTTGGATGGCACCTGACACTAGTCATTTCCAAGAGAGTTATTTTATCACACTTTGAAAATGTGATATTTAGGAGTCCTCATTTTGTGCTGCTGGGTGTGCATGCATTCTTCTGGGTAGTTGGGCTTTTACCAAATAAATCTTGTAATCAAAATTCCAGGAAAACCCCTGAATCATTCAACTTGAAATTTTTACAGACGCAAGAGCAGTCTAGTGCCAACGTCTGATTAGGTTTTGGGCATGCTGGGTTAATAGCATAGTGGCCATTTTGCTTGTCAAAGTGTGATATTTATGACTGTGTCTTTATTAGAAAGTATTTGCAGTAAAATCAATTAAGAGGCTTTGTGGATGAAATCTCCCATGTTTGCTTATACGAGGGGTGATCAATAAGTAATGGACGCCTTTTTACACAGATGCTTTTTATAGACCAATCCCTTCGATTTTCTTACCAGTGATTCATCATTCAATTATCTATCAACTCTGAAGATTTGAAGACAAAATATATAATACATGTTGATATATCCTCATTTCTGTGAAGGAGGTACGGGTACCCCGGGACCGACATTTACGTCACATATTCTGAAGATATTTTAGCGTGTTTAACATGCAATGCAGTTGAATGCAGGCTGAACAAAACAAACCATTATGGTCATGAATTACCCCATTTTGTTATGCCATAGTTGATTTTGAATATTTTATCATCACTATGTGGTATTCATGCCACATTTATTCCACAGGACCCTCTAAATAGGTTCCATCAAGTGCTACATGTACACAATTCCTCATCCTCTTAACTCAAGATTGTAAGACAAGGCTGAATCCATTCTCTGACATGGTAGCAAGATACAGTTTCATGGGTTGTTTTATTTAACCAATGTTAATAAACCTGCGTCTGTATATGTCTCTAACCTCTCTTTCTCTATGGAAATAAGTGGTACATAGAAATAACAAGTCACATGTGAGCAGATGTGGACAATAAAGTGCATTGGCCAAGGGCTCAATTTTGAGGTCCAGGGATATTGTTTTCTGAACATTTTGAGATCTATGGGCAGGTGCATTGACCATACGGAGTAGGGTTTTCCCTTCTCTCACCACCCCTTTCTTCCACAATGTTTTCTCAAATTGACCTGCAAACCCCTTCCATACAACACTCTGACATTACAATACTTTCTGTTTATGTGTTACCAGTCAGCAAAAAAATTCAACCAATACAACACTTGTTGCATATAAAAAGTTCAAATCTAACTCAAATGTACCAAACTTGGCAAAAACTGAATATGAGACGTAAATGTCGGTCCCGGGGTACCTGTACCTCCTTCACGGAAATAAGGATATATCAACATGTATTATATATTTTGTCTTCAAATCTTCAGAATTGATAGATAAGTGAATGATGTGTCACTGGTAGGAAAATCAAAGGGATTGGTCAATAAAAAGTATCTGTGTAAAAAAGCGTCCATTACTTATTGATCACCCCTCGTATATCAGTTTTTTATGTTAACTGAAATCATTGATCTTTATAAAAATACCAAACCAAGATCTTGGAGACAATCTACGTCTAAAATGCTGATTTGACAGTTGTTTAACATTACAGAGTCAAAGTGATTATAATGCAGCCAATATTAAAATACAACGTTTGGAAAGTCAGCTGAAACAACTAAGTGCAATTGGTGAACGTAAGGAACAGGACTTTAGCATGGCCCTACAGTCCCGAGATGAAGCCATCCGTGAAGTAAACAAATTGCGAGATGTTGTCGAGTCAACAGATGGACGAGAAAAGCAAAAGGTATGTACATCATTGTAGCTTGTCAAAATATGCAAATTTTTCTCGACTTTTCTTATTTTCAAGAGACTGCTTGCCTATTTTCAAGATCTCAAGTTGACATAATGTCCATTTAGTTGCAGTGTTAGATACGTCTTAATCAGGAGCAGATGTGCATACTTTATTGGAATGTATTGTAGGGCACAAGTTTTTCTCTTCTTATAATGTCAGCATTACACTTTCTCTATTGAGGCTTGGAATCAAGTGTAAATCAATACTGTGCTTTATTATTTCCATGCCGTGATACTCGTTCTCTCATTGGTCAATTAGATACCATGTGACTAAAAATATATAGAGGTATTCCATGTCTCCCTGCTTCGAAAACGTGTGAAGAGTGTATTCACCGGCAGTGGCATCATTTTTAGTGAATACCACTATACGAGGGTATATCATAAAGTTCTCATAATATCTCTCTAATTTTTTATTATTTTTTACATTCTCTCAATTATTTTTATTTGCCCCGGGTGCCTTGATTTCCGGTTACTATGGCAACCATTACTTATCTAATATATCTGTTATACCAAATATTTTTTTGATAGATTAATACAGAATTCTATACTGCAGATTCTATGAAAATTTCATTAGAATATATTGAAAAATAAAAAAATTAGAGAGATATTATGAGAACTTTATGATATACCCTCGTATATTCAATTAAAATGACATCACATCACTTAATTCCCGGGAATTTAATAAAAAGTATTTTCATCCGATATGACAGACGGTGAAGTTGTATCAGGAAGTCCTCCCAAGAAAATGTTCAATACTGTATAACAAACGTGGGATAAAGATTTTACAAATGTATTCAAAATGTCAACTAATCAAAGCACGAAGACTATGGACTTTAACATATGGAAGATCCTAATCTAATTTTTATATTTTATGGCGTGACAGAGATCGTGATTTATAACAGAATATTGGCAAACGTTTGGAAATACGTTGAAACTTCATATCATTACAATATTGTGTACTTCTAACTTTAATACTGTGTGCTAGTTTAATGAGGAAATAATAAAACAAATATTGAATTCTGTGATCTTTTAATATCTGTATATATTTCTGAGGGATGTATTCACCTGGCCCTTTGGGCTGCGGTGAATACACCTTCAGAAATATATACAGATATTTAACTCCACAGAATTCAATATTTGTATAATATTAGATGCTTGCAAAATGCTTTGGGACTAAACCACTAATCATTCTATGAATGATTAAATGATGTACATATTTCTGAGGGGGTATTCTATGCAGCCCAAAATCTGAGAAGAAAAGAAGAAATATGTATTAACAGTTTAACAATATTAATTTATTAACGACATATATATAGTGTCTCAAAAAATGAAAATTGGATAAATAATGCCACATGTTTACAGAAGCCTATACATGTGACGTCACATTCATTGAATACCTGTGTGTATGCATGTATTTATTTTTTAATCACATGGTACATGACTGACCAATCACATGCTGATTATCACTACAAAGAAATGATAAATAACATTATCACACTATAATGAAAATATTGAGAGTGAAAAATGTCTTGTTTGCAGATAGTCAATTTGGAGCGCAACCTCTTGGAATCCAAAGAAGACAGTAGAAAGTTAGCTTCATCCCTCGATGGAATCATCCAATCCCACAACCAGCTTCAGCAAGCCATGGAAACACTACAAACAGATCTGGGGAAAAAAGATTCCCAAATTGCTCAATTAAAGAATGAAAAGTATGTACACTCGTGTTACTCTCATGTTCGTTTGAATCAAAAAAATGCAGAACATATGTGATACAAATTATCACATAATTACAAGTATATCTTTTATATTTTAATTCACATAAATGTACACTTACTGTATACTGTTTCAGAAAACAAAGATTTTAAGTGAAAATGCATCCTGACATTTTGGCAAACACTAATATAATATATTAAATATGAATCCAAATTTTCAGATCTTATTGTAATGATATTGTATATTCGTATGCTTATATAAAATACTTGCACTAAAACATACACATCACATTGATCATTTCAGAAACCTAAGCCAGAATTCTTTACGTCAGATGCAGACAGAAATTGACACTCTCCAGGACCGTTTGGTTTCCATGGAAACTTTAGAGACAACAGAGGTATACTTTCTCGAAATAACTGCACTTCCCTTTTTCATTGTCCCTCACAGACGTCTAGATATTTAAAACTGACCATAGACCTTAGAGTTATGTCGTAGTGTCTTACTTGATCCAAGTCTAGATTCAAATCACAGACAGTAAACACGGTGTATAACCCAAACGCTCCTACATGCACGACGGAGCGTTACATTTACGCGGAAACGCTCCGGAGCGAAATAAAATGGCGGCTAATGAAGATTCTACTATGACCGTAAGTATTGTTTCTCTCGTTTCTCTTACATATCATATGTCATGGTGAAATATTATGTACAATTCGATGAACAATACCGTGAGCAAAGATCCTATTTATTCAACTTCTGGTGGTAAACTGTTATTTGCTTGATCAAAGCTCCGTAGTGTAGATCGAACGAATCTGAAGATGACGATTTGACCACAAATTACGAATTAAACTAGTATTTCTATGAAAACGTTAATCTTTCTGTTTAAGTAGTAGATCACAAACTCGTATATTCTCATTTCCTAAAATCCCAGTCCAAATCCATTACTTGTTCTCGAGAAATCGCTTGTTTTCCTAGAAACGCTCCGTCGATTTAAACCACAATTTTAGAAACGCTCTGACCATTTTGTTTTGATATCATTTTCAGATTATTAGAGAAGAGTTCCGAATCGAGTCTATCTCTCAAAAACGTGTTGTACTTGTTAGGCAAATTGAAACATCTGAACCGGGTGGTGCTAAACGTGCAACTAGCTGATTAAAGCCTATACATTAGATGATGTCATGCCTACATATGTGCTAAATCATAAAACTATAGAAAAAACGAAAAGTTATATGTGAATTAATCTTTCTTCTATTGATGCCAAGGGGTATAATAGATCTTTTCTTTCTCTTCCTGAAAAGGAAAGGCAAGCTATATATTTCCTTAACTGATCTAGACTACCGGAGCGTTTCCAATTCACTGTGTTAACCAGATCGGAGCGTTTCTTGAATATGAGAATGTCATCATTTTTAAGACTGGATTTTCGGTCATCAAATCACTATTAGGATAATGTATGGTGCGTTGAAGCATTGGAATTTGACTAAAATATACGTTGGTGCTCTAATCTTGGCTCAACTAATTACATGTATCGACAAAAGGGGTTTTGACCGGTAGAATGACAAATACGTTTTTGAATTTTGATAACTATACTGCTTCGTACAGCTCTTCCTAATTGCTTCAAACGTCAACAGCCAGCCACGTACAACATGAATATCACACCCATCGAATGGTATACTCGAAATATGTAACTCATACCTCTTATTTCCATTATTGGGGAACTTGTCAGACGGCTCATCATTCCCGCCAGACAGTTTTCCTACTCCGGAGCGTTTCTTTGTTTAATTTCAGTAATGAAACGCTCCGTCGTGCATGTAGGAGCGTTTGGGTTATACACCGTGGTAAAGGGGAACAACTGATTTGAAATTTGAATGCAGTAAATAAGCAATCTGACTGGTCGAGATTATGGGTGAATTCTAAATACATTCAAGAAATAAATGTATTTTTAAAAAAAACTCCTAGATGATGGTTAAAGGGTTAAAACATTGAAAGGCGGAACTGAACTGGAAACTGTGTATTGGGGAGAAAACTTCAGGTACATGACCATGCAAAGGATGTCTGAAGCGTTGGTTGCTTTATCTGGGCTGTTAAATACTTTGGGGTACAGTTTTTGAGACACTCTATTTGATAAATGAATGATAAACATCTGCTTAAGAGTTCCAAATATGGTTTTTCAGATAACTCCTCTTAGGGAAGCTTTAGAGACATGCAAATCTGATAATATAAAGATGGCCAACTCTTTAGATGGTGTGATGCATTCTAACAGGCAACTACAGGTCAAACTTCACAAACTTGAAGATGAATTAGCAAAGAAAACTTATCAATTGGAAGATACAATAAGTGCAAGGTAATGTATGATGTATGATATTTTTCTTTCTTGGCCATTTTTGTCAAATCTCAGATATCTCATAGTATTAAATGTTTGAAATTTATTATTTCTTTATATTTCCATGTTTTCTGACAACTTGTTAGCTACAATTATTGCTAAGGATATAAATATTAGCTAGCTATTCAGGAGACATCTAACTTGAAATTTTACCATAATTTTTTAAAATAAAATAGTCTAAAAATCCTCAATTTTGTATTTCAGAAAAAATGAACAAGACACAATGAAACAGGAGATTTGTAGTTATGAAGAAAGGATGACTGCCTTAAAACAACAACTAAATAAAGACAGAGATAAATCACTCAAGAAAACTAACAAAGAAGTTGTTGAGGTATAGTATTGAAATCCTGTTGCTTGAACTTATTTTTATTATGTCACCAAAAGTGGCGACATATTGTTATAAAGTTCCCAACTTTTTTGTGAACTGAGTTCGGCGGTTGGTGTTCAGTGTTTGGAGTTTTGTGTCTAACAAATGGTGACATTTTGCATGTTAATGTCTTGTTTAATATTCTTATGATAGGTTGATCCTTGGAATTTTGTTAATGTGAATGATCTTGTAGATGTCTGGAGATCTTCCAACCCTGATAAAAAGAGTTACACTTGGTCAAGGAATAATCCCTTTATTGCACGAAGAATTGACTACATTTTTGTCAATAACAGTCTCAGTAACAACATTATTGAATCTGATATTATACCATGTTCAAATACTGATCATATGGGTACTACAGTCTCTATAAAAGAGCAAAACTCGGACAGAGGTACAGGATTTTGGAAGCTAAACAATGAAATTTTAAAAAACCAAGAATATGTATCAATGATAAACAAACTAATTGATGACACTGTTAACTCATATAAAAATGTAGTCAACGATCAAATTTTATGGGATACATGTAAATGTGTTATTAGAGATGCAAGTATAAGATTTAGCAAAACTCGTGCTTCTAGAGAAAAATGTGGGTTAAAACAGATTGAAATAGAGCTAAAATTGGCACAAGATAAACTAGTAAATGAACAAAATGCGCAAAATATTAATAGAGTTCAACAGTTACAAGTAAAATATGATATTCAGACAAATAAGAAAGCTAAAGGGGCACAATTAAGATCAAAAGTTAAATGGGTAGAACGAGGTGAACTGAATACAAACTATTTCTTATCATTAGAGAAAAGTCATGGAAAAATGAAAGCCATTGAAGTGTTAGAGGATGATGGGGTATATACAAGCTCTATGAGTGAAGTTATGGAAAAACTGTTTAAATATTACAGTGAAATGTATAAGGAAAATGGGGATATTATTTATACGTTAGATGATTTTGCGATAGACCTTGAAATGCCATCTTTAGATGATAATGACAAATTAAAATGTGAAGGTTTGATTAATGAACATGAATGTGCACAAGCTATTAAACAAATGAAATCTGACAGTAGTCCAGGGATTGATGGATTAACATCTGCCTTCTACAAAATGTTTTGGACGAAAGTAAAAAGCTTAGTAGTTAATTCATTAAATTATGGGTTTCAGACAGGGCAACTTTCTAGCAGTCAAAGGAAAGGAATAATAGTATTAATACTTAAAGGCAAAAATATTCCAAGAAATCGTTTAAAATCATTCAGGCCTATATCATTAACTTGTTGTGACTATAAAATAGGGGCAACTGTGTTGGCCAACAGACTGCAGACTGTAATCAAAAAATTGGTTGAAAGTGACCAGAATGCATATTTGAAGGAAAGGGGTATACATCTAAACTTAAGATTGATAGATGACATAATGAATTACGTTTATAATGATGACATTGAAGGTATTATGGTCGCTCTTGACTATTCACGGGCGTTTGATTCTATTTCTAAGAAGTATGTTTATAAAGTTGTTGAAAAATTCAATTTTGGTCCTGAATTTCAAAGATGGATAGAAATTTTCACAAAAAATACACAGTCAACAGTCTCTAATAATGGATTATTCACAAAATTTTTCAATTTAGATCAAGGTTTGAGGCAAGGTTGTCCACTAAGTTCATTACTTTTTATATTATCAACAGAAATCTTTGCTTGCAAAATTCGTCAAAATCAAAATGTGAAAGGAATTAAAATTCAAAACTGTAATACTGAAATTAAGTTAACAAGCTATGCAGATGACACAACCCTCTTTGTTAAAGATTTGCAATCGTTAGAGCATACTTTAGATGATACAAACAAATTTTACTTAACATCGGGACTCAGACTTAACTTGGAAAAAACAAAAGCAATGTGGATCGGAAGAAATAAAAATAATATTGAAAAGCATTTAGGAATCTGCTGGGAAGTAGGTGAAAATGCTAAAATAAAAATACTGGGGACATACTTTTCAAACCACAAACCAGCAAATTTAATAGAATCAAATTGGACTGAAAAAATTGATAAGATGGAATGTTTAATGAAAAATTGGAGTAAACGCAACTTGTCACTGGTTGGTAAAGTCTGTGTTGTTAAAAATTTGATTGCATCACAATTGTTGCATATGTTAATGGTTTTTAAATGTCCAGACAAATATTTAAAACAGGTCAATTCAAAAATACACAAATTTATATGGAGTAAATCTGGTAAAGGTTCAGAAAAAATAAAACGTAAAGTGTTGAGACAGCCTTACTTAAAAGGTGGAATCAACATGGTTGATATATTTGTTAATCAAGAGGCATTTATTATGTCCTGGGTCAGGCGTTTTATTGAGGATGAAAACTCAAATTGGAAAAACATGAGTAAAATGATGTTATCAAAGATTGGATTTGATTTCAGTATTTTTCATTTCAATTCAGACTTAAAATTTATAAAACCTCAAATTATTTGGGGGAATACAACCATCTTCTATGAATTCCTTTTGAAAACTTGGTTCAAATATAAAACATGTGATGATGTCATATTTGATAATAGCTATATTTGGAATAATCTAAACATAACTTACAAGGGAAAAGTTATATTTTTTAAAAATTGGAAAAATGCAGGTATCAATTTGGTAAATGATGTACTGGACAATCAACAGAAACTAAAGAATATAAATATCTTCAAACAAATGATGCCTAACAATGCAGCTATCACGCTTGAATATCTTGTCATTCAAAATGCATTGAAAAACAAGACAATTGCACTTGGTCAGAATAAAAGATTGTACAATAATATCATTATAAAAATATCAAAGTCGAAAGATTATAAACAATTAATTATTAAAAAAGAAAATATCATACCAGGAGCTTGTCAACGATGGAATAATGAATATCAAAATATTAATTGGTCTGATCATGGGCTTTCAACTAGAAGGGTATGCAACTCTATGTAATAACATGAGACCTTCAAAATGAGCAATGACATGCTTCCCTTTTATGACAATATTTCAAAAAGTATTCGATAAATGTATAATGTTTAAGTATTATTTTGAATAAAAATCAATTTTTAATATGATTTAAGCATAAAATATATTCAATATCATATAAAAGTAAACAAAAGAGACCAATAAGAATAAGAGTTATCAAGATGTTCTCTTTGAGTATTGCATTGTGGGTAATTATTCAAGAACACATTCCAATAAAAACATAATTTGTGGGAGAATGTTCACTTTCTGTATTGTCATAATTATGATGAATTCCAATTTTTATTAAATTATCAAGATGTATGTAGAAGATCATGTTTTTATTTTTGAGTTATTTCTTTTAATCATCAATAAAAAGTACAAAATAAAATTTTCTTGGAATGTGTACATTCTCCAATTTTGAAAACCCATGGCAATGTTTATGTATGAAATATGGGAAGTTGCCTACCCTTCTAGTTGAAAGCCCATGGTCTGATATTTGGAAAATGATTCAAAATATTACTGAACCGAGATTAAAGAGCTTACAGTACAAAATATTGCATAGGGTATATCCCACAAATATTCATCTATTTAAATGGAAAATTGAAGGGACAAACTCAAACAATTGTAAATTTTGCAGAAATGAAGAAGACTCATATGCTCATTTCTTCATCTCTTGTAAAAAGGTAAAACATATATGGAAAGAAATAATGAACAAAATAAATGCAAAATTTGGATGCTCTATAAAATTAACAGAAATGGAAATTTTGCTTAAATATACAAATAAGAAAAAATATATTGAGAATTATGTAAATAATATTGTATTAATAACAAAAAACTGTATTAGCAAGTATAAATATGGTCAACATCCAAATTTAGAATACTTATTAGAACAAGAGCTATATATAAGAAAAGTCATGTGAAATTATTGTGTACTATATGTATGTAAAAATATTGTATAACTGTACTTGATAAACTGAAATAAAAAAAAAAAAAAGAAAAAAAAAAAAAAAAAAAAGTTGATTTTGGGCCAGTTGTATTCAGATTATTCAGGCTTTGAGTTTGTTTGTGTTCATCAGTAGAAAGGCGACTTTGATCTCAGCTTGGATCCCACTATAATTGACCCATTCTGGATTCATAGCCATGGGATTTGCTTGGATGGTGACTGGAGGAGCTAATAACCACCCTCCATGTGTAACCATGCTTAACCATCTCTATTTGTAATGTCACCATCAAGAAGTGGTAACATAATGTTACACACAACATTTTTGTGACTAGCAGTATTGGTGTTTGACATCTGTAATTGTAACACCTTTTAAAGTTCAACAAGATGATGACATTTTGTCATGTACATGTTTTTTACTCTGTTACTATATTATAATCCATTTTTTGGCTTGTAGGTGAAGAGGCAGCTAGATGAACTGTGTAGTAAAAATGGGGATCTCTCTCGCGCTAATACTGAGTTACGCCATAAAATTACAGAGTTAGAATACCTCATTCGCAATGATAAGGAGAGAATAAACAAACAGAAGGCACAATTAGAACATTTAAACAAAGTTAGGAAACAGCAAGAAGATTCTCTCAAAACATATAAGGTAATAAGTTTCTTTCAAATATGCACATTCAAGGTAATAACTCAGATTTGTGTTTCTTTTTTAGAGAATTATAATGTATCCACAATGTTCTAAAGTCCATTTTTAAAAGACTACTGATAATGACTTTAAGTTTTTCAAAAACTGCTGAAAGATGATTTAGTGTCACCGCCAGAAGTGGTAGCATATTGTTGGTCTCAGACTTTTTGTGGATGGTGTTCGGCAGTCAGCATCTGTAAACAAATGACAAGTGGTGCCATTTGCATGTTCCTTGTTAAAGACTTTATGATGATTATTTGAGGTTTTTCAAAGATTTCTGTCCTGTGTAGTCATGTAAGCTGTCAATAATTCAGTGTCTGATTGGAAACTTATCTTATTAAGTTGAGGGTGGTAGAGTTTGGTATAAGAAAATTTTCCATCTTATGTCATAAGTCAATATTTGGAAGTAATGTAAAGTACTTGTAATGTAGCTAACCATTTAGATTGATACATTTAAGAAACACAAAATTAATATATTCATGTTTCATAATGATGATTTCAATAAAACTCAAAACTCATATTATGTAATCAAATGGGATTCATTGAAAGGAGTTGGGTAAACTAGCAACAGAGAGTGCCCCAATTGAAGTGTGAAAAAACTTTTTTTAAGAATAGGAGAAAAAAACATCAGAAATGCAAAGATTGCAGTCTATATTTTTGGGTAGTATTTTTAAAAAAAATTAGAAAAATTGTTACGGTGTCTGGAGACCTTCAAAGAGGGTGGGGGCCAGAAGGAAAAAAATTCACATATTTTGCAACCCTCTTGATGAATTCCAATTTACTCAGCTATAAATGAATGTTTTTGATTTATCTGTCCAGGATTATGTAAATATATATTTATTTGATCCATACATACAATTGATTTAAATACAGTTTAGAGGTAAGTAAAGCTTTGAAAGGACATTTCATGCTGAGTCTGGGTGACATTTTTATTCACTGGAGGTAGTAATCCTTTGAGTGTTTTCACATAGAGCATAACAAGTCTCCACTCTAATAAGTGCTTCTTTAGTTACATAAATGTTATATTGTTGCATACAAAGAATAATTTTGATGGAGACTTATTATGCGCGATGTGAATTTTAGAACTTTATAGAAAATTTTGCCTGCCATTTTTGTTGATTATTCAAAATGGCCAAATGCTATTCATGCTGCATATGTAGGAAGCAGGTAAATTCTCCTAGAAAACGGAGAAAGGTTACACAAGATTTAGCTTCACAAGTCAAGAATGCCAAAGTTGGACGGATAATATGCAATAACTGTCGTCTAGATTCAAAACGAACCAACCATAACTGTCATTTGGTATATAGGCTTCGCTAAGCACGAGGGTTACAAAGCCAAAGAAAAACCTCTGCAAGGGCATTATAAAATTTTAGATGCTAAAATACCTGAAACATCAAGTGGTTATATGTGCACAACATCTGAATCAGGTAGTTCAAGTGATGATGAGTAAAACTAATCAGAAAATGTTTCATTGTTATTTCATTATAATCCAATGATGAAATGTGTTGAGATTTTAGATGTTTTTCACCTTTTAGGTGATCTCCAAGAAGTGATTATCTCCGTTATCTGTACTTACTGTTTCCTAGACATTATCAGAATGATTGATAATAAACTTAATAGTTGCTTTAAAATTATGTTGAATAATATCATTATGTTGAATTATAATATATACAGTGTGTGTGTTTAGTGTGTGGTTTTTAGCATACCCTATGTCGCTAACAGGAAGCAGGACATATTTCTCATAAAAAATAAACATTACTTTACGAGTCAAATTATGAAATGTACATTCTGAATTTAAATGAATTAAAAATAATAAAGTATTTTCATTATTTTAGGTACTTTTGTTCTCTTTCAGTGTGCGTGGGAAGGGCGGAATATATTAATATAAATATCTCATTATTGGCAAATTGCCAATTTACTATATATTGTAATTCCAACCTCTATGAGACTAAATTCCTACAGATATTTGTGATATTTTAACCAAAAAGGTATATTTTTGTAGAAAATAATGAATTTTTTTAATTTGACCTTGACCTGGGGAATATGACCTTGACCTAAATTTTCATACATTTTTGAAACACATATATCACATAGATTAATAAAATAAAGAGAAAACTTGAAAATCAGGTGGGGCTTAAAATGGCCTTGTTTACCCAACTCCTTTCAACATTTCCAGATTAGGTTTTATCATATAGGTTGTTGGGGTCAGTGGCTTAATTTATTTAATTTTACAGCAGACATTAAACTATTGAGCATTCGAGTTCTATTTGGAAGGTCGAGAGTTGATTTTCAATTGAGCCGGAGTGACTTTTTAACATCAGCCCATAGTGTAGGATTTGATTCTATGTTTCAAAGAAATTGTTGAGGATTTTCCTCATTTTATATGTACTGATTCCAGTTGTACTAACTAATTGTTTTAATTGTAAATATATTTGTTTCCATGCAAAAATAACATTTACATTAATACATGTAATATTAAAGTGGTTCAGTGCCTATTTTTGACCCTGAAATACCCCAACAGTTTCATAATACTCTTCAATATGCACAAACCTTCTATTTATATTAAAGCTTAAAAATAATTCAAAAACTATGTGAGGATGTCTTATCAAACTGATAAGTACAGGTAAGATGCAGGTTTGTATTTTTGTCAGAGTAAGACACTCAACCATATTTTTGATTGTTTTCAGAGCTTGAGCAATGAGATTGATGAGCTAGAGAGAGCAAAGCAAGAATATATCAAAAAGAATGAAGACCAGGTAGGCCACATTTCAATTTTCAGAATATATCAAGAAGAATGAAGATCAGGTAGGCCACATTTCAATTTTCAGAATATATCAAGAAGAATGAAGATCAGGTAGGCCACATTTCACTTTTCAGAATATATCAAGAGGAATGAAGACCAGGTAGGCCACATTTCAATTTTCAGAATATATCAAGAGGAATGAAAACCAGGTTAGTCATATTTCACTTTTCAGAATATATAAAGAAGAATGAAGACCAGGTAGGCCACATTTCAATTTTCAGAATATATCAAGAAGAATGAAGACCAGGTAGGCCACATTTCAATTTTCAGGCCAACCAAAATCATAGAATTATACATTATGCATAGATTTTTCATAACAATATTTAGATTGTGTTGGAACAATAGTTAAATTGGCTTTAATTGAGAAGATGCTATTTATATGCAAGGGTCCTTTATAGTGAGATCACAGTGGCAAACACCCATGTATTAAGAATTCTTTATTCCCAAGTTGCACATGTTACATCTATCTTAACTGTAAAATCAATATAGAAATATATCAAGCTATAAAAATAATTCAATAGGATTAGACAAAAGTCATGGTATATATAGATAAATAATTTTAAGTTTTGGTACTGGGTTATTGAAATGAATATGATGCAATAAAAACATGTAGAAAATTACTTGTATACAGTATATATGTAAAAATCTAGCCATCCATATTATATCTGTGAATATAATTCCACATTTGCACGGATAAACCTTGTAACCCTCAAATATTGCAAATAATCAACATAGGTGGTTTTTATACAAGGTGAAAGGAGGGTGTGGCATCATGATTGCATTATAGAAAAGTAACAACTGTATCATGATCCACATAATCTGGTGTCTCAACCACAGCTGCTTTATGGTCTACATAACCTGTTGATTTCGCCACATCTGTGCTATGATCTACACAACCTTGTGTCAGAGCCACATCTTTTTTATGATCCATATAGCCAAGATTCAGAATCGCAGCATTATGGTCCACATAGCTTGGGGTTTGTGGCCCATTTTTGTCAATGTAATCTTGATTCTTTTTCACATTTTCATTATGATCAACATAGTCTGGGTGTTGGTCATCTGAAACAGATGACGTAATATTCTGACTGGTATGAGACTGAGTGTTTTGATTTGGTATTTCATTTTCAAAACAATCATGCTTGGCATCACTTTGAATTTTGGTATTTGGTAGTTCATTCTCAACATAGCCTGTGTCAGGGTTAAGGGAAAATTCATGCTTGGCATCAATTTGAGTTTTGGTATTTGGTAATTCATTTTCAACATAGCCTGTGTCAGTGTTTAGGGAAAATTCATGCTTAGAATCATTTTGAGTTTTGGTATTTGGTAATTCATTTTCAACATAGCCTGTGTCAGCGTTTAGGGAAAATTCATGCTTAGAATCATTTTGAGTTTTGGTATTTGGTAATTCATTCTCAACACAGTCTGTGTCAGTATTAAGTAAAAAGTCATGCTTGGCATCACTTTGACTTCTGATATTTGGTAATAATTTATTTTCAACATAGCCTAGGTCAGGGTTCAAAGAAAATTCATGCTTGGCATCACTTTTGGTATTTTGTAATTCATTTTCAACATAGCCTGTGTCAGGTTTAAGAGAAAATTCATGCTTGGCATCACTTTGAGTTTTGGTATTTGGTAATTTTTTTTCAACATAGCCTGTGTCAGGTTTAAGAGAAAATTCATGCTTGGCATCACTTTGAGTTTTGGTATTTGGTAGTTCATTTTCAACATAGCCTGTGTCAGGTTTAAGAGAAAATTCATGCTTGGCATCACTTTGAGTTTTGGTATTTGGTAATTCATTTTCAACATAGCCTGTGTCAGGTTTAAGAGAAAATTCATGCTTGGCATCACTTTGAGTTTTGGTATTTGGTAGTTCATTTTCAACATAGCCTGTGCCAGGGTTAAGAGAAAATTCATGCTTGACATCACGTTGAGTTTTGGTATTTGGAAGTTCATTTACAACATAGCCTGTGTCTGGGTTAAGAGAAAATTCATGCTTGGCATCACTTTGAGTTTTGGTATTTGGTAGTTCATTTTCAACATAGCCCGTGTCAGTGTTAAGAGAAAATTCATGCTTGACATCACGTTGAGTTTTGGCATTTGGTAGTTCATTCTCAACATAGCCTGTGTCAGGGTTAAGAGAAAATTCATGCTTGACATCACGTTGAGTTTTCGTATTTGGTAGTTCATTCTCAACATAGCCTGTGTCAGGGTTAAGAGAAAATTCATGCTTGGCATCACTTTGAGTTTTGCTATTTGGTAATTCATTTTCAACGTGACCTGTATCAGGGTTTATTGCTTGTTTAACATTCACTTTTGCTTTGGGCTTTGATCCATTTTTACTTGTTTCAGGGTGAATGGGTTTCCCAGTACAGGGTTGACGACATTCATTTGAACCTATTTGAATCACATAACCATTGTCATTCACTAGTCCAGGAAGGTTTGCCATCAATTCATGCTCAGGTTTAATCGCTGTAATGGCTCTGCTATCATTGTGATTCAGTTTGTCATTGTCAATTGAAATGTCTGTCATTTCAGTTGATGCACCAAATTTAGAGTTTTCCTGAAAATACACCAATACTGTTCTTTACAAAATATGACAATATATTTCCTATTTGATTCCTCTAAATATATTTGAAAACTGAGATATGCCTCACATTTGAAAAAGTTAACATTTTGTTATGTCACCACCACAAGAGTTTGTCATTCGGCATCTATAATAAATGGCAGTTGGTGATGACATTTTGCATTTTAATGCCTTGTTCTCGTTTATCATGTTCATGTGATTAATGAAGGTTTGAATAAAGAGAAATGTGTAAGTGTTTATGAGAGGGGAATAGCAGTTGATGTACTTGACACTTCCTATACATGAGGAAAACAGTTCCTACCATTATGCTTTGATTGATATGATATTTTAAATGTTCTAACTCAGTTGATCACTCTCTTAGGTGTCACTGGGGGGCATATCCCAATCTTGACCTCTAAGAAACAAGTGAAGAACAGATTCTTACCATTGGTCTGTGGTCAGTCTCTGGAATTGTCTGATAGTAATTCCCTATAATGACTGTTGGATACTCTAATGTGCCACTACATGTGGGATTTGTTGTAGGGGAGGTGAAATAAGGAACCTGAAAATGATTATGTTAAAATTATAAATTTTGGACAACGGTTATTCAATGCTTTAAAACGTTCATTTTGAAAATCAGAACTGGAGAAAAAAATTCAGAACTTTTAAAGCCTAATTGTTGGAGCATTTTGAAAAATTTATAAATGAATAGGTGCCGACACTACTTACACTGATGAGTTGCTTGGTCTTCTTTTCCTGCTTTATCAAAAGTCTGAAATACATAGGAAACAAATGAAAAGTGCCATTAATCCGAACTAGTGCTCATATTTTATTTTATTGGGATCCACTGAAAGGTTGCATTTTTGATAAATTAATGTTTGATAATATTCACTCTATGTAGCATTTGCATCTCTTGTTCTGAAACTCCATTAGAAAAGCTCACTTAAGAGTCAATACTGTGTATAAGATTATGATTATACTTACGTAATAATGAAGTAAATTCCCAGACATACAAGACCAAAGAAGAAAAAGCCAACTATGACTATCAAAGCTGTCATCCAAGGCTTCAATCCTGGACCTGTAACCCAATTTAATCTAATAAGATCTCATATGCATGAAAAACCATTTGTTGAATTTACTCTTTAAAAGATTTTGTATTATCTTGAATATGTACAGAGTACTCTTGTGTTATAGTTGATGTTATTTTTCCATCATATGTACTGATTACAAATCTAGTTTATATCAATATAAATATTTCAAATAATGAGACTTCTCCTCCGATTATGTAAGGTATATATGAAATTTACTTTGCGGACATCATGATGCCATAAATTGTCAAATCTGACAAAATTAAAAGTTTGAATTTACCTGCCCTAACAAGGGTTGTGATGGTTGGTGTATGGGGACCTTTCCCATGTTTAGTGACCGCCTCCAATGTGAGACTGTAAAAAGCCCCACCCTGCAGGCCTTCTATCTTGTGTTGTGTTGCAGAGCTGGCTACAGTGATGTTTACAGTTGTCTCTAATAGGGGGGTAAAATACAATATTCATATTCACTGGGAAACAAAATACGGATGTATCGGTCATTTGCCAATGATTATCATATACATGTAAAGTAAAGATGAGCACGTGCAAATGAAAAAGTAATAGCATATTTTAATGGGATCAATTATAAGAACATTATAAATGAAGCAATTTAAATGATTAAATATGAAAGAATTAGCACCTACTTTCACAGTCTTGTTTTCTACAGTAGCGAATCATATAGTGCTGCACTATTCCATCATATTTATTGCATGGATAGTGGCTCCAGTGCACTTGTAAACTCTCTGCCTGTTTGTTCTCCACAATAACATTGAGGGGATGTTCTCGTGGTGGAGCTATTCAATAAAATAAACTTTCATTTCAATCAATCCAAGAAAAAGAAGGATGGTCAAATATTCTTCATAAAATTTTTAAACTCTGAGGATAGGTGAAAGGGGGTCATTTGAACATAACTGTTTTTTGTGCATTCCATCATTGGTAGAGATGTTGAGGTTGTTTATTGTTTTAAAATAAAATAATGAAACATATGTCTCATCTTGAGTATGACTAAGGGGTTAATGTTCTTGCAGAAGCTAAGGCTTCATAAAGCAGTTTTCAGTCCACTGGATTCCATTATAAAGTAAAATATTACATGTAACCAGCCTTATGTTCATCAGTATCATACAAGCATTCAGCCTACTGGATTCCATTATAAAGTAAAGTATTACATGTAACCAGCCTTACGTTCATCAATATCATATAAGCATTCAGCCCACTGGATTCCATTATAAAGTAAAATACTACATGTAACCAGCCTTACGTTCATCAGTATCATACAAGCATTCACCCCACTGGATTCCATTATAAAGTTAAGTATTACATGTAACCAGCCTTACATTCATCAGTATCATACAAGCATTCACCCCACTGGATTCCATTATAAAGTTAAGTATTACATGTAACCAGCCTTACGTTCATCAGTATCATACAAGCATTTGGCCCACTGGATTCCACTGCTTGTTTCAGCAAATTCTGTAGACAGACCAAATAGGTAATTTCCAGGTTTACCAAGTTCAAGAAGGCTGAAGTTCTGGGTATCACCAGCAAGAGTTTGCCATTGCAAATCACCCTTAAACAAAGAGAGGAATTACATTATTTCTAATATTTGAAATAATGGCCCCTTACTTTGTGATGAACACTACAGTAGTTGTGAAAAAAAATATTCACAAAAAATCTATTTATTGGCTCATTTTGTGCATGACTAGAGGCAATCTCGGTCTGTTACATGTCCAAACCCTCCAATATATGGGTTTCATTCAATTGTAGTTTTACAATGTAGTTTGAAAACATCATATTGGAATCTTTAAATAGAAAGAGGATGCATTAAAAGACAATTCATCAGTTTGTGTGAGCATTCATTATTAATGTTTGTAGATTACCTGACATTTGTCACCTGGAGCCCTGTGGCACCAGTAGGCTGTATGGTTATATGGACTATTGGACCACTCAAATATGACCAGACTCTGATCAGGATGCTGCTCTCTCCTTACCATCCATGTCATAGGATGTTGTATACCTGTTAATTAATCAGAGGAAGAATCAAACATTTGACTTGTACACCATGATTATGCAAAACTTATTAAAGTTTTCAAAATGATTATCACTTCACAATTCTCAATGGCACAACTTACGTTTATTTGCTTTGTGTACAACAATTCTTTGAATTGGTAATGAAGAATTAGTTCCCTTCTTTGTAGCACTTGTCACTTCAAATGTCATCTGAATATCTTGTGTTTTCCGGAAAGTTCCTGAGGTAGAAGTTGAATAAAGAGGTATCTCATTGTTAGGACTGACCATTCTTGGGGTATAAGTTACGACACCATTCCAAAGTCTTTTCATGATTTCTTGCCAGTATATTGTAACATATGACTGCTCTCCTTCTGTATATTCATAAAATGCTCCTGTTGTTAAAGTAGGAATTCCGCCTGGCACTGAAAAATATCAATATAAAGTCATCATAACTGGGTGCATTGTGGGTGCCACAGCCTCTACCATCGCTTGAAGAGAATAAACATCCTTCAGAAGAATTATATGACAAGGATCCTTGATAAAATCATACTAACTGGGATGTTTTATCAGAAGAGTTTGTAAAGTTAATCATTTCCAAGTTTATTGTTTTTTGTCACCATCACAAGTGGTGACATATTGTTATGGTTAGTCCCATGGTAAGGCCCATAGCTCATAATAAGCTAAAGCCCAACATACACCAATGGGGCACGATGGGATCTCCATATGCTTAACATTGCATGGGACCTTGTGGGCTTAATGTCCCATCTTGCCCCATCACATCCCAACCGTTTCCGGTCAGTATGACCTGTGATAACTTGAAGTTTCGAAGCACTCGATGTTATTCTGGATTTTAAACGACAAATCGATGGGATATTGTGTATTGAAGTTGGCGACAGAAACAGCAAGGTAATGCATATGATATATGAGAATCCGAGTGCTATATAATGTAAACTAAATAGTCAAAATTATTAGTATAAAGTAGAAAGCTACCGGTAAGATTTGGATCAATTTTTTCATTCAATCCAGTAAGCATTTGTGATTTAACTGATACAGTTTTCAGACACTGCATGTACTCGGTTTTTCCCATATCATTATAACATTGGTAATATAGCCTAGCTTTCAATAGTGTAACACGGTGTTTTTGTTAGCGTTCAAGGAGCTTAGCGGGCACCCAAAGGGGAGATTGAAAAGTGTATTTGTAAATAGTCTATTGTATTTGTGTAAATGTATTTTTAGAGCATTAATTTGTATTTTGTACGAGTTAGTGTGGGGGGGGGGAGTTATTGTTGATGAACGTAGTACCCTTTGGGAACCCGCGTAACCTGTACATAGGAGTTACCTAAATTTGGAGATCCTGAAAGCTGTTCGTTACTTCTTATTTTCGTGTGACTGTATTGTTTATAAATGAATATCTTATTATATGAGGAACTCAACAAATTACTAATATCTAGGCACTGTTCCTCATATGTTTTAGGAATTTCTGCCTTTCCAGGCAAACCAGTATGTTGGCAAAATGCATATATGTACTTGTAATCAGACTGATGTATTGGTTTGTGTTTGATTGTGTTTGTGTTTGTTTTGCTTGCTCATCCAAGTCACATGTATCTAATTGTACACGTACATGTAGCTCATACTTTTCAAATGAACTTATCAAGAGTCCCTATAGCCCTGCAAGATCAGGAATAGGGTAATATGCCCTGTTGTACTGAATCATGGAGAAGAGCAGTTGGACTTTTTAATTGGCACCACATATTAAGCTTGGAAAACATATTGGAACCGGGCTCTCAATTGAAATGTGAATACTCTACTGAATTTTACCAGCTGGCTGTTATTTTAGTTGCATTTTTAACTCTCTTACTGATTGTAGGAGGGTTACATGTATCTAGTTGTAAATTGCAAATTCTGCCCTTTGTCTTGGTATTTGCATTTCACATAGTCTACATTTGCATTATTTTATATACCATGTTGTCTATAATAAGATATTTGGTGAGTCTCTATTCACATACAATACCAATTATACTTAATATTTCATTACTAACTGTGGTCATTTCATGTATACCTGGATCTACATTACTTATACATAATCCAAGCCACATGTATTACTTATTGCTCCTATTATGTGGGGATATTGAAAGTAATCCAGGCCCATCAGATGACTTAAAAATTTTGTTCAGCAACATTAACAGTGTGAAGGCAGACTCACTAAATCGCTTAAATTTCCTGAAAAATTATGCAGCAAAGGAGGAGTTTCATATTATAGCCCTATGCGAATCGGGTAATATCACACCTGAAGATCTAAAATCAAAGAATTTTGACATAAGTAACTATGGCGCACCAAAATTTTGCTCAAACTCTGGCAGAGGCTTGATTTTATGGTCCCATGATTCTGTTGAAGTAAAAATTTTGGATCAATTTAGATCAGCTGACCTGGTCAACTGCTGGATTGAAGTTAAACTAAACTTCAAAACATTTCTATATGGATTTTTTTACAGATCACCATCAATGAATGCTAATGATACCAGGCGGTACTTCTCTGATTTCAAAGATAATATATCTAATGTGGCAATACATCCGAATAATGGGATATTTATTAATGGGGATTTTAACGCAAGAAATGATGTATGGTATGAACATGATCATAACAATTTAGCTGGAACTGAATTATTTAGTACATTAACTGAACTTGATCTTTTGCAACTCGTCTCTGAACCAACCAGAGTCAGGCAGAACTCAAAGACATGCATTGATTTACTCATAACCAATTCCGAACATGCGATTTCTCACAGAGTTGATCCCCCGATTGGAAACTCTGACCATTGTGCAATTGTGTCAACCATAAGATCGAGGATCCCAAGAGAGCCATCTATTAAAAAGACCATGTGGAACTTCAGTAATGCTGATCTACAGCAACTTAATGCCAATATTACTAACTCTGATTGGAGTTTCATATTTGAAGACTCTGTCAATAGTGCAACCAATAGATTTATTGATAATTTTATGTCCATAATCAAGACAAGTATTCCTTGCAAAATTTTTTCTACACGTTATGATGATCAACCATGGTTTAATAGCTCAATTAAAAAGGAAATCTATAAACGTAATAAACTTCATCATAAATTCAAAGCAACAGATAACATAGAATTTTATGAAAAATATGTGACCCAAAATAGAAAAGTAAATCTATTGATTAGCGAGGCCAAAGCAAACCACGAAATCAAACTCAGAGAAAAGATTGATAATGTTTCAAAAAACTCTACAGAATATTGGACTTTAATCAAAACTCTTTTGGGTAAAAATCATACAAGCTCATTTCCTGTTCTTATTGATCCTTTGACAAATATCTCAGCATGCAGCAGCTTTGAAAAGGCTGAAGCTTTTCTAAAATATTTTGCAAGTAAAAACTGTGTTGATATTAATAATACCAATGAACCACCACTTGAACTTAGAACAAATACAATATTGCCAGAAATCAGAACTTCTCCACAGGAGGTATTTGAGCTGTTCTCTAACCTAGATGTAAATAAATCCCATGGACCTGATGAGATAACCAACAAAATGATTAAACATAGCGCCTCTTCTCTTTGTCTTCCTGCCAGTCAATTGTTTAATAGAATTTTAGATGAGAATATTTTCCCAGACATCTGGAAAGAAGGCACTGTCATCCCAATATTTAAGAAAGGGGACAGAGGCACAATAAGTAATTATAGACCAGTGACCCTCTTATGTACTTTTTCTAAAATATTGGAAAGGATCATCCATAAGAGATTACTTCTCCACTTGCTTGAAAATAATTTATTATACAAACTCCAAAGTGGCTTTTTACCCAAACATAATACAGTGAACCAACTTATTCATATTGTTCATGACCTCCATACTAACATCGATAATGGTAAAAATGTGCGTTCCATATTTCTTGATCTCACGTCAGCGTTTGACTTAGTTCCACACCATCTTCTTTTAAAAAACACTAAAAGCCTATGGATGTAATGACAATTTTATCTCCTTAATGACATCTTATCTTTCAAATAGGAGAATACAAGTACGGGTAAACAATAGTTTATCCAAATGGTCAAAAGATCGGGAACAGCGTAATGCCAATTTTGATCCTGGCCATAATGGTAGTCATAATTTTACCATAAATGCGGGTGTGCCGCAGGGGTCTGTTTTGGGACCCCTATTATTTCTAATTTATATTAACGACTTACCCGACAATCTCAACTCAAAAACTTTTATTTTTGCTGACGACACTTCACTGTATGATGCGTATGATAAAAATGAAGTCTTTTTAAACATTAATCAGCCATTACAAGATGACCTTGACACTTTACACCAATGGTCATTACTATGGAGAATGAAATTTAAAGCTCAAAAGAGTGCTGACATAACTTTCTCGGGACAACGCACCCAGAATATTAACCAATCTCCCCTAACTTTGGGAGGTGAAGAGATACCCATTTGCACAACGCATAAACATCTTGGACTAGTCCTGGATTGTAAACTTAATTTCAATGCCCATATAGATCAATTAATTGGTAAAATAACCTCCCTAATTAGACCCTTGAAAGCTCTCTGTAAAAATTTACCAGGTAAGCACCTTGAAAAAATCTATAATGCCTATTTTTTACCACACTTTGACTATTGTGACATAATCTATAATAAAGCCTCCTTAGCAAAACTACAAGCTCTCGACAGACTGCATTACAAAGCAGCATGCCTGGTGTCTGGTGCTATCCATGGATCAAGTACAGACAAAGTTCTTTCCTCTATTAATTGGAAAACCCTCTCCTCGAGAAGAGATGAACATTTAAAAATTTTCTTATTCAAAGCTCGCTTCAACTGTTTCCCACCCTTTATTTGTGACCTAGTTCGTACATATGAAATCACTCATACCAGAGACCTCAGATTCCAGCATGACTATAGAATTCCGAATCATTTGAGTTCATCTTGTGGTAAATCCACTATTTTTAATTCCATGAAGGTTTGGAATAAACTGCCAGCAGCGATTAGAGTTGGTCAACCCATTTCAAGGTTTAAAAGGTCAGTGAGAGAGTACACGAGCCTTGTCTCTGTATCAACTACTAAAATGACTAGGTGCATGCCAAGGCAAATAGAAATCAAATTCAATAGACTAAGAGCTGGTCTACTTTTGAACAGTCACTTTTATTCTCATAATTTCCTGTCGGTAACAGATCCCAAATGTCAATGTGGTGAAAAATTTCAAACCACTGAACACTTTTTAATCAAGTGTCCACTGCTCCTTAATGAACGTGAAGTTCTTCTTGCAGGACTATCAGACTTGGACTGTTTACGAGATTTTGAAGCATACTCAATTCAAAGGAAAACACATTTTCTATTAAATGGAGATGAAAATTTGGACTTTGAAACAAATGAAAAACTGATTGAAATCACTGCTCACTATACATTTCAAGCTATACTAAGTCTGGGACAGGGTAATTTTTAACATTTGAGCTTGATACCACAACTTGGTACTGGGGAACAAGCAAACCAAACATCAACAAAAAAGAAAAAGCTTCTCTGAACATTTTGTGTATTTCTGAATATCAATTTTTATTTATCAAAATGTTTCAATTGCCGATAATGTTGTCCTGTCAACAATGGCAATTTGTAAAAATGTAACCGATTGATTTTTAGAAATAAATATGAAGTATGTAAAAAAAAAAAAAAAACATCCCATGAGGTCCCACATAGGCTCGGTGGGGCAAAATACCACTGAGTCCCATCAAGCCCATCGAGAATGAACATGTTCATTCTTTCCATGGGACATTGTGGAATTTTCGATCATATGACGTGTTGTGTGAAGCCCAACATACACCAATGGGGCACGGTGGGATTTGATGGGGACACCATGGGGCATGATAGGACTCTATGGGGCAAAGTCATCAAGGTACCATGGGATTTTGTGGGATTAGATGGGACAAGATGGGACTCATTGGCTAAATGAGATTTTGCCCCATTGGTATAGATTGGCTTAAGGAGATTCTCAGTGCCATATCTATGTCAAAACTTAATTGTTAATTGTTATGCCATGACATTAACATGCAAGTGATTTATAATACAAATATGAAAATGGATGTGTTTTAAGCCTCATGGCACAATTCCTTAGGTAGCAAAATTCTCTTGGGGGCATCTCTAATTTCTGTAAAACCAAAGATCTGAGAATTTATTTTCTTGATATTGATTTCTCACCATCCTCGGGTGTTTTTGTCATGACTTGAGATGAACTGCTGGGATAGCCCACTATGCTGTTGTTATAGATGGCTCTAACAATCACTTCTATTGTATAATTTGTGAAGGGCACAAGACCTGTGATGTGAATGGCTTCTGCCTCTATTTGTAGTCTTAATGTCTGGAAGTAAATGAAATATATGGAGATGATTTAAAGTCCAGGTGTTTTTCTTTATATAGATGTCGCCTGTATTTTTGCATAATAAGGTATGGCTGGGGTTCACAAAAAGACAACAGCTCTCTAAACAAAATCTTATAAATGAAAAATCCAATGCTTGGTCTATTATGTCTAATTTCAGTCATACATTTTAAGCAAACACTAACTTGAAAATCTTACATATTATTATGGTTACCTTATTTTTGTCCCATTTTGAAATGTAACTGATATCATAGACAACTTCTTTTCCAATTGGGGCAGTTCTCGTCCAGTTGACATAGATACATGTGCTGTTAATAGGTGTAGCCTTAGCAATCACAGGATCTGGCTCAACTAAAATTAATATACAGTATATATGTGCATGTACAGTGAATAGCAGCTTGAAATCTCCGGAAATTTTTATCAAAGTATTTGATATTACATGTAATTGTTATCTAATTTTTTTTGTTTATGCCTGGTTTATATTGAACTTTTTTTAGCTCATGGGAATAAATTGCTACTCACTGAATGTTTGTGGATTTCCTATGAATGTCTGCGAATTTCCTTCAATTTTCAGTTTATTTGCTATGCTTACTTCAAACTTGATATATGTTGCATTTTGTGGGGTTTTTACTTTGCAAGCTGCTCTGTCAGTGTGTGATGTGGACCATGGACAGGCTGCTTGTCTATTGCAATTTTCGCTGAAATTGTGTGCTCATTCATTCATTTAAATCAACAATGTGTAGAATGTAAACAAATGCATACATAAAAATCATGCTTTGGATATCACTGCTTAGGTCAATATGATTTGCTATGTTTCATCAGTGCCATTTTCTAGTTTTGTTTCCAATGCAAAAAACTTACCATTGATATTCAAACTTTTGATGGAAAATAATGGTTTGAATATGCTCCAGAGTTGGCCCTGGTGATACTTAAGTCTTCGCTTCTGATGAGTGTAAAAATATTAATAAAAATAGGTACAATACCATCCATTTGATGCTGTATATATAAGGTGAGAATGGAGTATATATGGTTCATGATATTACTGAGTTTATTTGTGAGCATTCTAGCATTCTCACAGAAATTAATTTCTCTTATACAAGGTGACACCAAAAAAACAACTCACCACCATGTAACAAATGTAGTTACATTTGTATGCAGACTAATGGGAAAGCTCCCAGGTTGCCAGCTGAATTCTAACAAGCCATTCCAATTTCTCATTTTACACTCAATATTGTGTGGCTTTTCAGGTAAATCTGTGAAAGAAATGGAATATGTACATTAATATTAGGATTCCTTGCTCTGTGTTCGACCAGATACTTGTTCAATTGAGGGAGCGTTTGAATTATTTATGGTCTTGGTATCTGTAGTGTTTTATGAACATATGAAGAATGGTGATTGCTAAAAGTGGTATGTACTATAATGTCTAAATTATAAAATGCTTACATCCTATAAGAGTCATTGTTTCTGCCAATATCTCATCCTCTTTAATGAGGCAGTTGTGAAAGCAATATCCTGTTGTGTTGAGTGTAGACAGGTGAAAGTGTGGCATATTAGGAACAGACAGGAAAGCTGTATGGTTATTGACCACTGTGACATATTCAGCTGGATATTCTATGGGGTTGCCATTATTGAAACTATTTGATAGATACTGAAATAAAAATGATGCCTTGCACAAATGCCAAGAATTATATAGAACACAGGCACTGGCACAAATAGTTGTCCAAAGAAAATCTTATTGTTGATTATTGAGATAAATATGGTTGCTCAGTATCAAAACTGAAAAGACTGTATGTGTGTCCTCTGGATAAGACCAAAAATATACTAGCAAGACTGAACTGAATTGAACACTAATATCATATTACCCTGGTTTAAAATTCATATTGAAAATCAAGCATGAAATAACCTATATTTATATAAAACATCTAAAATAATGTGGAAATAAAAAAACATAAACATTACATATATATAAAACAACATAAAAAAACTTATTAAAAAAATGTAACATTATTTAAAGAAAAATTACTAGGACACCATTCACTGATGAATCAAAGTAGATCAATCAAAAAGCAATAAATTTACATGTACATTTTGAAATTGTCCTAATCCTCACCTCAAAAGTTATATCATGTGCATTTTTGTTTCCCTGGTAACCATCTCCAATGATGCATGTTAGGTTCAAATTTCCCCCCACTGCAGCACAGGATTCACCTCCATCCATATGCTTACATAATGGATCAGCAATGATTCCTATAATAGAAAGTATTCATTAAGATGATGGGTGATGTGGTGAGAGAAATGTTCTAAATGTTTATGAAGAGGGGGAGAAACCACAGGGTTCAAAGATGACGTACGTCTATAATGTAAATCTGTATTGATATGACCTATGGTCCTGATTGGTCCAAATAGACAAACAAAAATGGCGGATTCAAAATTTTCTAATAACGCTTTGAATAATATTATGTTAATTTCTGGGCGTGTTAAACAATATCATAGCCTGTTATTTCACATCATGATAAAGAAAGATGTAAGGAATATGTATACACCCTATGCAGACAGAGCCTGTGGGAAATATTGGGTGCGGCGCAAATGAGCAGAGGGTGCGGAGCTAACGGTCATTTTTGAATTTAAAATTGGGATATTTCTGAAACTAAGCCGTTTTGGGACTTCAAATATACCAAGATATGTGTATTTGACACCAAATATCAATACAATTGTGAAAATAGTAGCGCAATTCATTCTATAGCGATGCAGTGTGCCTTAAACCTTTCCCAGACCTATATATTTTGAAACTATCCTTTTAATACTGCGTCCCCAGCATTCATAAAAAATGGTGTTCAAGATACACTACCCATGCAAATTATTTTTGCATCTTGGAAGCCAGGCAGTATCTGTGTGATTTTATAAAAATTCGGAAATGTTCTTCAGATATGAGCCCCCTCTAAATATTGGGTGCGGAGGTACGTTTATGGAGCTGCTCCGCACCCAATATTTAGAGGGGGCTCATATCTGAAAAACATTTCCGAATTTTTATAAAATCACACGGATACTGCCTGGCTTCCAAGATGCAAAAATAATTTGTATAGATAGTGTACCTTGAACACCATTTGTCACCACCAAAAGTGGTGACATATTGTTATGGTCTCCGTTTTTTGCGACGGCGTCCGGCGGTTTGTGGTTGGCGTCCGGCGTCTGTAACAATTTCTTACAACTTCCTATAACTTAACAAATACTGTTTAGACTGACTTCAATTTTTTTCTAAATCATCTACATGTTCTCAGAAGTTCAAATCTGACTTTAGATTTGACATTTGACCTTCAATGACCTTCTCAAGGTCAAAAAGGTCTTTTTTCAACTTGCTTCACATTGACTAAATTTTTTTCAAAATCATCTACATGTTCTCAGAAATTCAAATCTGACTTAAGATTTGACATTTGACCTTCAAATCTGACTTTAGATTTGACATTTGACCTTCAATGACCTTCTCAAGGTCAAAAAAGGTCAAAAAGGTCTGTTTTCAACTTGCTTCAAATTGACTAAATTTTTTTTTCAAAATCATCTAAGTGTTCTCAGAAATTCAAATCTGAGTTAAGATTTGACTTAAGATTTGACATTTGACCTTCAATGACCTTCTCAAGGTCAAAAAAGGTCAAAAATGTCTGTTTTCAACTTGCTTCAAATTGACTAAATTTTTTTTTCAAAATCATCTACGTGTTCTCAGAAATTCAAATCTGACTTAAGATTTGACATTTGACCTTCAATGACCTTCTCAAGGTCAAAAAAGGTCAAAAAGGTCTGTTTTCAACTTGCTTCAAATTGACTAAAAAAAATTTTCAAAATCATCTACGTGTTCTCAGAAATTCAAATCTGACTTTAGATTTGACTTAAGATTTGACATTTGACCTTCAATGACCTTCTCAAAGTCAAAAAAGGTCAAAAAGGTCTTTTTTCAACTTGCTTCAAATTGACTAAATTTTTTTTTCAAAATCATCTACATGTTCTCAGAAATTCAAATCTGACTGTAGATTTGACATTTGACCTTCAATGACCTTCAATGACCTTCTCAAGGTCAAAAAAGGTCAAAAAGGTCTGTTTTCAACTTGCTTCAAATTGACTAAATTTTTTTTTCAAAATCATCTACGTGTTCTCAGAAATTCAAATCTGACTTAAGATTTGACTTAAGATTTGACATTTGACCTTCAATGACCTTCTCAAGGTCAAAAAAGGTCAAAAAGGTCTGTTTTCAACTTGCTTCAAATTGACTAAAAAAAATTTTCAAAATCATCTACGTGTTCTCAGAAATTCAAATCTGACTTTAGATTTGACTTAAGATTTGACATTTGACCTTCAATGACCTTCTCAAAGTCAAAAAAGGTCAAAAATGTCTTTTTTCAACTTGCTTCAAATTGACTAAATTTTTTTTTCAAAATCATCTACATGTTCTCAGAAATTCAAATCTGACTTTAGATTTGACATTTGACATTCAATGACCTTCTCAATGTCAAAAAAGGTCAAAAAGATATTTTTTCATCTTGCTTCAAATTGACTAAATTTTTTTTCAAAATCATCTACATGTTCTCAGAAATTCAATAATGTCTTTAGATTTGACATTTGACCTTCAATGACCTTGTCAAGGTCAAAAAAGGTCAAAAAGGTCTTTTTTCAACTTGCTTCAAATTGACTAATTTTTTTTTTCAAAATCATCTACATGTTCTCAGAAATTCAAATCTGACTTTAGATTTGACATTTGACCTTCAATGACCTTCTCAATGTCAAAAAAGGTCAAAAAGGTATTTTTTCATCTTGCTTCAAATTGACTAAATTTTTTTTCAAAATCATCTACATGTTCTCAGAAATTCAAATATGACTTTAGATTTGACATTTGACCTTCAATGACCTTGTCAAGGTCAAAAAAGGTCAAAAAGGTCTTTTTTCAACTTGCTTCAAATTGACTAATTTTTTTTTTCAAAATCATCTACATGTTCTCAGAAATTCAAATCTGACTTTAGATTTGACATTTGACCTTCAATGACCTTCTCAAGGTCAAAAAAGGTCAAAAAGGTCTGTTTTCAACTTGCTTCAAATTGACCAAATTTTTTTTTCAAAATCATCTTCATCTTTTCAGAAGTTCAAATTTGACTTTACAAGTTCTCAGAAATTCAAATCTGACTTAAGTTTGAACTCATAATATTGTGAGCAACTAGGTGGTGACATTTTGTCATGTTAATGCCTTGTTTATGAATGCTGGGGACTCAGTATTAAAAGGATAGTTTCAAAATATATAGGTCTGGGAAAGGTTTAAGGCACACTGCGTCGCTATAGAATGAATTGCGCTACTATTTTCACAATTGTATTGATATTTGGTGTCAAATACACATATCTTGGTATATTTGAAGTCCCAAAACGGCTTAGTTTCAGAAATATCCCAAATTTAAATTCAAAAATGACCATTAGCTCCGCACCCTCCGCTCATTTGCTCCGCACCCAATATTTCCCACAGGCTCTGTCTGCATAGGGTGGTATACATCGATTAAAAACATCACAACCACGTGTTATATTCAAAAACTAACAGGTGAGAATTGGCGCAAATGAAGATGGTATGCAAGCGACGTAATATGTCTGTCATCACTAGAGCTCTGGGGGTTTCCCTCCTCTTATGTTTATGTATGTTGAGATAAATTCATAAACTACTGAGTTGTTATTAGCAAATTATACATGTTTATGTTGGTCTGTTCACTTTCAGTTAATGATTTATTTTGTAGAGTTTAAGGGCCGCCTGAATCAATTATCAATTAAATACCGATCTCTGCTTATATGTTTGATTTATTATCCTTTTTTCTGGAAATCTGAATCTCATTAGTAGATTAAATATACATCGTCAATTAATGATCATCTAAAGTGGATACACTACACAGTAAAACCTGTGTAAGTGGAACATCCTTTGGACCACCATTATTGTATACTTCAAGTTAAAAGATGTTATAAACTTGTGGGTTCCACTTGTGGGTTGCTCTATTTACAGACAGGTGTTTCACTAAACAGTTTTTACTGTATTTAGTAAGTTAAAAAACAGACAGCGCCAGGATATATCATGTGAGAATGAGTCTACTCACTTCCCTTTGTTAGGCCCTGCACAACTTCAAGAATCATTTGTAGAATAAAGACTTTCTGCATCAGGGTCATATTGATAATGATATAAGACCAATCTCAATTTAAGTTGAATCCAAGCATTATCTGGAAAGTAGATACATATTTTAGTATATTGGCCTCGGGAAATATCATATGGACACTCGGCCTTCACCCTCGGTCAATATCATATTTTCCTTGGTCAATATCATCTTAAAAATAAAATTCATATTCCATCCCTCTCATTAAATAACCTCTATTTATCTAATACACCTCACATATCAAATACATACCTGCACATATATGGGTATGTATAAGATATGTGTGGGTATGTATTATATACCCACACATATCAAATACATAACCATTCATGTCTTAACCACACATCTTACATCTTTACACATCATCACATCTACTTTAATCTTGACAGTTATACATTATTCAGCAGAGATATAATTTATGGTTTCACAGTGCTCTTTTACTCCCCACATAGCCATACGATTTTCATTACAGAGCAACAGTGATTATCGATTCATATCTGTTCATTTTAGACCGTTGTATGAAGCACAGGTGAACAGTAATGTGATATAACATTGCTTTTCCCCATTATAAAGACATAAGGAAAAAGAATCAATACAGAAAATGTATCCTTTTTCGAATAATGTTTATTCCATATGATCATTCATCTATATTTGATTTATCATATCATTAGTTAATTGAATGATTCTTTGGTTGCCTTGGTAACAAAGAATGTATAGCACAACTCAGGCGAATTGTTTCTTCATTCCGTTTTGTCTCTGTCTATTGTACTATATTGTGAACACCACATCTTTTTTGTGTTATCAGTTGGTGTTTGGCTGTTGTTCAGCATTTGGTGGTTGATGTATGGCAGTTAGTGTTTGGTGTCTGAACAAATTGCAGCTGGTGACCTTTTGCATCTTAATGTCTTGTTATGTCACCACCAAAAAGTGGTGACATGGTTTCTATTTTTTGTGGCGAGTTTGGTGGTCAGTTATCGAAGGGTGGCAGTTGGCGTCTGTAACGAATTCTTACAACTTCCAATAACTTAACAAATACTGACTTCAAGTTTTTTTCAAAATCATCTCCAAGTTATCAGAAGTTCAAATCTGACTTTAGATTTTAGATATGAATGATCTTCTCAAGGTAAAAAAGATTTTCTTTCAAAAAGATTTTCTTCAACTTGCTTCAAGTTGACCAACTTTTTTTCAAAATCATCTACAAGCTCTCAAAAGTTAAAATCTGACTATACATTTGACCTTCAATGACATTTCAAAGTTCTCAGATATTCAAATCTGACTTGAGATTGAACTTATTATATTGTGAGCAAATAGGTGGTGACATTTTGTCATGTTAATGCCTTGTTATGGTGTGCTGATAATTCTGACAGTCCTACATGTATTAATAGTGAAAATATTCTATTATTATAGGACAATTACAGGATGTAGTTTCACTTCCTCAAAGAATGTCTGTTTATACATATCTTACATGTATATGTTTTGAGAGATCATATTTTACTGATTGTATCTGTAAGAAAACCAGCTCACTAACATTAACATTTTTGTCAAATTAAATGTGCAACAGTGCTTAACTACTGTAAATACTGTATCCAGATGCCATATTCAAGTAATAAAGAAAAAACAACATTCTTCTTGATAACTGTGTAAATAAAAACAAAGAGGGGAATGGGCTTTATAAATGCCTAATGCATTCACTGTTGAGATTCAGTTTATTTTGATAGGAAAATGTGGGTGGAGTTGAGGAGGTTTTCTAGGAAATAATTTTAATGATATCTGATATGCCATTGTTTCATATCCATCATTCATGAAAATATATACAATACATACAATTTACTGTAAACATTTTCATTTCCACATATATGTTTTTTACACATCACATATTATTATAAATTAATGATTTTACTACATTGTAAAACATGTAACATTGTAAGAATGCTTGAATAAGAAATACATTGCTAAGAATTTCAAAATTCATGAAAATTGTACAAAATGAATTCAACATTTCATTTTCTTGCAATGTTTATACAGCTTAACAATACTGTGAAAATGCCATGAATAACAAATTGGTTCGAAAATAAGGGAATGGTAAAAAAATTAGCTTAACTTATCTTTCTATTGATTTTGAGAAGATGCTTTAATCACTGTTGTAGAGAATTTGATAATCTGATAATCATAGTTCTTAATAATTCATTATTGTTGAAATGGTGGGAAATTCAAAATCCCAAAACCTTTATTTATATTTTCAAATAAGATTCAATATTAATACATAAAGCTACATACCTTTTTAGTCACCAGTACATGCTCTGTACGCTTGCAATATTCTTGCACAATCTCCAAGACAGTGTGTTCATAGTAGTATCAACCAGCAGGTTATGTTGTGCCTCTAGGAGTAAAGAAGTTTTTGTTCTTGAGGAAGTTGGTTACTCATTAAGCTTCTGCTTAACAGATCATGATGACTATGAATCATGTCCATATCGAGGCTTCAATTGGTGGAGGGTGGAGCATATCAACATGTACCCTTGAAGTCAAAGCCTAGCGAATAGGCGAATCTCTCTTTTAAAGAAGCAGCATCAATATTCAACATTTGTATTAACCTGTTTTGACACCTGAACCAGCCATGGTGGGGGGGGGGGGTTCCCCTAGAGCAAAAGGTGTCAGGGAATCTTCAATATTGTATGAAACATTTTAGGTTGGCCTAGAGTAAAAGCCCTTTAGGACTGAAGTAATATTTTTGTTAAAAATGAGCCTCAAGTTGCCTTCGCTTGATTTGCCACTCTGCTTCACCAAATGAATTATACATGTATTTTTATTAGTTATTTTTTAGTTAGAATGTCATCCTTTACACCCTGTGACTTATAATGTAAACACAATGTCACTTTCTGGAAACTTTCATTTGTATGCTTAGGCGTAGCCAGGTGGTTGCCCCCCCCCCCCCCCCCCCCCCCCGGCTGCAAGCTGACTACGCCCCTGTAAATGTAATAATTATTATACTGGAGCCTTCTAAATTGATAAAAAATATAAATTGAATGAGTCACAGTGTGCAATTGAGGAGCCTTGACTTCTGTTTTTCTAATCTATGGCAACATTCTCAATAAAACTTCCTCGTATGAATCAGGTAATTAAGTAGAGAAATTGGGCGTTATATTGTCATAAACAGATGCTGTGTATAAACTGATAAGGCTCACATGATAAACAGGGACATGCCTGGGATAATTTTTTATGTTTGGTCTTCATAATTTACTTGCAAAATTGTACTTCTTTTAACAATTTGGTAATTGAAATGATTTTTCAGACTATTCTATGAAATATCAGTGGCTTCATTAGAATTTCTGACAACAAGCTAATCAAATGAAAAAAACCACAGCCAATATTATCAGAAATAATAATTTTAGGATGGAACAGTTTCAAAATTCTTTAAAACAACAAGCAATTTTGGCAAAATCTGAGAATATTGCCTGTTGCCCAGTGTTGGGGTGAAACTCCAAAATATGGTGAAATATGGTTGTTGTTCTAATATATTGCATCTGCAAGGGAGTCAAGCTTGACATTCTTGCAGATGCAATATATTATAACAGCATCAATATTCAACATTACAGCTGTATTAATCAGTATTGACACCTGAACCAGCCATGGTGGGGGGGGGGGGCTCCCTTAGAGCATGATGTGTCATTTGAAATATGGATAATTGAATATGTTTAATAGTCTTTCAAAATGCATATTGGAAAGATATGTTGGCTGTGAGAACTACACCTGATGATCTCCAGTCTTCACATTGGAGTATCTGGACAAGTGAAGAATGAATGGTTTGGAATTTAATATTAATCTCCAGTGTTTTCTTGAATATAACTGCTTGCTTTGAAGATATTCATGAATGATTTCTCAAATGTCTCAAAAGATATAGTTACTGGGCAAGAGAGAATTATGTCCCAATAGACACCATAGTTTGCAAGAACTGACCATCCTTCAAAATGCAGCAATTGACAAAGCAAAAGCCGAACATTCCTAGTGAGTCAGTGAGACCTTGTGCGTCAGTGAGACCTTGGAAGCACAGCTGCAATGGTTAGCATATTTGACATCATTATTGAGTTCAATTTTTATGTGTAGATATAAGCAAAAGGCCAGGCAGATATTTGGTTATAAACTTTGTTGAGGTACCAGTATGTAATGACCCAAGGGTGGCTTGAGGGAATGGCAGATTGCATCGTGTAACAATGTTCCTTTCAAAACAATTGAAAAGGATGACATAGATGAAAGAATATCTATTATGCCGTTATGGATACTGTCATAAGTATTTATGAGAACATAATTTCCAATATTTGGACACTAGAAACAATTGTTGACCTCTAAATTGTTTACTTCAACTTGAAAGTTTAAAGTCTCAGTATACAAGTTTAACAGTTCACCTCAACATGAATGGAAGATGTCAAATGAAAGGTGTAAAAATCCAAGCCATGAATCACAAATTCATTTTCTATCCTTCCTTCATGCAAATATTTACAAATATACATATTACAGTAGAACCTGTGTAAGTGGAACACCCTCCGTTCTGCCAAAAAGCGTTCCACTTAGGAGGTGTTCCACTTACGGAGATTTTGGGTTCGCGGGGATTTAATGAACATACAAGATCAAATATAGAATTTATATGTATCACTGGAAATATGATTCTCCCTTCATTGCAAGGCAGGTATACACTGGCAGGGGGCAGATTTCTACCCCCTTGGGTGGGCCCAGAAAAAAAATTGGCCCTAAGGCCCCAATAAATGGGCTTTTTAGGCATTACTTGGCCTTTTTAGGTTTATTTTATAATCTTAGACCAAATTCTGAAGAAAATGGGCCTATTATTTTCAAACTTTAGTCCCACGTTTTGCCCCCCCCCTTTGTTGGTTCCCAGATTTTCCCCTGGGTATATACCATTAATAATCCATTTGGTTTCATCCTCCGATCACAGGGCTTCAAAATCCAGAATATCTTCTTTCTTTTACCCCCTGCTATAACCAAGTTGGACGCGCCCGATTAAACTGAATCACGTGATCTTATTATGCGCCGATGACGTATACATGATTTCTGTCGCAGTGTTGCGACAGCCAATCAAATTGCGAGTTCTTAATCGGGGAAATGCTAACTGCTTATAGCAGGGGGAAGAAGGAGGTGCGGATTCTGGACACCTGCTTAGGAGGATGATTTGGTTTACTTAAAAAGGTATCTGACATTCTTAATCCTCCTCATACTGCCAAAAATGTTCTGACATTCTTAATCCTCCTCATTCTGCCAGTCTCAGGTACAACGGTTTGGCAATTAAGTTTTAAAGACTTGTTCCTACTGCTAATAATTCAATTGTTTTTCAACTGATATTCTTAATCTTACTTATCAAGTTTGAAACAAACAGCAAGGGGTATAAATTAGTGGTAGCATCACATGTCCATCTCTACAGGAGGTTAATCCAATTTTCTGAATGATAATCTTATGAAATCCTAATTTGCTGATTATCAAATTAATTAGTGGTTGCATCATGTGTTGACCTCTACAGGAGGTTCATCCAATTTGCTGAATGGTAATCCATTAAAAAACCCAATTTGCCAATTATCAAATTATTACCTGTTTTCATACCTAGATATCACCGTAGGAGGTTAATTCTGTTTACATAAGTATCAATATTGAAATTTTGGGAAATTGACTGTTCCACTTAGCAGGTTAATTTTCAATATGGGGTGTTCACTGTTCAAGTTTGGAGGTGTTCCACTTACAGAGGTTCAATTAACACTAAGTTAATGGGTTTTTAAAACGGGACTTTGAAAAAGCGTTCCACTTTCGAGGTTTTCCACTTACAGAGGTGTTCCATTTAGCAGGTTCTACTGTACAATTATGTCTCCGCATAAGCCATTCCGTATGATGACATTCCAGTGTTATTAGATTTTTTCCCGAAGACAATGAAAATGCAGATCATTTATAATGATTGTTAAACAAAAGAACTGATCAATATTTTGTTCACTTAAGGTGTACAATTTCTTAGCTCGTCACACATTCATGCAGGGAAGGATATTATTATTACAATTGAAGATATTCTATTTTTCTAGTATCTTCAGGCATTGAGTATGCAATGTAATATTGATTTCATTATTGTATAGGCCAAGAAAGTCTCACTTGTTTGAGGCTTGATTGACAAGAGAGATATATCAGTTTTTGAGATCTTAGAAACTCAATCTACTAATTGCCTTCTCAATATTTTTTAATATTATCCCAAGTGTCATTTAAAAAAGGTATTTCTCCCTCGACTTCACTGTACAGTATTTACACAAACAAATATGACAGAACAAACTCTATAAATTTCTGCTAATATTTAATACTTATTTGAAATTACAGATGTCTAAATGTTCAGTGACTGATTTCTCAGTTTCACAAAAATGTAAGATAATAAAAATCAGTATTTGTTCAAAATGTCTACCTTGCAAATGTTTTACCAAACAAATGAAAACTGGCTGTTGTCTAACTAATGCTTACAAGTATATCCATTTATGGTTGTTCATATTGGTAGTTTACATCATGACTATGAGTCTCAAATCTTACTTTTGCTTTGTTTTGGAGAAATCAGATTTTTTGTCATCAAAATATCACATTTTTCATTATTTACAAGTCTGTTCATTTAATTTGTTACCAAATCAATAATGTTTAGAAGTATCAATGCCAAAATGTTACTCACAAATTTATTTATGATTATATGTTCTTGAATAGATATTCATTTTTAACATTTTTGATTTAACACATTCTGTTTGCAGTCAAACACAATCAACAACTTCATGTGCCAAATATCAAGTCTCCAGGCAGAGCTCAAGGCATTGTCTAAGGCCCAGTCAGACACCAGTCATATTGTCCTGCAGAGGGAGGATGAACTCTCAAAGAGCAGGAGGGAATATAGTGATCTTAAACAAAAATATCAGGTAGGTCCCTAGTTTTGGATGTCATGAAAACCTCTGTCACTCAATCTATCCATCTCTCCATCCATTTAGCCAACATGTTTTGAATCTATGTCTCAGCAATAAGACAAATACCAGTGAACCAATTTTGTTACATTAACCAAGGCAAAGGGGGAAACCATTATTAAACCTAATGTATTGGAATCATTAAACGGAATATGATCAGCCTAAAACCATTGAAGTAAATGTAGTGTATAATTGATGACTTTATATCATTTTCAAGGAATCCTGTCATCGAGAGAAAGATTTAGAAAAGCGATGGCGGGAGACTGAAGACAAATTGTTAGAAGCCAGTAATGAATCTGTACAGGTATGATTTAATCATGTTAAACATGAATGAAATTCAGTTAAAAGCGATCGTGACCTTGTTTTGTTTTTGTGGGTCATCATTTGGAATCATTGATGAACATTATTTATTTGCTTCATCTTATTAATTGCTACCCTTTGCATTCGTTCATCTTCACTTCTTAAAAGAGAACTTTGTCTTCACTCTTTCAGTTTACAATAAATCTCTGATCTCACCGAGCCAATCAGAGTTTGTTGTTGAAATACGGACAACTCTTTATTTATGGTCATTTCTTCTGACATTATCACATAGTTATGCACCATTCAAAAGTTTGCGCGAGGTCTCCCCACGCAGGCATGAATGGGGAATTTGGAGCAATAAATATTATTTGAAATCTATTTTTGAACATCAGATATCCTTGTTAGTAGACTAATGCTCGTGAATGTTGAGGGATCAGATTAGATACACCATAGCTATATGGTCATAAGATTCTTTGCGGAAAGTCTACTTCACATGCTACAACTAATTTATGAATGAAAATTTTGCTTACAATTTACATATAACCAATAGAGAAGCAGCTTCTAAATGATGCAATTACCTGCGAAATTAAAAGCCAATGAATACAGTCCATTTTATGATGTTTTCGCAAATTGCCTGAAAGTTTTGACAAAAACGAGCCGAGAGGGACATGGTTTTACTATTTGTTTGTATCTACAAAAGTGGAGAACATACCTGTATGAACAATCATTTTTTGTGGAATGGGCGGGGGGATTTCTGAGTTTGATGGGTACAAACCAGGAACAAATCCACATCGTAGTAATTCTTGAAAGGTCTCTTGTAATTTATGCAATGACGTATCTTAAGATATTGGCTTTTTATCTTAATAGGTTACTTCCCTCCATTTTATTTTATTATCTATATCACATTAATTAAATTAGAATTTTTTCGAACGTAAAATTTTCCAAAAATTTATTTTAAATTAAATTAATCATCTATATTAAATCTATTGAATAATGACAAGCTTATAAATATAAGTAGAACTCGGATGTGCAATTTTTCGAAGGGAGGGCGAAAACAAGCTTGACACCAATAATTACGACACTGTAGTATTATTCTACAAATCCTCTCTCCAGCAGTTATTCTCGGCAATACCACCCCTGAAACTACACCCAACGTGAGATGAGTTATTTTCTTCTGTTCCTGATATGAGGGATCATTATTTCACTGAATATACAGATCATATGCAAATCCCGAAAATCCTAAAGTGTATACTGGACGAAACAGTTTCAGTCAAAAATCCCAATTCCCGGGCACATGTAAATCAAATTCCGCACCCCGGGACGACAATCTTTGTCAAATTCCTACCCACTTTGTCAAATTCCTACAAACTTTTGAATGGTGCATTAATGAGCATTAGTAGAGGTGTCACACTGACCCAATGACGACCCGAATCTCAGGTCAGAAGGTCTGGGCCGGGTCGGGTCACAAACAGCTACTTACCAATTTCGGGTGGGGCCGAATATTCATTATCGTTTATTTTTGTAAAATGCTTTATATTCCCAGTAAAGTTTTCGAACTTCTAGCTGGCCTATTTCTTGTATACATATTCACAGGCTGGTATCGAAAAAATTGTCCGCTGTGATGGAGCGTGCTATTTTGCATAGAAACACTAGAAAATCCACACAATTTATTTTTTTACTCGTACGTATTGCTATATCAAAAAAATTACCTACTCCATGCAATGGATATATCATTTGCCTGTAACTTTAACTTCTGTTTGAAGTCCAACAACGCTAGGAGTAAAAGTTTTTGAAAACGGCGTCCGAGTATCATACTCCAAAATGTACCATTTCTTTTATTTCTTTTTAATGGTACAATATAATGACACAATAATATTTACATATGTTTTCAGCATAACTCTGAAGGTATTAATGAGATCTAGATGTATTGGTTATTTCTATTTTTTTAAATAAAAAATAATGTTTAAATTTTTTGTCGGCTGTGACGGAGCACTTTCAAATCTGAAATACGTTAAGAATTTAATTGCAAATTATATCTTTTACAACTACTTAGAGGAGCGAACGTTTCATATCTCTTTCGTAATGTATTCCGAAAGATTAAACGTAATAAAAGTACACAATTCAAATTCTGAGATGTATATATACTACCAGCTTTTTTCTCAGTTTTTTTCTCAGCCGGCGTTTCAGTTGAGGAAATCTAGTCAAAGCACTAGAACATTTTGCATAGTTATCTTGACACTATAAAGACACCATGACACTTAAGACATCAGTTTAAATATGAACTTACAGTTAAAGAGTGTATTAGTACGTGTAACACATATTTAAAATGAGTATAGTTCAATTGTTAAAGATATTGCTGTGTTACTATCTACTAGAAATATATATGCTTGCGTCAAATATATTTTGCATCAGAAATACAAAGTTATAATCAATTACGAGGACTCATGTTTTGGACTAACATGTATATCTACCCTTTTTATTGGCTCACACAGTGAGCCTATGGGATTGACCAGGCGTTCCCAAGTTCGCCCGGTTTCCGAGAAATTGCGGATTTTGACGTCAAAAAGTCAAATTTTCTGTAAATACTAGACACTTTGTTGAAGTAGAACTTTCAAATAACTTTTAGTAGTTGGTGTATATGCAACTTATGTCCTCTGAAGATTTCAAAGCTCTCGGAATTACGGTTTTTGGTTTTTACTCTATAAAATTTGAAAAAAAGTAGGACTTAGTCATTTTCAGGAAACTTTCTCATGTATAAAGTCAATGGCAGGTTTTGTGATTGACAAGATTCTTAAAGTTTGCCTTATACTTGATCATTTCCTGCAATAAATTACATCATTAATAGATTCAAGCATTCCCTACATATTTCTCAATATATGTCAGCATCAAATTTCTACGGTTTTTGAGATATTTGACGTCAAAAAACAGTAAAAATAAGTTATTTTTCAACTTGCTTCAATTTGACCAAATATTTTTTTGAAAATCATCTACAAGTTGCCAGGAGTTCAAATCTGACATTAGTTCTAGGATTTGACCTTTACCTGACCTTCAGTGACCTTCAAAAGGTCAAAAAAGTTGATTTTTCAAATTGATTTTTGGTATAAATTTTGGTCAGCTTAATCACAAAAGACCTTACTGAGCTCTGAATAAGTAAAATTTTCAAGGTCAAAGGTCATCAAACTAGGTCACACAACTATGCTATCTAAGTTTCTTAAAGTTCGAGACTACAAATCCAAATCAATATTTTTGTTTGAAAGTCAGGATATAAATTCCTCTGAAGGTTCCAAACTGTGTGAGCACAGGACCGTGGGTCCTTCATTAACCCAAAACCTGACAACGTCATTTTGATAACTTAAAGCACTTGAAATGTCGATCCCATTGTAAGTTAAGAGGTAAACAGTTTACCCTCAGAACGTACTACTCATTTGACGTTAATGCCAGATAGGCCAAAATGAAATCTCATGATTGAATCTTGAAGAACGTTTGTGAACCTCCAAGTGTTCCGGGTTAGCCAAGTATTCCGACTCTTGCTGAAGTATTCTGACTTGGCCCAAGTATTCTGGGTTTACTTATTTTATCAAATACAGGGTGATCAATAAATAAGGTAAAAGTATCTGGCATTTTGTAAATATTGGTCCAAACATCTTGAAATTTGGTCAGAATATACCTTGTACATTTCTGAATTAAAACATATAAATATATAACTTCTGCCATCTGATTTGTTAATATTATAGTTACTATGGCAGCTGGAGTCGGGGGTACCCGGGGCAATTTCATTGCGTCCAATTTGAATAAAAAATGATAAAAAGCACATCTTTTTCAAACTGAAAAGAAATAAACGTTGGTGCCAGCATTTATTGTTTTAATACTTTGTTTCCATTGTTACATATTTTCTTCCAAATTTGATGTTTGATGTCACGGAAAAGATAAATATATAATGAAAACTGATGTGGTCATATAGAGTCTATGACACAGGTCAATGATGAAAACAATCCCCACAGAAGAGATTTGATGAGAGCAAAGAGGAAGAAGCTAAGGGGCCTGCAAAACGTTTCACATTGCACTGGGGATAATGCTCCGTCTCACAATGCTATTCTCACGGTACAAACCATTGAAGCACTGGGTTTCCCACTGTAAGGTCATGTACTATACTCGCCTGACTTATCCCCTTATGATTATACCGCCATGCCGGTGAGCTGAAGAGGGAGTTGAGAGAGTTTCTCATGGGATAACTTGAAGTCAGCCGTCTTTTGCAGTCTATGGGAAAATGGGTTTAAAAAGTGTTCAAAGACTGGAGTAGTAGACATGAACTATATATAATGTTAAAAACAAAGGACATTAAGTAGCAGTTATGGAGTATGAAATAAGAATATGATATGCCATTTTAATTGTGATTTTAAAAATATTATCAAAAGTGTTTCGACTCAAAATTTAGTTTTTTGATAGTTGCCCCGGGTCTTCATGCTTTCTGTTGCTATGGCAACCATAACTTCAACCAATCACATCACTTTGATCTGTAACTTATTATATCAATTCAATAATGTTTGAACATTATTCTGTGCTAATTTTATGAGGATTGGGTAAAATCTGAAGAAATGCCAGATACTTTTACCTTATTTATTGATCACCCTGTACACTCGATACGGTGATTTTCAATTTATAATATCAATTTTAGGTTTCTTCAAACATGACTGTTGAAATTAAGCGAATGAAACCACTTATAATGTGGCTGCCTCGTTCACAAAAGGCTTTCCATTTATTCATATAAACTAACAGGGTACCCATTGGGAATGTAAAATCCCCGGTTGTTCGACTTTTGAACCATGGGACACTCCTGAGCAATAGAATATTTAGACAGAATATATTAATATAATTAGGCTGGATCTAATTTTGGAAAATGGGCCTTTAGAAAAAATGGGCCTAGATTTTAAAAATTGGGTCCATATTTTTAAAAATTGGGTCAAAAATTTCAACGAGTCAACATTTTAGGACTCTCTTTTTTTATCCTAGCATTTTTCCAGCAAGATTTTATTTTTTGAACCCTCTCTTGTGAATTATAAGATCATAACATAAGCGATCTCGGAACACTTGGGTTGTCAGAACAGTTGGGCAAAATTCAGAACACTTGGGTAGCCCAGAACAGTTGAGCTTCCACAAACGTTCTTCAACTTAAGTTACACATATTTAAGGTTATTATTTTTATGTGGTAAAAGGTTATATATCTGTCGGAATGCAGGATATCCGTGCGCTATTTCAAATAAATTTGCATTAGCCCTTTTGCCATTACACGTGACATTCCAAGATGTCTTGGGAAAATGTATTAGAACTATCATGTTGAGTTTACACCATGTTGATTTCAGTGCAAACCTCCAAAAATGCTAAAAGAGCGGTCGTTTTTATATCTCAGATTTACATTAGGCCTACCCCAGATCTCCTAGACTACTTGTCATAATTTAGGAAAGTGATTTGAGACATTCTCTCCTCTAGGCCTAGGGGTACTTTTAAAAGATTTGAATCTTAAATTCTTAACGCATTTCAGATTTTAAAGTGCTCCATCAGCCTGTGATATTAGCCTATATAGATCACAAATAGAAAACAGTTCTTTAACGATTTAATGCTAAGTTTCTATTATTTTTCCTTTATCAAAGCATGATATGCAATAATGCTGGCTTAAACAGTCTTTTAATGTGGCGTGTATTCATTCAGCCATTTCAGATATTAATATTAAATTCATTTTTCTGATTTTTCTGACCCAACCCGAAATTACCCGACCCGCAAACTTTTTTTCTAGCCCGACCCAATCCAAAGAATATCTAACCTGTGACACCAGCTCTAGTATTTAGCACATGTTCCTTCCAGTTTGCTGATTGGTTGAGAAAAGGTCAGTGTGGCAGATTTGAAATGATTTGTGACACAGGCTGTCACAGGCACTGGCTGTGTATGTACATGTATCTACCCTGAACAGCATTGATCGCAAATTTTTTGAACACCCTGTAGAAAGTATCAAATATAATATGTAGCACAGTATTGCTAAATGATTTATGAAAACTACATTCATAATTAAGTGCTACACCTTTTAGATATCATCAAATCTACAAGAGGCTCATGACTGGTTCAAGGTGAAGTTTGAAAGTCTTCAGGCTGACTTGAAGTCATCTAAAGACAGCCAATCAGAGTTAGAACGCGTCAATGCAGAAAAAGACCACATGTTACAGGAAGAGAAATTTAAGGCAGAACAGATGGCTAAGAGAGCTCAAGAAATGATAAGAGTAAGATACCTTGTAGTATTAACTGATGCATATACATTTTTAAAATGCACATCTAGAGAATTTCATAAAATATTGCTGGAAGCCATTGTTGAATATCCATCAGTAAGACAAATTTTATCAGATAAATATCACAGGCTGGTATCGAAAGATTTGTCCGCTGTGACTGAGCATGTTATTTTTCATAAAAACACTAAGAAAACCACACAATTTATTTTTAACTCATATGTTTCGTTATATCAAAAAAACTTCTTACTCCATGCAATGTATATTTCATTTGCGAGTAACTTTCACTTATGTTTGAAGGCCTATAATGCTAGGAGAAAAAGCTATTGAAAATAGCGCCGGAGTATCATACTCCAAAATGTTACGTTTATTTTTTATTTTTTTAATGGCACGATATAATGACATGATAATATTTACATATGTTTTCATCATAACTCTGAAGGTATTAATGAGATATTGATGCATTGGGTCTTTTTAATTTTTAATAAAAAATTATGTTTATTTTTTGTCCGCTGTGACGGAGCAGTTGCAATGTGAACTGTTAAACTGCTCCGTCACAGGGGACAAAAGATTTATAAACATTATTTTTTATAAAAAATTAAAAAGACCCAATACTTCCAGATCTCATCAATACATTCAAAGTTATGCTGAAAAAATATGTAAATATTATTGTGTCACTATATCATGCCATCAAAAAGTTAAAAATGAAATGGTACGTTATAGAGTATGATACTCTGGCGCTGTTTTCAATAGCTTTTACTCATAGCATTATTGGACTTGAAACAGAAGTGAAGGTTACCCACAAATGATATATCCATTGCATGGAGTAAGTTATTTTCTTTGATATAACGAAACATATGAGCTAAAAAATAAATTGTTAGTTTTCATAAAAATAGTATGCTCCATAGACAAATCTTTCGAGACCAGCTTGTGAATATCATATTAAAGAAGATTGGTCATTTTATGAACACTATGAACAATATCGTAAAACCCTGACATATTCAAGACATATACAGTAAACTCTTTCAATACATAATAACATCATTGCCAACTGTGCGAGTTTTGCCATGTGAACATAGAAACTTGCGACCACATCATCTTTAATTGTGACTGTACAAAACAGTTTTGGAAATCAATTATAGATAATACTTTAAAAGATCTCGACATTTTTTCTCTGCTTACAGTATTATTTGGTAACCCAAAATAATAAGAGAATATAATAATATAATAATTAACAAGAGCTTCCAAATCATTAAACTAAGGCATATTTAGATTGTTGTTTAAAAATGAACTGATTTTAACAGTATGATGTTATGAGTGGTGAATGTGGGTGAATGGGTAATTTTCACATTTTTGTATACATTTTAAAGGACAAGTCTCGGTTTGGAGAACAGTCTACTGGGCTTATATTATAATTTTTTTCATGAAAAATATAGAAATATCACCCAAATTAAATTCTGAATATTCAAAAAATTCTTCAAGATGTAAAAATATATCACAATTGTTCGAAGCAGGGGTAACGTGCAGTAGACCAATTCAATAAAATACAAGTCTCTATTTGGAGAAAGAAGTTCATCAATGTACTGGGCTAATAATGTTTTTATGAAATATCACCCAAATAAAATTATGACTATTCCAAAGAAAACATTCAAATCTATATCATGTAAAAAAATCAAAGACTGGAATTCAAAATGGCCACCTTTTCACAAGAAAAATAACGCAACTGCAAGCACTAGTTAACAGCTTTGGTCAAACTTTTGTAGGCTAATGTCTAATGGTCATAAAACCTCTATTCAAGAAAGAAAGCGATTCGATCAAATATGTTTTGTTTGATGGGATTTGCTACTCAGAAAGTTGTTGTATTTCTACGTTTATCATTGTATCTGAATACTCGGTCCAGAATCAAATGATTTGCCGAGAACCTTATAAGATGCTGTTATATTTGTTTTAATAGTAGTTATCCCACTGAACGAAGTTCGAGGGGGATATAGAAAAGCCATCCGTCCGTTAGAAAATTAGAAAATGACAAGGAAAATATATACCCTCCTGAACTCAAACTGAACAAGGAAAATGCAAATAACGATGTAGCAACATTTCTCGACATGAAACTCACAATAGAACACAAGAAAATTACTACACAAATATATGATAAGAGAGAGGATTTTAATTTCAATATAGTTTCCTATCCAGACCTTTCGGGAAACATTCCAAGAAAACAATCATATGGAGTCTATCCGTGTCACAGATAATCAAGAGTCTGCAGTGTTGAAAAAATTGCTTCCAAAAGAATCAAGTCCTTGGGGAAAAAATTAATATCTCAAGGATATAAGAAAGAAACACTGTCAGCATATATCAAAAAGACAATTGCTAAAAATGAATGGATACAGATAAAATACAAAAAATCAAATATTAAAGATATGGTCAGAGTTTTAAGACTAATAAGGAAATGAGAAAAACAACAAGAATGAACAGAATCTAGATATCAGTCTCCGAAATGAGGGTAAACTATAGAAGAAAAACAGCAACAAAAACAAACATCGATAAAGACAAAGGGGAAGGGGAGTGTTACCGGTAGAAAAAGCGTTAACCCACCGACGTGTAGTCACAAGTCTGCAGACCCGACACCAAACAAGACCAAAGAAGAAAACTAATAGGGAGACAGAAGACCAAGAAAGAAGAAACTAAAGAAGACAAGAAAATAACAACAACAGAAAAAAGAAGCTAAGAAGACAAAGAGTGAAAGGAAAAGACAAATAAAATCAGAATAAGAAGGAATCAACAGCAACAACAAATAGATTTTCAAGCTGGACTGAATGATGATGACATGAACAGCATATAAACAAGACGTCCGTTCATCCGTCCGTCTGTTCGTCCATCCGTCCGTTCGTCCGTCCGTTCGTGGTCGTGATCGTGGTCGTGATCATCCCGCTTTTTGTCATCGCCGTTTAGGAAAACTGCTTCACCACCCTTAGATATCTCATCAAATAAATGTCAAAAATATATTGGTCCCTGGAAATCTCCCTCGTAATATATTACTTGACAAATCTATCATTTCTAATTGGGGCATATTGTGGGAAAACCCAGGTTCAGTTGCAAATATTCCATTTTCTGCTAGAACCATCTTCTTCAAATGGCAGTGTTTGAAATATCGCAAATGTTTGTTTTCTAGCACAAAGGGCATGAGGGTAATTTGTTTATATATGATCGCCTCAATTGTTGAATTTTGTAGACCTTCAAATGCATCAAATAAAGCTATTCTGGAATCAAGTTTTGATTCATCCCCCAGACCATTGACTTGAATTGTGCGTATATTTTCCAATGGCTTGTAAACAAGTTTGTGAAAAGACTCTGGTTTGAAAGGATTTTTACCTATCATAAGATACTGCAGATTTACAAGTCCAGTAAATGTATGGTTTCCAAAAATAGCTATTTTGTTCAGATCAATGTCCAACACTTCCAAGTTCTGATATAGTTGTCCTAACAACCCATCAGGCAAATGAGTTATGCAATTATTATATAGTCTAAGGACTGTTATATCTCTTGGTAACTCTTGTGGCAATGACGCAATATTTCTTGATGAGCAATCGGCAGTGAGGCCAACACAGTCACACACTTGACAGCTGCTTTTGTGTTTTGATTCCAATGCATTTCTAGAAGCAGATATTAAGTTTCCATAAACATGTACCAACAAAGATATCAGAAGACAAGCTATCATCAGCTGGTATGAAATCATTGTTCTAATATTCCTCAGTACTTAAAATTGAAATTCAATTGGGATTCAATTTTTGTCTTGTTTATATATGTATTTGAATTGTACATGTAATTTGGACCCATTAATTATAGAAAATAAAAGGAAGTAGCAAAAACAGGAAGAATGAAACCTCATTTTATCAAAAGAAATCTTCCTGTTTTATGACATTGTGAACACTGTAATCTTAAAAGATATTGTGATATTGACTTTGGCTATCAGCCCTTATGTATTAGCAAAGTTCAGTCTGGTGACATTGTTCCATCCACCTACTTTTCTGTTAGACAGCATGCTGAGATGGAAACAATTTCTCAAAGTCATTGCTTGGCACATTGACCACTGTCCACAGAAGAACATTCATAACTAGATATATTTGAAAAAGTTATTGTGTTAGATTGACATAAAAGTATTTTTACAGCCATAATTCCAGACATAAAGGCAATCGAATACTGCAAATACAATTCAATTACATGTAGTAATATTAGACTAAACTGATCAAAGCCATGATATGTAAAATCTTAATCTTGGCTTATACATGGAATATAGGATTACTTATATAATAACATTATCAAACCAAGTTAGTGAGAGAGTTAAAAATGTCAGATTTTTAACAGGTTCATTAGGAATCCTGATTGCAACTCCTATATGTTTTGTTTATAAACTTTATGTGTCACTGACGTTAATGGTTAACAGAATCAAGGATATGAGTTCAGGTCGAACTTAAATATCATAGAGTATCATTAAGTTTTTAACTTCTCATCAAATGTATAGAGGGTCAATTTCTCAATAGGTCAATCTACAAATCTACATGTAGATAGTGTTTCATTATCCAATAAGTTTTTGTAGAACTTCATTGTCACCATCATTACTCTGGTATAAATACTGGCTGTCTTCATCTCCCTGGTATCTTGGGTCACCAAGAGCATCTTTCATCTTCCTCCAGAACAGCTGTTTCCTGTCATCATCCTCACTCCACTCCAGGTACACCTGGGTCTCAAGTAGTGAACGTAGAGTGGGTGTGATCAGCTCTGGGGGTAGGACATCCACAGGCTCTTTTAGTATCAATATCAAACAGTCTCGCCCCCTGGTAGCAAGCTCACCTCTGGCAAGGTTCATTTCAAATGTGCACCAACCACTTCGGAGAAAATTATGGCTGATAATCAGAATTATTTTGTTGCTTTTGCTGATGCTTTCAATGATAATGTCAGCAATGTAAGCACCTGGCATGAAGTTGCGGTCATCTATGCATATATTATAGTTGTATTTATCTGCTAGATGTGCATATATGTTGGTCAGTGCCCAGTTTTTGTCCAGAGAGCTGTAACTCATAAATCCATCAAAGTCAAACTGAAAATCAACCTGTTGATGACGTCTGAGTAATGCCCTTATAAGAAGGGCTAGATAGTGTATTTTGTATCTACGCCTGTAGATACAGATAACAAGCACACTGCCTAGAACAACAAGTCCAAAAGATACCACAGGTGGAATTATCATAGCCTTCCAGCAATCCCATTCCATCCCAGGTAACAAAATGTCATTGATTGCCACTTCTGAGCCATTGATGTGAATACATGTTACTTCTTGCCATTTGTAGATGTTATAACTATGTGTCTGCATCCAGTCTATAAGCTTGAAAGAATCACAGTTACAGATCAAAGGATTATGTCTGATGTCTATTGTCAAATTCGTTCTTGATGTTCTTATTAGTTCATCAATTTCCTTTCTTTTGTTCTCTTCAATAGCATTTAAATGATTGTTTGATATATTGAGCAGTCTCATTGATTTAAGCTGTTCCAGTAATATTGTGATCTGTTTCATTTTGTTACCACTTAAGTTGAGAATTTCAAGTCCTGTTGTGTCAACAAAGGCCTTTGCATCAATATCTGTAATATCATTGTATGACACATCAATTAGTTGCAGTTGGGAACAGTTTCTGAAGATGGTGGAAGAAGAATTGGAGGAATGAAGTATTGCTCTGTTGTTGGCCAAGTCAAGATATTGTAGTCTTTCAAAGTATCCAGTCTCACATGTGAAGAATTCAGGTGCAATTATGCAGTCATTATCACTATATACAAGTCTTTCCAAATTAACCAGTCCTTTCAGTGCTCTGCCTATATAAGTGGTGATAAAACTAGCAGAGGCTTCAATGATCTTGATGTTATTGTTTCGTTGAAACCTTATTCCATATGGTAAATGACAAGGGGTATAATCCACATTACTCTCTCTCAGATGTACCTCAATGAGGCCCCCAGGAAGAGCCCATTCATTTTCACTCATTCTTTTAGAAAATGGGACATATGGATTGTTTTTTTGGAATGAACCTTGACTGTTGCCTTCTATTTTCACAACCTTTAGATGTATCATAAAGTATATTTCCAAAAGCACACCCCTGGTCACTGGAAGTACCCCTCTTATTATATTCTTTGACAAATCTATTGTTTCTAAATAGGGCACATATTTAAAAATCCCTGGTTCAATTGCAAATATTCCATTATCTGTTAAAACCAGGTTTTTCAAATGGCAGTGCTCGAAATATTGAAAATGTTTCTTCTGTAGCATAAAAGGCATGAGTGTTATATAGTTATATGTGATAGTTTCAATTGTAGAATTTTGTAGACCTTCAAATGCATTGAACAAAGCTATTCTAGCATCAAGTGTTGATTCATCCCCGTGCCAGTTCACATGGATGGTGCGAATATTTTTTAATGGCTTGTAAACAAGTTTGTGAAAAGACTCTGGTTTGAAAGGATTTTTACCTATCATAAGATACTGCAGATTTACAAGTCCAGTAAATGTATGGTTTCCAAAAATAGCTATTTTGTTCAGATCAATGTCCAACACTTCCAAGTTCTGATATAGTTGTCCTAACAACCCATCAGGCAAATGTGTTATGCAATTATTATATAGTCTAAGGATTGTTATATCTCTTGGTAACTGTTGTGGCAATGACTCAAGATTTCTTGATGAACAATCGGCACAACACAGTCACACACATTACAGCTGCTTTTGTGTTTTGTCTCCAATGCATTTCTAGAAGCAGATGTTAAATTTCCATTGATAGGTACGAAAAGACATGTCAGAAGAAACGCTATTTTCAAGTTGTAGGAAGGCATAGTTCCAATATTCCACTACACTTCTTGATATGAATATTATGATGGCCTCTGTTCGATTTAGAGACAATCTGATGTTGGAACCAAATTAAATGGAAATGTGCCAATATATAAAAATGCAAAGAAGTATAGAAATGATTTTATTTATTAACAATTTATCTTCCTGACTTTTAAAGTATAATATATGAAACACTTGGGGTTAAATAAATCAACTTCAAGATACAAAGTTGGTTAAGTTTGATATATACATGTACATACCATATATTACACTGATTATAACATAAAATCATGAAATTTTATTTCCTAGTAGATTGATATTTTATTGCATATTCAATACAATAACATATTTCAACATGTACAGCTTTCATCGTGTTCATTTACATCATTGTAATACATAAATAATTAAGCAATTATATCTAAATATATCTTTATATTCCTTAACCTTTAATAGGGGTCAAGTAATGATCACAAAGACACTTTCACCTTTTTTCACAAAAGAAAGCGTCGGCCAGAAAATTGAAAATACAATTTGGAAGGTGTTCAAGATATTCTGGATCTTGTTGTTTTTAAAATGATTAAAATTGGAATTGTGCAGAAAGAGTAGCACCCTAAATAGCATTAATGGTTTTCTCCTAACCATGTCACATTAGTTTGAAATGTGTCATCTGAATATTGCAGGCTTCATCATCTGATTTCTGAAAGGTTTACAAGTACCAATTGAACAATGTTGTCATCATAAATCTGAATTAAGGAACAAGGAATCTTTAAATTATGGACAAATCATTTAAAATGATCTCATGTTATCCTGATCCAAGCTTGATCAGCCTTTTAATCACACCATCGGTGGGATATAGTCGTCATACTGGTCGTGGTCGTTGTCGTGGTCGTGATCGTGGTCGTGGTCGTGATCGTCCCGCTTTTTGTCATCGCCGTTTAAGGAAAACTGCTCATCAGATTTTCTCCAAATTCGCAGAGATGATAGAGCATATGAAGTACTAGAGCTGATTTACTTTTGGGTGGCCATCTTGTTTTCTGGCAGCCATTTTGAAGGTTTTTCGAAAAATCTTGTCATCGCCATTTCAGGAAAACCGTTCATTGGATTTCCTTCAAATTTACACAAATGATAGAGGATATCAAGTACTAGAGCTGATTAACTTTTGGGCGGCCATCTTGTTTTCTGGCTGTCATTTTGAAGATTTTTCAAAAAATCTTGTCATCGCCATTTCAGAAAATCCGCTCATCAGATTTCTTTCAAATTTACACACATAATAGAGGATATCAAGTACTAGAGCTGATCAACTTTTGGGCGGCCATCTTGTTTTCTGGTGGCCATTTTGAAGGTTTTTCGAAAAATCTTGTCATCGCCATTTCAGGAAAACCGCTAATCGGATTTCCTTCAAATTTACACAAATGATAGAGGATATCAAGTACTAGAGCTGATTAACTTTTGGGCGGCCATCTTGTTTTCTTGTTCTTCAAATTTGTAAACATAATAGGAGAACAGTTTTCCTGGTTCATAGTGTCTGCCTGTGATCTCGTTCACGTCCTGTGCCTTGTTCCTAAAAGAACGTAACCTTTGATAACTCAAATACCAGTTGATGGATTAGGTTCAAATTATATATGCTGATGCTTAGAGACAAAGAAGTTCTGCTCAAGAAGACATTTTCAAGATGGCCACTGAATTTCAAAATGGCCGCCATTTTTCGTAAAAACAACATAATCATTGATAACTCAAATACCAGTGGATGGACTTGGTTCCAATTTTATATGCTGATGTTTAGGGAAAAAAGAGATCTGCTTCAGAAAAATTTCAAAGGCATCAGCTGAATTTCAAAATGGCTGCCATTTTTCATGAAAGAACTCAAATACCATTGGATGGATTTACTTCAAATTTTATATACTGATGCCTAGTGATAAGCTTAGCCTAGCCTATTTATAAAAACATGTTTTTTTCGGTGGGATTTGCTACTCCGTGGAGTTGCTGTTTTTCTAGTTTCATGTTTTTAGTCAAACAAACATCCATCATTCATTATTTGTGCCTTTCTTGACCTTCCAGTCCCTCTATTGAACATGCTTTAGCATGTCTACACTCTTTAAGTTTATATTTGAAAATACTTTCTAGACTTAAATGAATGTGACTTAGCATTTGGGTCCTCGAGACTTATGGATTAGCCTCTTGGTAACTGAAGGTTTGACATTGCAAGTTAAAGGAACCGAACAAGCAGCTTCCCAAGCTGTTCAAGATCTGAATGACACATTCATTCAATAATAAGTTCCAATTGATATAAAATATGGTAAAACTATTACATGTTCTACATATGTTTCATGTATTTTCTCTTTCCATAAGCCTATAATTTAAATTTAATATATTTGTTCCAGAAAAGTCGAGAGACAATTAGCAAACTGGCTGACTTTGCCGAGTCCTCACAGGAAGAAATGAATGTTACAAAACAAAACTTTAAGAAACAATTACAAGCTGAGAGAGACCACTCGTGTTTTACAGAGAAAAAGTATGCTCAATTAATGGAATCTAGTGCAAGACAAATGCAGGCATTGACTCAGGAGCTAGACTTCATTAGAAAACATTCCCGATTTAATGATGAATGATTCCAAGATGTAATGATAAAATGAGTCCAACATTTCAACAGTTGTGCAAAAAAACATTGACTTGTTTGAAGGGATAATGACAATTTTGTTTAAAATAATGTTAATTTCCATATCCGGGAAGTAAACCTATTATCATGATTTTTTGCATTAATATCTGTTAGATATATATCTGGCAGTCCACTCACAAAGCAAAACAGAAAAAAAAATTCCCCATTGTTGGTATTTGAAAACTATCCCCTCCTGAACCAAGCATATATATAGGGTGTCTCAAAAAAAACGAGACACTTTTTGACAAGTATTTTCTCAGCAACTGATCAACCAAATTCACCGAAAATTTATACAAATAGCCTAAGAGCATCATTAGCAAATTGTGAAAATATAAAAATGATCAAGTAATTATTCTGTGAGAACTAAGAAATTCAAAGTAGCATGTCAAAAATCCCCATATCAGAGCTCTGCGATGAGACCGCTATAGTGTTTGTACCACCTATCAGGTGATAGCAACTGCTAATCAGTCAAAATAGCTTGCCTATGTGTTAGGTCTACTTAAAATTCATTTCATTCTTCCCAAATATCCAAAATCCATTCATTCTCCAAATTAATTGGAGGTGATATTGTTAGAATAAATACGGAAAAGTATTTTTGCTTGGAAATGGATTAGTAATCGAATTTTACATTGATATTGGTTATTTTGACATACTGTCTTTAATTCAAAAATACACACATAATATGAGACCAATCTCTTACATATTCGTAGCACTAGCAGTGCCTCACTAGTGCCTCAGGTAAAGTTTTCCCAAAATTTGGCTCATCTATAGCTGAGAAATTACTTGTCAAATTGCTTCCCATTTTTTGGTACAAACACTATAAAATTCTCACTGCGATGCTCCGGTATGGGACATTTTGACATGCTATCTTATAGTTCTCACATAATATTAACCCAATCTTTTTTATATTTATACAACTTATATTTATGGCAATACTCATGGGCTACTTTGTACGAATTTTCAGTAAATTTGGTTCATTAGTTGCCGAGAAAATACTTGTCAAATAGTGTCTCATTTTTTGGGACACCCGATATATGTACAGCCACTTTTGATACATATAATATAATGTTTAGAGGTGTGAATTTAAGCCTACTGGTTAGGTTAAAAATGACATCCATAATATATTTAATATTTACTGAAAAAATATGTAATGCAAAATGTAATAAATAGAATTATGAGTAAAATATGTTGATCCATGGGCTTTCAACTAGATTTTTTTATGTCACCACATCAAGTGGTGACATATTGTTATAATGTCCAAAATTGTTGAGAACAGTGTTCGGCGATTGGGAGTTGACGTATTAACAAATAGCAGGTGTTGACATTTTACATGTTAATGCCTTGTTTCGTGATGTTTAAATAGTAGGATGTACTTTCAATTTGGCCCAGTTCTTTCTTAAACAGAACTTATTCCCCTACTTTGAATTGAAGCTTCTCCTTTTTGATGTGTATACGTCTACTTTTTGGTTGAATATGGTGAGGGAGTGAATAGAACAGCCAACTTGAATTTTGAAATCTAAAAATGACCTTGGGTGGATTGTTGGTTATATAATGCAATACAGTAACATAAAATAGCGTGTTCTGATTGGCTGGAATTGGACACACTTTGCCTGGTTATGTGAGAAGGAAGATGTTAGATCATGTTGATCATTAAACAAGTTACACGCCATTCATCCTGAAAACAACTCGCAGATAAAGCGAAGTTAACTTTGCATTAAAATATTTCTGATATTTATAAATTATTGCAGAGTTTAAATTTGTGCCTAACCTACTGACACAGACCAAGGACGTCTATTGCACAGACGTATGTCATTCCTGAAGTCATACTAAGCATACATGTATCTACACGTTTTCTGAAGAGGTACTCATCAGCTGCACGTACGCAAATAAACATTGTGTCTTTTTAAATAGATCTCACACGCTCAGATACTCGAAGCTATCAATAATAAGAACAATTCAAAGAAGACCAAAGTACAGTTTTTACCATACCGTACACCTCTATTAGCGATTATTCGTAAAGAACAATGACTATAGACACCCCTGGGGTCACTTAACATTTTTTGAAAAATGCAATGTCGTTAATTTCCTTGATATGTAGGATCAAATTGTAGATAAATATGTATATTTTCAAGAAATAGCAATAAAAAACATTCAAGATTACTGATATTAGTATATTTTGGTTGATTTGGGAGGTATGTATCACTTCCTGTGAAAATGTGAATTTTTTATCAGTCTCAGAAAATGTCTCCAGAATGTATAAACCCAACTTGGCAGAAGTCCCATTGTTTGATTGTGTCACTCTAAACACTCATTGGATTAATATTTTGTACACATAAATAGTCACTTTTCAATAGTCATTGAGTAGGGATTAGTTACCGGTATGTTTGCAATTGTGTTGACCTACTTATTTTTAGAGAGAGGAAGGTCATGATAAACTCTTGCTTTGTTCATATAACGCTTGGTTCGTACCTAGAAAGTTATATGTAGTAAGGGAATAGTGTACTTCTAAGGTACATCTTGAGATATATAAAAATCTAGGTAAGGACCAAGCGTTGTGCAAAAATAGAACTTTTATGCAATTTTCAGCATGAAATAAAATGATATCAGCCATTTTGAAAATGCTTAGAATGATTGTGACAATTGTGTTTTATATATTCAAGTATATTTTCTTATTTCATATTATAATTTCAGGAACTAATAGTTATGCTTGCACTGAAGCATGACCTCTAGAGAAGCATTTATTTTTCCCTGGTCTAAACAACATAGCAACATGCAGACATGTACTTCCTTTCTATACATTCATATAAATGTACATGCAAAATTGAGATGATTGTTGTACAATCATTTAATCTTCATATGACAGACATCATTTCAGTCAATGAATATTTTTTTATATTATCATAGTTCACTGGCTGGTCATACCAATGTTCATATTTAGAAATCCAGCTCAACCTTATTGTGCAGAAGAAATATACTGTAAGTCACAATCAGTAAAACGACATTTGCTAATAAAATGCCCAAAGCAAAGGGAACTGTATGAGTGAACTGCAATCACTCAATACCCCCTATATGGAGACAGAGGGGTTACATCTAAATCGTAGTGGACTCTTTTGAGGACTTCCCAATTTTGACTGAAGACGATGTATGTCAACTCACTTTTGTTGGTGTTGTTCATGCCCAGTTAGGAGTACAAGAGATATAAAAGCAAAAAGAACTGCACAAAGTTTGACATTTTAAAATCAAAAGATACGTCTGAAATGTTGTCATCTGAAGGAGATGATGATAGCTCATAGAGTCTCTTATTATAATGAACAAACACATGAATGCGCTCAACTACAGAAAAACAACAGTTATGTGAAGTCCAGGGTAACCTTTTAGAAATTGTTATATTTTATGTGAAATAATAAATTCAGTATTTCACTGCCACTTTAATGCAAACTGTATATGAGCAATTGCTCTAAAGAAAGCTGATCAATACAATGCGTATCAAAAAAACGCAACAGATTGTTATCTCGGAAAAGCACAAAACCAGTGATAACAGCATTGATTTCATTCAATGCACCATAAAGCCACGTGTCTCCTCTTTACAATGATATATCATTCATTGATATTTAGGTATGGTTGAGCGAGTAATCATTCCATTTGCAAAGTGGGCCAAAATTAGCTTTGGACCAAGTTATAAACATCGCAAAAGTCAATGTACGGAGCCCGATGCAATATTGGAAGAAAACATAAAACCAATGCTGACTGCATCCTTTTCATTCAATGTACCAAAAAGCCAAATTACTCCTCTTTGCAATGGAATATCATTCATTCACAGGGAGTCATGATTGGCCGAATAATAACTAATTTTGCAAAGTGGGGCAAAATTCAGCTCGGACCTAGAAGTTTTAAACATTGCAAAAGTCAGTACAAAGGGCATAGGGGCTATTGGAAGAAGGTGTGACAGGTGTGTGATAGACAGTAAATTGTTCATACTCATACTCTTGCAAGTATACATCCTATAACCCCTCCAAATTGCCACCACTTTCCTGCACATAAGGATGCGCTCATCTGTCAATGTCATGCATGGTTCAGCCTTGAGTCATCTGTGGGTTAAAGCAGAGAAAAGCAGCCCATGGGCAATTCTTTCTCGAGGTTTTGCAATATCTTGTGGAGGAATTGTGAGCACAGATGCTCCTGAGATAGCTCCAAAAGAAAAAGTCACAACAATTCAAGTCAAGGGAACTTCCATTGGCACTTAGCCCTTGTACTGATTTTTGCAATATCTAAAACTTGGAGCAGAGCCGATTTTGACCCACTGTGCAAATGGAAGGATTTCTCACCCAACCATTACATGTGAATGAATGACATATCATTGCAAAGAGGAGAGACGTGGCTTTATGGTACATTGAATGAAATTGATGTAGTCATCATTAGTTTTGTGATTTTACGAGATAACTACTTGTTGCGTTTTTTTGATACGCCCTGTAGTATAATTGATTGATACGCATTTTTGACTTGTTAATTACTTCATGTGTTTTTCAATGTTGCCCCTTGTTTTTTCTCATTGTGATGTAAATTAAAAAAACTCAATATTCTTTTCTGACACATTTTTGCAAACTTTTTGTAGACAATTGATTTCAATAAAGTATAAAGAAGATCACTATTCAGTATTTTTTGCATTTTTGACTTGTTATAATTTATGTGTTTTCGAATGTTGCCCATTATGCTTTGTCACTATTAACTAAGATAGTACCAAGATGATCAATTAAGAAAGTCTTAAATGATACTAAATAATGATTATTTTGATAATAGATAGAAACAGTGACAATAATGATGTGAAAAGAGTGATTTTTCCTTCAAAAGGTCATTTTATACATGTTAATAGAATGACCTATATTTTGAAATATAAAGGTCAGAATGGCCTAATTTTTAAACCTGGTTATCAAACAAAGTCCTTTCTTTGATATTCTGTACAATTTCTTCTAAATATATTGGGGGCTAGTATAGGGTCTTAAAGACACCTGTCCTTTTGTCAATAAAATTAAATCTTTCAGATTTGTTGGGTTTTCGCTGGAAATAAAAATCGACCTTCGCGCTAGTTTTTGACACATTGGTTGATTGAAGAATCCAATAATTGTATAGGAAAAATGCAATCCATTTACATATTTTTAAGTCGTAATAATTTAATTTGTATAATTTACAGACATATTTGATAATGTAACGTAACGATCAGAAATGTTTTAAAATTAAAAAAGTAATAATACTGCACGTTATATATAGACTAATACCACTGTCTTAAGCCTCTTGTAGCGCCCTTTAAGAAGGCGTGTCTCTCCGCGTATTTATTGTTTTTGTGTGCATCTTCTACTCTGTAAATATTCATGAATGTGACAAATGTCAAGACACACTGGTAAGCAGATACAATGCATCATTATTTGAGTTACGAAAAATCCCCTTTTTTCAAAGTGATGGCCATGTGGAGAAAAATAAAAAACTATAATAAAACTATAAACTATTACATAGAATAGTGTCATGTTTTGCGTATGTAATTTATAATTACCTTTATTTAAGATTATGTCGAGGCGGAGTCTCTATTGATTAAAATTTCAACTTTTTCCAAAGTTCTCCTAAGCTCTCTGGTTTTCCTTCTACCAGAATAAACATATATTGATTTAAGCTTGTTCTGTCTAAATCCCTATATTTTTCCCACTTGGCTCCCCCAGGGCCTACAATCCCTGTCAATTTGGTGCTGTCTGTGTGCTTTAGCCCTGCCGTCTTAGCTAGTATCCCTGTTACATAAACATCATCCACAGAAAGAAACCTCGTGTATTGACGCAATGCCCCGTGTATCTTTATAAATGCATTCTTAGAAAGTACAAATGCCAACCCTGGGCAAAAATCGGGAAATATATCTGGATCATGAACATCATACTCATCTTCTGAAACCTGGTTTTTATATCGTTTATCTCGGATGACTCCACCTCCGTGTCTCACCCTGCACATCAATAGGTTCTCTGTCTTATTCTTATCCTCCAGTTCCACAAGTGTTTTAATGAGAATCGGAATGTTAACAAATACATCATCGTCTGTCTTAATAATGTACCTTGTATTTGAGCAATAGGTGTTGACCCAAGTTAGCCCCATCCTAGCCTTATATGTAAGATTAAGATAGGTGTCTCTGAAGGTCCCTTGTATGATGTCATGATGAATGGTGCTTTCATTATGAATGCCCTTATTGATTTTGGAATCATTGCTGTGTCCTAATAAGAACACTACTGTAATATTGTAATCACGATACTGCGTTCTGCCTCCCCAGGTTGAACGAATTATATCCCTGCGGTTCTTATGATTCGGCGCAGTATGGATGTAGAATAGTATGTCTGTATTATTATTCCTACAGAGGCTTTCCTCATTAATGATGTACGTTGATTTGAACCAACTCTGTGGTGTTGGTAAATCAACAGTATTCTGCTGGATGCTTGTCTTTAAATCACTCATATTGTTTTTCATATCACCGGTGGTCATTTTTAAGATTTTTTCTGTAACATCATCCCTATCATCCACGTTCCCATCTTTAGAAATAAAATTGGTAGTTTCGCCGAAAGACTTATGCGTCAATTTCCTTGTTATTAATATGCACATTAATGTACTCAGAACTGTCACAGTAACTAATATTTGAGAGAGCTTCATTTTCCTTTAATTTAATTATTAGTATGCATTAATGTTTTAAAATGTAAGTTTATCATCCTCTTATATTCACCTCTATTGAAACAAGACGGTTATTTTCTCTATGATATCCTTATATATTTTTTCTTTTGTTTCCTAGCACTGTCGCCAATATAGCATTGCGCCTCTCTTGTATTTCGTTTTTAATATAACTCCCTCTCAGTTTTTATATACAGAATGTACGTATAAATATCCGGCTGCAGTGATATGCTATTCCTGTATTCATTGACTTGACATTCAAACTATTCTAGACCCAGTGACCCCAGTGAACGGCGAAGATAGTTATAATAGTCCCTGCGCTGATTTGGAGTTATGGCGATTACTTAAAAATAATAGGATTTGTGATCATTTGTTGAATAGCTTAGTCTTATCTAGACTTTGGACATATTGGAAAAGGTTTTACGTCACGCCTTACCATCGCGTAAGCAGGTGTCACCGTACAGCGTCAAAAAATAGCGGAGTACAGTTTTCTGTACGGTAACGCAAATTAACTGCTTTGAAGCAAAAACTATGACAAGGGTTTAAAAAAATTAATTTGATGAAAACTAATACGATTTCATGTGAAATAAAAACAGCATTCTCTTAGAAATGGTTTAAACTTACTGATTATGATAAACGTTTTACGAGCACTGTTCGGATTTTTTCTGAGTGAATCGGCCCACATAATCGACCCAAGTGAAAAAAGGTTGTTTTTTCACATTTCGTTTGGTTATTATTTTCCCTGCCGTCTGAGAGTATGGATTATTTTTATGAGAATATGTATTTGTTGACTACACATTTTAGAACGGGCGAAGATTCAGCAAACAACCATGTATTATGTATATTTAAAAAAGATCAAATTTGTACGGTCACGCACCAGCTGTACGGTGACGCTATGCTTTGATGAACTAAATGAGACTAAGATTGTATGAAATGGAAACTCTGGAGTATGATCATTTGTTCATATATAGCGCATGGGCGCTACAGTTCAACGATATCTTCCACCGCTTAATGGAAGGTAACTGGAAATGTATGATACGGTAAAGATCATGAAACCAAAAACTCTCTTGTTGCTATGTTATTGATGTTTTAAAACAAGGGATGTCACAAGTAAATCTCATCTTGCACGTGTGACTTTTTAGGATGAAAGATGCAATATCTTGCATGGGGTAAAGATGGCTGTGTAGGCTATCTTTGTTAGTCATATGAGAAAAGTCTGGTTTAGTTCAAATGATACCAAAGCATTACGTCAACTTTCAAATAGTTAATTCCATGAAAACTAAAAATATCGAAATTAATACTTCCTGTCCGCCATCTAAAATGCGAAGGTGACGGCTGTAACCTTCGCTTGATACTTACCAGTGATAATGTACATGTAGATATGACGCTTCTTTACCTCTTGTTCGAACAGTAAGCTTAGAGCACTTCATAAAATCTAAGGAAGCGTCACCGTACAGCTGATGCGTCACCGTATAGTTCTGATCTTTTTTGAATAAATACACTGAATGATTTTTTGCCGAATATTCATCTGTTCTAAAATGTGTAGATAACAAATACATAGTCTCATAAAAATAATCCATACTCTCAGACGACAGGGAAAATAATAACCAAACGAAAAGTGAAAAAAACAACATTTTTCTCTCGAGTCGATTATGTGGGCCGATCCAGTCAGAAAAAATCCGAGCAGTGCTCGAAAAACTTTTATCATAATTAGAAAGTTAAAACCATTCCTAAGAGAATGCTGTTTTTATTACACCCGAAATCGTATTTATTTTCATCTAATTAATCTTTTTAAAACCCTCATTATAGTTTTTGCTTCAACTCAGTTAATTTTCGTCACCGTACAGAAAACTACTACTAATAAGTTTCTCAAGTAGAATAATCCCTTGCCTTAAATTATTTTTTAAAGTTCATTATCACAATCACTACCAATCTACCCTAACGTGTTGTCTACATTATGGAGCCAGGTAACAGTCTTGAAGCAAGTTTAGTGTCAAGCTTGTAGTTGTATCAAGGGAAAAATCAATACCCGGTGATTTCAGCGGGAAGTGGCGTTTCGTTCAGTGGATGAGCTGCGCGCGCACGCATAAATGTGATTATCCAATATATTAGGGGAGGGCTATTTGAAATAGTTTTTGGTCTCAGGCGCGACCCAGGGCTGTTGTCTTAAGGACATTTCGTTGAAAATGAGCCATTCAGCTGATAATTGGTAAGAGTTTGCAATCTTATAATGTATAACTGTTACCCAGACACATATTTTGCCACGATTCTGTTGGAAATAAGCTTTGAACTGAGAGATATTTACGATTGATATGCTCATTTTTGATTGTGCCATTGCTTTTCCATTGCACAATCCATGTATTGATAGAAGTTACATTGATAATGCAGATTGGTTTACCTTCAATACATGACAGACACTACATATCGGTCTATTAAATACCAGTTTGTGCCTTAAATAGTTTTATATTTCCATCCACGGCCTGGAGCCTGGGTGTGTTTGTCTCTAATGTGTATGCTTGTGCATGGACTTCTAATCACTAGCAGAATTTAACATGATGCAAACTCGACATTATAACTCATGCTGTAACATTTTGACTTCGCTTGAAAACAATAGGAATTATTTTTCTTGCCAATCAATCATGAATCACAATCAAAATTTCAGAATGATCAATCAGGCAATGGTCCAAATCAAGTTATAACATTATATGATATTCAGCAAGTCCGGTAGAAATACAGAATATTTAAACATCAAAGCTGAAAGTTAAAAGCTAATCTGTCAATTTTCTGTCTGCAAAAGAGCGTTTACATTTGTCACAGTAACAGACTGAAACTTTGAAATCTAGGATTCCCCATGAAAATATGACGTCATACTAATTAGCATAAGGATTTCCCTATTGGTCTGGGTCGAGCCTTGTTCGAAAACACAATCCAAATACATGCTAATTTCTAAGGAGATAGGAAGTGTATAACGTGTTTATCGATTTTGTTTAAAGATTTAATCAATTATCAAATTGTTTAAGTGGATAAAGTGGTCACACTTGCTTCAGTTCATAGCGCAATCGACGGATAGAAACTGACCGAATTCCCGATATCCTACCCCGTATTACTGTAGGCTATTAAGCACAGTGACCTACAGAGGGCGCTATCACAAACAAGTACTGCACGAACCAATAAATTCCCGGGCATTGAACGCCCTTGGTTGTAAAGGGGCGTGGCACATTACACTTCAGTTGTTGAACTTGTTGCTAGGGTCAAATAGAAAATGTGCATCATTATAGCAAAATGTGTTATTCTAAATCAATCTTAACACTATATGTGACATCATAATATGCTAAATATATCCATTATCTACCATTTTATATTTTTTACAGCCTATCATTGCCATACCCCATAAAACCGTTTAGGGTATGTGTGGTCAGCAATACGAAATACATGTATGTGTACTAATAACATTTTTTAAAATTGTATTTCAGATGCCATTATATCCTAATGTTGTTCATCTAGCTATGGTATGTTAAGAATGAATAATCATGTAATGATGATAATATGTTATATTACACTCCCCATCATAAGTTTTGTAACTGGAAGTCCCCCTTTGAATCACTTATCAAAGCTTGGCATGCTGTTTGGCAAATTTAAACAAGACATCATGCTTTTGAAATGAAGCAATGAGGAACAAAATCAAGGTTCAAACATTGACAGACCTTGATATGTTATCATATAAAAACTTGCAGTTGCCAACCTTATGGAGGGGGTGTATATGCTTTGAATTATATGTGTCATGAATTGTTTAGTTGTAGAAACCCGAAGCCAAAGGAAATAATAGTGCTTTACATTCTCTCCAAGTGATCAATTCCGTGGCACTGGGTTTGTTGACATTACTTATATGATATGTGACATTACGGGAGTTTGGTCCTAAGGCCAACATATTCCAATGGCGCAGAATCCCATTCGCCCCATCAAGTCCCACCACGCCATATCGAGTCCGACAATTTCCCATAACTTTGCCCCATGAGTCTCATCGAGTCCCTCCATATCCCATCGAGTCCCAAGGAAATGATGTAATTTAGTTTAGAAGGGACTCAATGGGGCTTCATGGGGCAAAGTCCCAAGGAATCCCAAGGAGTTCCATTGATCAAAGCTCAATGAAGTCCAACGGATTTCCATGAGGTCCCACCCAATGTTAAATCAATGGAGGGCCCACCATGTTGTATCGGTGTATGTTTGGCTTTAGAGAAGTAACTTCCTCTGTTTACATTCATCAAAACGTTAAAAAGAAAAAGTTGTCAAAACTGTGTAAGAGCGTGATTATTTGAACCTATTTCACTTGTTTTCTACGGATATTTTAGTTTTACACGAACTGAGCTGGCCAGTGCCATTCATAATATCTTCTAATAAACTTTTTCTCCTGCATTCATGACCACATATTACTATAGAATCCATAGGATTCTAGGAGATGAGCCATTCCATGGTAGCACTTGGCCTTGGATTGAATGTCTTTAACTGGTGAATAGGTTTATTATGAAGGGGGTTCCATGATAGCATATATAATCATTTTGAAAAATGGCCGCCATTTTAACATATTCTACTATAACTCAAAAAGTAGTGGAGCGATTTTGTTCATATTTGGTTTGTGAATACTATAAGCATGGCACACTGTCTAATGACACTTTTGGTAGAAGGCGGCCATTTTGAAAAATGGCCGCCATTTTAACGTATTTTACTATAACTCGAAAAGTAGTGGAGTGATTTTGTTCATATTTGTTATGTGAATGACATAAGCATGGCACACTGTCTAATGACACTTTTGGTAGAAGGTGGCCATTTTGAAAAATGGCCGCCATTTTAACATATTTTACTATAACTCGAAAAGTGGTGGAGCGATTTTGTTCATATTTGGTATGTGAATACTTTAAGCATGGTACACTGTCTAATGACACTTTTGGTAGAAGGTGGCCATTTTGAAAAATGGCCGCCATTTAAATGTATTTTACTAGGCCTTTACTCGTTATTTTACGATTTTTGCTGTAACTCGAAAAGTAGTGGAGCGATTTTGTTCATATTTGCTATGTGAATACTACAAGCATGGCACACTGTCTAATGACACTTTTGGTAGAAGGCGGCCATTTTGAAAAATTTCCACCATTTAAAGTATTTTACTATAGCTCGAAAAGTAGTGGAGCGATTTTGTTCATATTTTTATGGAAGCATATTACTTCTTCTGATGACAACTTGGCTAGTGAGCAACCATTTTGAAAATGATGGCCTTTCTTATGTGTGTTATTTTATGATATTTGCTATATATTTCGTTTATAAAAATGCCAGCCATTTCTGTTCGATGGGATTCGCTACGCTTTGGCGTTGCCGTTGTTCTGGCTCAAAATGTTTCTTTTATTTAACATTTGCCCTTGAGGACCTAGCCGGAGACTTTTTTTGTTTGAAATAAAACAAAACGGAGGCGCACAGATTTGAAAGAAAATGTTTTCATCAGTATTAAGACAGTTGGTTTACTTCACCGTAGATAAGCAGGTTTTAAGTTTTTAAGGCAAAGGATCCGTTGCCCCATGTACCTAAAGATGCCCCCAAATGGTTTCATTGAAAATAACAAAATGTAACATTTCCTAAAGAATTCTTGTTTACAGCAGATAGTTTTGCTACTTGCTGTAACCATAGCAACAGCGTGAATTGGACACTTCCATTACATTTAATCAATTTATGACCATACATGTATGAATGTAATAAACTAATAAACTCAACTAAAAGAAATAAACTAATTAACTAGTTAAAAGCATTACTGACCATTTTAAAATAATAATTTCACAATCACAGATTTGAATAAAATACACAAAAACAAACAGTTATGACGTCATAATAAAGATCAGAATGATTATTTCATCTATCATCGAAATCTGAGCGATAATGACGAAGATAGGGGCCAAACACTGAAAAGAGCCCCTAAGAGTGGGTGTGGCATAATAACTTTGTTACCGTTACAACGCTACCGCGTATTCAGAATTGCCAACTTAATATCTCCTGATTGCATTATCCATAACCTTCCATTTGGTGTGAATTTCATCGAAATCTGAGCAATAGGAGATAGGGGTCTAACACTGAAAGGAGCCCCTAAAAGTGGGCGTGGCATATTTACTTGGTTACCATAGCAACGTCGTCGCGGATTCAGAATTGCCAAAAAAACATTTTTCTTGATCAGCATCACTTCTAGTTTATGAAAACATATGTCACTTAGCTCGCCTCTAAAAAGGACACGGAACCTCTTATCTTTGCTCCCAGACTATATAAAATTATACTTGTACATGGTAGCCATCACAGTCTGATTGCTAAGATGAGGAAAACTAATACTCAGACATTATGCCAATGTCTAGACTATGTGACTGTCAACCTCTTTATTGTATGCTTAGATTATATTTCATGGGGATACATATACTAAATATAAAACCGATAGCATATAATATTGTACTTGTACATGATAACCAAGTCGTTTTGCTCAGATGAGGAAAACTAAATGGTTATAATGTTAAGACATTATGCCAAAGTCATTGTAAAACATTGTAATCCGAAGAAAACGATTAACTTTGATTCTATATTTACACATCAGATTTCGATATGTAATAGTGGCCTCATTAATCTAGGGATTGAGGAAAATGTGTAAAACAGCAACCATATCAAGTCCCCGATAAATCGGGCTACGTATACCGCCGTGTTTACATTAGGGGATTAGAAGAGTTTATTTTTTATTTAGGTATGCAAGCTACGTATATCAAGGGCGTTACAATACCCGGGAATTTATCGGTTCGTGCAGTACTTGTTTGTGATAGCGCCATCTGCAGGTCACTGTGGTTATAGCCTACATAATACGGGGTAGGATATCGGGAATTCGGTGCAGTTTCTATCCGTCGATTACGCTATGAATTGAAGCAAGTGTGACCACTTTATCCACTTAAACAATTTGATAATTGATTAAATCGTTAAACAAAATCGATAAACACGTCATACACTTCCCATCTCCTTAGAAATTAGCATGTATTTATCGGATTGTGTTTTCGGACGATGCTCGACCCATACCACTAGGGAAATCCTTATGCTAATTAGTATGACGTCATATTTTCCTGGGGAATCCTAGATTTCAAAGCCTCGGTCTTTTATTGTGTCAAATGTAAACATTCTTTTGCAGACAGAAAATTGGCAGATTAGCTTTTAACTTTCAGCTTTCATGTTTAAATATTCTTTATTTCTACCGGACTTCTTGCTGAATATCATATAATGTTATAACTTGATTTGGATTTTGGACGATTGTCTGATTGATCCTTTCTGAAATTTTGATTGTGATTCACGATTGATTGGCAAGAAAAATAATTCCTATTGTTTTCCAGCGAAGTCACTAAATGTTACAGCATAAATTATAATAAGTGGGAAGTAGAATAAAGGATGGGCGGGGCCAGGGGATTGGTGGCCCTACCAGCCCCACCAATTCACACGCATACACATAAGAGACAAACACACCCAGGCCGTGATGGAAATATAAAACTATTTAGGGCACAAAATGGTATTTAATAGACCGATATGTAGTGAATCCGCCATGTATTGAAGGTAAAACAATCTGCATTATTGTTACTTCTATCAATGGATTGTGCAATGGAAAAGCAATGGCACAATCAAAAATGTGCATATCAATCGTGAATATCTCTCGGTTCAAAGCTTAATTCCAACAGAATCGTGTCAAAATATGTGTCTGAATAACAGTTATACATTATAAGATCGCAAACTCTTACAAATTATCAGCCGAATGGCTAATTTTCAACGAAATGTCCTTAAGACAACAGCCCTGGGTCGCGCCTATGACGAAAATAAGCTTGAATATCCCTCCCCTAATAATATTGATAATCACATTTATGCATGCGCGCGCAGCTCATCCACTGAACGAAACGCCACGCTGAAATCACCGGGTATTGATCTTTCCCTTGCGTATATCAATATTAGGCCTTCATTCATGTACTCGTGTGCATGTAATCAGCATGCCCTTCAATATTATGTAAACCAGGCTATTCAAGTACTGTATAATGTACACTATTTATGTGTGTACTACATCACATACAATACAATTCCCTGGGAAACAAAACACAAATACTTTTTATATGTTCAAAATGAGCCATTTGATTGATGCAAACACTAAATAGCTTCATAAATAACATCTACAAAGTATATCTAATAGTAATTTTCAATTCCAATGGTGAAACTTCCCTGGTTACGATTATATGGGAAATCATCACGAGACGAAGATCGTTCGCCTTCCTGGCTTACCTCTGAATCGTGTACCCGGTAATCTCTTTATATAGTTTAGCGAGAGCGGTGCGCCTGCGCAGTTTTAAACTTTGGCGCACACTTTAAATTCGATTTTGAATACCATGTCTATCGAAAGAAATGTTTTTTTTACACATCTAGTTCCCTTAAAATGGTTAAAACGAAAGGTAAGCAAACACTGTAAGTTCCCAACCTGCCAAATTGGGAATCTATCGTTACCCAAAAGACTTAAAAGTTGGGAGAGAAGATAAATTGATTCACCTATATTATTCTATAATACGTATGAACTTATTTCTATCGTTACTCCAAACTCTGTAAACATGTGAAATTTATAACTCTATGTAGTTAGATATTGACTAAAATAAATCTTTAAAAGAACATATAGTAACCATACTTTTGTGAGATAGACTGTAAGAAGTAATATACCTAATGATTATTAGAATATTGGCATATGTCGAATAATCTAAAATAATTCATATCGTTACTTTAATAAGTATAAAATATAACTAGCATATGATGGTGCTAATCATCCTGATACAAAATGGGTGCTAATTGCTACTTGTTGATTATTATCAGTCCCGTCGCAAGGGGTGGGGAGGGGTCTGGCCAAAAAATCTTTCAAAACCACCAATCTGGGCACTTGTCGAGCGATTTTGGGCCAAAGACGTCAATTGTGAACCTACTGGAATTTTTTGAAGTGAATCTCCCCTTAGCAAATGCTGGCTACGGCCCTGATTATTTCGTATACACCAGCCTTTAAAGATGGGCTCAAAGGAATGGGCCCTGCGGTGCTAAGCTTTTAAAATACGTATTTCGATCCACAAGATCTGAAAAGTTGCAACACTGTCTTGTTAATCTTGATCAATCAAGTTGTGCTGAAGGAATACAACGGTATGAACCAATTCTACTGAATAAAATGGCTATTAAATGGGAATACCATGTGTTGATTCAAAATGAGGACTTCAAGAGTTTCTCTAGTCTGGCAGTAAGAATTGTTGAACGGACAACATATTAAAGGCAGAATCAGATCTATAGGGGGTGACAAATTTAAAAGCAACTTTTATAATTGACCTACCAATCTATTCCTTACAATATCAAATACAATATCTCCCAAAAGATTCACAATGTGTTATAAATTGGTGAAGTTATTCATGATTCAAAGGAAATTGTTTTAATTTTCCAAAATAATAAGAATGGTTACCATTCTTATAGAAAAAGAATACATTATTGTAAAAATCTTTAGTTTTCCTTGAAAAAAGTATGCACTTTTGTGATTTTTAGAAAATAGACATGACAAGGAATGACATGAGCCAAAAATATTCTAAAATTGAGACAATTTTTTGTTTAGCCTGCTTGCTATATCTGATTCTCTCTTTAATTGGAAAAATAAAGGCCTTTGGCATTGAACGCCTCAACAAACAATATAATTTCAAAACAAAATAATTTATAGTTTTATATATATTTTACTGATTTAAAGCATTTTAACACATTTCTATAAGATAAATCATTACGAAATTGTACAACTTGTGTTAGCTTTTGATTTTCTTAAATTAGCATTCGATTTATAATTTATAAAAGTCAATGGTACTGATTTTCTTCTCTCTCCACGAGCGTCTGTTCTATGGCTATCTGTACTGTCTGATTGATCATTTTCTCGGAGGTAATGTTTTTTGGTTATATCACTGAATAAGGCAGTGATATTGACATCGTGTTTAGCAGTCGTTTCAATGTATACGTCACATCCCCATTCAACAGTTGCGATAATGTCAGCAGTTATAGAACAAACCTCCCTCTCAGATTCAGGGACGTCGGACTTGTTTGCAACAATGACAATATAAGTGGGTTTGTTTCTTCGTTCTTCGAGGATTTCCTGTCTCAGTCTGTTAACTTCCTCGAACGATTTTCTGTCATCCAGGGAAAAGACAAGAATAAACGCATGGCTGATGGTCATTGAAAGCCTCATCATCGCGGGGAATTGGTAGCTACCTGTCGTATCGACAATCTCCATCATCTGAACGTCATTTTTGCTGATTTTGTACTGTTTCTGATGAAAGTCCTCAACGGTCGCCTCGTGTTTCTCGATAAAGGTGTCATTCATGAAGCGGTTTACGATGCACGTTTTGCCAACCGCTGCTGCTCCCATTACCGCAATCCTAAGAGGCTTGGACTTGCCTGTAGAACTGCCATCGGTCCTCGTCATCTTGGTACTCGAGCTTCTCCCCTTCATGGTCGATCTTAGCCAGATATGGATAGATTGGTAGAAAGTTCTTGTTTAGATTCAACGTCCAGTTGTTTTCTGATACGATTGCTTTTCTTGCTCATTTTATAGTTTTGCGAGACAAGGTGATAATTGTCGAATGCGTATGAGAGTTATGTAATCTGTTTTTTACCCAAAACACATACATAGTTTGTAATTTACATTACGACGCACACGATCCAGGGATAAAAAAGGCTCGTTTAATATCCTTACCCAGGTCTATTTATTTAATTTTGGAGACCCCGTGCTTGAGTTGTTGATGTTGTTATGTTGATCAACAGACGACCAACTTCCGTGGGAATATCAAAGGAATGGTCAACTTGCTTGACATCATGCGTACCCTCGTGTCCCACTGTATCCATGCAATACTTTTTTACGTTTGGGTTTAACCTACGGTAGCTGTCCAGAATTTAGAAGCTAGTGTTTTAAATCTAATAAAGGAAACGGCATCTAACAACCTCGTATTTTAACTCACATTCTCATCGTTCTTTTTTAGTTGAGACAACAGCAGCACGAAAATGAATGAAAAGTAACGAGAAAGAGAAAGGGGAGCGAAACAGAAAAGTGAAAAGGCACTCAAAATGTTTAGAACGCCGTATACGAAAATGGTTTAGTGTCTCCTTCCAAGGTCTCGTGTTTGCATGTTTGGGATCTTTTTGAAATTATGGCTACACACAGGCTACTTGGTATTTTTTATACTTTTTACGTGAAAGCCTATTTGAGCATGAAAACACTTGCCGGAGTTCAACGACATGTAAAGATAGATTAAGCGATATATTTTTGTTATCAGTCTTTTTTATGATATACAAAATATCTTTACAAAATATCACAATGTAATTCCGTACAATCGCCCGTGGGCATAATAGAAGGGTACAGTAAGATAAAAACAAATACAATGTCATGAGTAAAGTCATGGGGTTTACTCTTCTGCACTTGTGGTTGGCCATTGCTATGTTATGTTTCTTTATTTCACCCGTTTAGTTTGAGAGCAAAACAATTAGTACATTTATATCACAGTACAGAACATATATTACAAACAGACAAAAGGGGTTATCAATATTTACATATTTACAAAATGGATGACTCTTAATTTATAAATGTAAAATGTATTTGCACATTCGATAACGAACATAAATGCACGCCTAACCATCGACAAGGTACATTGACAAAATATACCGTTGTACGCTTTAGAACTTTAGATGTACGATGTCACTATCTAATCGATTTGAAGCAAAGACAATGATGTAGGTTTGACGTAGGCTTTAAAAAAATAATCTGAAAAATACATTAAGGATTTCATTTTTTGTGTATTCGTTTAGGAAGACATTTTACTTTCCAATAACGTTGAAAGTTTTTCGAACAGTGCTCGATTCTTTTCGTAGTCAATCTTCCCATATAATTGGTCGATTGGAAAATGTTTTGTTTTTGCACATTTCCTTTGATCATTTCCTCCCCTGTCGTGTCTAAGAGTGTCGAATAATTTTATGAAAATATGTTTCTTTAAACAACACAAGTAAGGTCTGTTGAAGATTTAATAAGTATTAACGTTTTGGCTATAATTTAAAAAATCATAAGTGTACGTTGTCAACTCGAATGTACGTTGTCCCATTAAACTTACTCAATTCACAGTTAACCCTAATGCAGACAACGTATTTTTCATAACACTAACAGACAGGGGGGTCAGATGCAATTAAAATTGAAACAGAACAATAACAGAATTACTTCAATTTGATCGAACTATTGAAACTTTCCAGATATATCATAAACGGGATTTTAAAAAGTCATATTCAATAATAAGCTAGTTTAGATCAGTAGATCTATCTATCAATGTAACTAACAAAACGTAAGGTACAGACGCCAAATAATCAAAGAGGCTGGAAGCAAACTCCGTGGCAGTGCTAGTCTTCAACATATTGGGCACAAATTAACCACCACCACAACAATACTTTCATCAAATGGATAAAAAGCAAAAAAGGATACTTGAACATGTTCTTTAAAGATCACTTGTTACTCATAAAAACCTTAATGAATTTTGAAATGAAATCATTACATTGTTTAAAATATTACGTACATTCGAGTTGACAACACAATTTTTTAAATTACAATAAATACTTGAATATTTATTAATCTCCACCCGTCCTAAATTGTGTAGTATAGAGAAACATACTCCCATAAAAATAATCGACACTCTTGGGCTACAGGGGAAAAAATGATCAAAGGAAATGTAAAAAAAAACAACATTTTCCCAACCGATCAATTTTTGTTGGTAGATTAACTTAATTTTTTAAAACCTACATCACACCTGCATCATAGTTTTTGCTTCAAATCTATTAATAGTGACACCGTACATCTAAAGTGTACAACGGTATATTTTGTCACTGTACCTTGTCGATGGTTAGGCGTGAAATGGCGTCATTCAGTAATTGGCTACATCAAATCTATTCTGCTTCCCAGAACAGTCTGTAAGAAAATACCATCATCAAGGCTGAAAAGTGCAACACTGTCACGAACTGGTAGAATATCAACCAGTCGTTCAAAAAGGTAGAGATTAAAAGGTGGATTGGATCGAGTTGATTGGATTCATGTAAAAGGTGGATTGGATCGGGAATCTTCAAAATGTGGAATTTCTTATAAAAAAAATTCTGTTGATCTCCCTCTAAACAATTTCCCTGTCATTCAAATTGATGTGTGAATGTTCACAAAACATTTCTGGTATGTTCAGTTTGGATTGAAAACAGATGATATGGTTCTTCAAACCAGTCTGCCTTATGATTTATGAAATGTCTCAAATTACACTTGGAATGAATAAGATCGTGTATCAGAAAGCGGGTACCAGGTCATCCTTCTAGCTCACCCGAGCAAAATAATATTACATCTACGTATTATTTGACATTGTGCAAGTGAAGAGAGCACCAATCTTCCTAAAGGGAGATCAATAGAATTCTTTAAGGGAAAATCCATATTTTGAAGATAGCCAATCCAATCCACCTTTTACATGAATCCAATCCACCTTTTAATCTTTACCTTCAAAAATGTGTCTCTATCAGACATGAATTGATTGCAATGCAAAAAATGAAATATTACAATTACGCGAGGAGTTGCAGCAAGCTGCACCAGGTTGGCTAATTGCCAAAGATATGATGGATGTCGTTTTCCAACGACGGCCAGGCGAAGCTTGGTTCCAGTTAACAATGAATGTTCCTACAAAATTGCAGATTCACATTGGCTTCCATTCTTGAAAGCCACTTATTTTCCTCTCTGTTGAAAATTGGGAAATGCGATGCTTTTTTAAACAAAACTGTTTTCATAATTGGCATGCAAGAAGGTTTCTGCAACACTTTGTGCAATATCAAAGTCGATGCTCATGATGCTTTAGCAAAACCAATGTGAATGTTCCCAGTGTTTTTAAGTAGGGACGAGAATATAAACAGGAATATATGTTTTGTAATTTCATGAGTGCATCGACATAATCTTGAGAAAAAGTTTAATTTCAATTTCTCAATGAAGCTCGATACAGATATTGCATCAAGAGTGGCCAGAACAACGTCTGATGCCGTTCTCGCTTGAAAACCTTGAACTACTTTGAATATATGTTTTGAGCAGTGTTTAGGATATCTTTATCATATGGTGACAAGTTATACCATAATTCACAACCATATAATGCAGTGCATAGCCTAATGGACGCGAGTGGATTAGCGCCGAATTTATGTAAACGTACGTATTTAATGTTTTTGATGGAATACGATTTTGAATAAATTTTCTTTTTTGAGTTATTACCAGCTTTACTATAGCATGACGGTTACGACAAGGCGATTTGCAAAATCTTGCGGTAACGATAACAAATAAAAATGGCAGATGGGAAAGACAGCATGTCCTCTTTCTCGCCTGTAGGCAAGATTCACAGATAAGATTTCCTTTTTAACTAGTTCCATTCGGTGACGTATATATGGATGGTTATAAACTGGGTCAAATCTGCCAGGTGGTTTACTAGAATATTTAAGCTGTAAACTTACCGACTGAGATGTCCAAGTTCATATTTTTTAGTCCATTCTCGTGATTTCTCAGTATATGTGCACCAGAGCCACTCAAACTATTAAAAGTAAGTAAACTGTGTATAAACAAGCCATAAAATGACAAATCCAGAACAGGAACGTGGTCATATTGTAAATAATAAGGTTTCAAACACAATGTCGTTAGACGAATACGTATATGAATTATATGCAGACGGTAATGTATTGTATTAGTCGTACAATAGATATTTAGCGGACGGTTACGTGTATGTATATCTTTCAAGTTAAAGTTGCTAGTTCTGATAGCCTCTTTCCATGTAATTGTTATAATGGGTAAGAAATGGCATATTGAATTCACGGTGCCCTACTTAGGCGCGCAGTTTGTTGCGATCACAAACTGCGTACCTAACAACATTGCATCATTTAACTTGGAGTCTGTATTTTGAAATGTAATTTAAAGACATTTATCATGCATTGTTTTCTTGTTCAATGCGTTCATTCTGTGGCGAATACTAGTATACGAATCTTGCAAATACTAGCAAAAACTATGTGCAAATAAATCTAAGTTTTAAAACATAAGCAGATTGATGGTATTTTCGTCACTGATTTAACGGAAATTTATACGTAAATCGATCTAGCACTTTAAACATTAATGACAAATACTTTAGACTCGTTTTATATTTAATTCCTTACGCATTTATCATGTATAATTCAAAATATTTCGAGATAAAACAGATAATCAGGAGATCAAAAAGAAATAAAGCACAAACTGCGCGCCTATTTTAGCCAGAAATTACAAACTGTGCGCATACACTATTAAAACTACATATTATCATTGGAATTTCTACAGAGGCAGGTGTAGGTGTTTTTCATGTAGCTTTGGAAATTTTGCTTTATTGTCAGATTTTATGAGATTTTCATATTGAAAGTCAAAATGTATAATAGAAGTGACAATTAAGTTGGGAACGAAAGAAAACTTTTATTTTCAGATCACCATCTTGGTGGATGGACTCTCATAGTGTTTCAATTATGGGGTTCTACTGTTAGACACATATGTGCCTTACATATGGCGCTTACGTTTTCTAATAGTACAAAACAAGCTTGGATATGCAAGCAGTTTGGAAATATTAGGCAAAACGCATCGACCACGAGAACATTTTGAGCATGTTCTAAGTTCTAGAGGACCTAGCCGTTCGAGTACGTTCGATGAAGTTTGTAAATAGACCCCAAACGGTTCTAAGTACGTCCAGTCCGTTCGTACACAGTTGAAGCAGTACGTCCAGTCCGTTCGTACACAGTTGAAGCCCGTTTTCGAGAACGTAGTGAAAACTAGTTTGGCGTGATAGTAGGGTAAAACCTGACGCTCAGTTATGAATGCGTCAATGTAGATAAAAAAATAAATCGAACTAGTCACTCCCAGACTCTTCCTTGTCCCACTCCCTGATAAATACTAAATTCCCGGGAAAATGAACCTTTTCTCCACAATAAATCAAAACATTTCCAATTATCAAGGAATGCAGAAAATACCATAGGGTCGCGTTCTTTGTAGTGAAGTATGATCTCTTTCAGAGCGAACTGACTAGTACTACCATCTTGATAACCATGATGGTCATGGTCATTGAATTACACCATTTTAATATGCCATACTTTATTGACTGTTCGTAAAATTAATTGCCAAATAATTGACGTCATTTGATGATTATGGCATTTCGTATACAGTAATTAAAAGACATTAATTAGAATGTTAAAACAGTCACCTTTGAGAACTTCATTTTTTCGTATAACATACATTTTAGCTCATACGTTAATGACAATTATTTAAATACAGTTGACTGTTCGTAAAATTAATGGCCAAATTATTGACGTCATTTGGTGATTATGGCATTTCGTATACTGTAAAACGGGTATTGTTAGCGAGGGGTAATTATTAGCGATTGTTAGCGATCGCTATAGTTTCGCTAAAAATTCAATTCGCTAAAATAAACCGGGGTTAAAATAAACCAGGCGCTAAAATTTGCAAAAATATAAAGATAAAAGGTGTTAATTGAACACGGTTCAACAACGAATGATATTGCTTAAATTCTCCCGTACCATTTCGCTAATTTGATTTTTTAAAGATTAATCTTCATTTCGCTAAAATTTCCCGCGCTAAAACCCCCTAAAATTAAAAAATCGCTAAAATTTCCCGGTGTCAAAATTACCCGTTTTACAGTAATTGTATGTCATGTCATAATTAAAACCATTAACTTTGCAACTAATATTCCATAATTTTTAGATGATTGTAAGATGTGTATCTTGAAACGATCGTATCACCAAGATGAAGCATCAAGCTTAGTAGATAGATATCACACCAAACTAGTTTTTACCCGTTCTTGCCAGTCCTACGAAAACGTCGTCAAACGGGCTCAATCTGGCTGAACGTATCGACCACGAGAACATTTTGAGCATGTTCTAAGTTCTAGAGGACCAAACGGTTCTTAGTAGGACCAGTCCGTTCGTATACAGTTGAAGCCCGTTTTCAAGAACGCAGTGAGAACTAGTTTGGTGTGATAGTAGGGTTATTTTGTGTTTAAAATACTAGTACATATCCCGATAGTATCTCCTGACAGGGATCATTATTGCACCGATCTCGTCGGCCATTAATTATGTTCAAGTTGAAGGTCTGGGGTTAAGGAGTGGTATAAATTGTATTGTCTTGCATTCTATTGCAGCAAGTATAAGGATAAGCAGTACGATCACGAAGTTCATCTTCTATATCGATTCTGTGAAGGGTTGGATATCAGAAGCAGGTAATTGAACTTACCTAGCTCAGGATAGTGATACTGTTAATTAAAGGCAGAATCAGATCTATAACGGCCAACAACATTACAAGCGGCACAAGCAATATGTACATTTGGCCTTACAATTTATTCCTTATGATCTCAAATACAATATTTCCCAAAAGATCCCCGATATGGTATAACTTCGTGCAAAAATGGGGGAAAATGGGGAAAAGCGTTTAAATAATAAAAAATGGTAACCATAAAAAAAATTAATTATAATATTTTTTTTGTTTTCCTGGAATAAAATACTGAGCCAAAATTTTTCTAAAATTGAAACAATTTTTTATTAAAACTAAAAGCTAACTTGATGGTTCGCTAGATCTGATTCTCTCTTGAATAAAACAAGGTATTACTATTAATATATAAAAGTGTCATAACTGCCATTTGTTACAGACACCGAATACCAGACGCTGGACACCAACCACCGTCACCAAGACGATAACAATATGCTGATATATCACCACTTTTGATGATGACATAGAAAGAAACAAGAACACACATATAATAATCAATATAAAATCACATTTTTTTTAAATTAAAATTTGTATCCTAGACCTCTTATACAACTTACTTTGAACATCCTTCTTCTGAATTCAGTTACTATACAAAATCTTTAAGACAAGATTTCTCTAACAGTATTGCGTATATTGAAATGTACAAAAATAAGTCTCAAAAGTATGAGGACATGTAGCCCTTATCCCTCTGAATCTGTTTAACCTTCTCATCAATATTAGCATAATATTTCAGCCTTGACAACAACTCTTTGGCCTTCTTGATATTCTCATTTGCAAAGGCATCTGTTAATTCTACAATAAAACCGTTAATAATTTTACGATTTTCTTTCTGTATTAACCTTACTGTGTCTGCATTATCAGCACTATTGGCCAATGTTTCATTCACTTCCATAATGTCCATAAGGAAATCGGGTTCAAATTCAATCTGATCTTCCTCTATAGTTTCACCATGTAATTCAAGGAGATAGAGCCCCCTAGATAACGGCTTAAGCAATGTATTATATGCCTTGTTTACAATGCTAGATTGGGCCTCGGAATATTCCCTTTCAAGATCAGACTTCTGGCTGTATTTATCAGGATGTAAATGTTTCTGTAGCCCTCTATAATGTTTAGTTAAACTATTGGTGTCAATGTCAAACTGCTGCGGTGTTCCCATTATTTCAAAGTATGACCAATCAGAATCTAAAGGCTGAATTATTCCACACTTGCAGAAGTACACTTCCAGTTCATCTAATTTTCTCTTACATTTCCAACAGTGGCGGTGTTTTCCATGTTCATTGGATTCTGTACATAACCATCTTCTTCCCTTGTGTCCCTCCACACTAGAGTCTACCATTTGAGCGTTACTAATTATTTTTTGTTTTACAATAATGGATAAAGTCGGGGACTGCCTGGACATAGAATTTGCCAGGGATACACGAAAAATCCTCTTACATAGCATGGATAAAGCCATGTTTCTTCTCGTGAAAAAATGAAGTTCCTTGGAAAAACTTAAAACTTCAGTCAGAGTCTATGGCTTCAGTTCTTGCAGTTTTTTTGTTTTTCTTAGATTTCTTTTTATTACTTTCAATCTCCGCACATGAATCTTCCAGATAATCAGCCTAGAAAGAGAAATTATTTATATATGTTATGTAAATAATAATAAAAAATATTTATGATTATATTTGCAAATGGTGAATTGATTTGTCTTGAGATGTTGAAGGACAGAATAATAAGAACATTTCAATGGATATTGTAAAATAAACTTTGAATGTTATCCTATTAAAGCCAATCATGATCAGCCATGCACTAGCTCATGAGTCAAATTTCTTATTAAGTCCATTATTTAATAATTTCATATTGCGCTAATAAGCATACATTATATCTCATCAATCGTGATTTACATAGGTTACACATATTTTATTTAAAAACTACCTGCACTGAGTCATTGCACTCAGGTTATCAATAAGGACAATTCAATGATTATTTTGTCACATGAAAAACCAGAACAACGGCAACGCCAAAGCATGGTGAATCCCATGGAACATAAGAAGCTGTCATAAGAAGAAGTAATATGCTTTTAAGTAGCCACCTATAAAATTCTTAAAAAATGGCACACATGTACTTGTAAATGGTGGCCATGTTTTAAAATGGCCACCTTCTACCCAAAATGTCAAAAGACAGTATGCAATGCTTATGAGTATTCATATGTCCAATATGAACAAAATCGCTCTATTACTTTTTGAGTAAAAAAAAAGTTTAAAAAAAGTAGAAAAAGTAAAATAACACTCATAAAAATGGTGGCCATTTTTCAAAATGGCCGACTACTCCCCAAAGTTTTATTTGACAATGTGCCATGCTTAAAGTATTCACATATCAAATATGAACAAAATCGCTCCACTACTTTTCCAGTTATAGTAAAAATGTCCGCCTACTACCCAAAGTGTCATTAGACAGTGTGCAAGGCTCAGGAGTATTCACATATCAAATATGAACAAAATCGCTTCACTACTTTTCAAGTTATAGTAAAAAATGTAAAAATGGTGGCCATTTTTCAAAATGGCCACCTACTACCCAAAGTGTCATTAGACAGTGTGCTATGCTTATAGTATTCACATATAAAATATGAACAAAATCGCTCTACTACTTTTTGAGTTATAGTAAAAAATTGTAAAATAACACATGTAAAAATGGCAACCATTTTTTAAAATGCCCTCCTATGACCCAAAATGTCATTAGACATTGTGCCATGCTTAAAATATTAACATACCAAATATGAACAAAATCGCTCCACTACTTTTCAAGTTACAGCAAAAATCGTTAAATGACGCGCAAAGGCAGCCATTTTTCAAGATGGCTGCCATGTATTTCTTCTATATTTACATTTCTAGCTTAATCAATGTCCTATATAATTTTTTTACATTTAAAACATATCGCAATTGCAGTTTTATATGAAGTACCTAAATAACTGTAAAATCGGCACTAAAATGGCCACCATTTTGAAAATAGGTTCTCGAGCAGAACTTCTACCCCCATTGGTTATATGTGTACAAAATCGGGCTAACAGTATTTGAGTTATTTCCCGGACGGACGGACAGACGGATGGAGGCGTTCCCTATATCCCTCCGAACTTCGTTCGATGGGATAACAATATAAGACAAGCTCATTTGGTAAGTAAAGGATATTAGATATATTATGGGCTTTCTCTTGAATGCTACTGGACATATGAACCAGGCTTCAAAAATTTTGTTCTCTTAATTTTGATATATCTGAAAGACATTCAAATCTCAACTGATATCATTTTATCATCTAGCTGCAACAAAGTGTTCTGTACAGTGTTGCCCTCTTTAAATGGTGTTATTCTCCACAGTAGATAAAATTAGGGAACTCATTACAGTGATCTCCACAGGATTTTTTCTCAAGTGGGTGCAAAATTCTCCTTTTCACAATTTAGACCGATATTGGTCGAAATATGCCCATTTTTCATGATTTTTCTCATTTTCAAGTGGTTGCAAATGGACTTTTAGGTGGGTGCAAGCTTATTTTCAAAATCTCAGGTGGGTGCTGCGCCCACTTGCTTTAATGCTGAGGAGATCACTGCATTACATATCCATGTATAAGCTATTATACATGTTCTATTCAGTGTAACCATATTAAAACAACATTGGGTTTCAAGAAGATTCCATCACTCATTCCAAAATTTGAGGGTTGCATTTCTGGGGACAGCAGAGGGGGAACAGAAAGTTATATGAATGCAATTTGAACTCATACCAGTCATCTTAGGACAGAGGGTTGTTCCAAAAAAGAAAGTGTGGTACTGGGTACCCAACATCGTAGCAGCAAAGAGGACCACTTGACTTTTTAGAACAAATAGGCCTCTTTCAAATCTGGTTTTATCAATTGTTCATTTTGGGAGGAGAAATTCAAAGAGCAAACTATGCATTATCTGGTTTTATTATATGCCCGGCCCATATGTATTCTAGATGCTTGTTGGCTTATTCATGGGCACATGATATGAAATAGATGAACTAATTCCCTGGAAAGTCCTAAAACCCTGCTAACAGGGAAGATGAAATGTACTAATGACCAGTTACAGTGCTTTCAGTAGGCTTGTCCAAAAGTGCTTCCTTGGGACGGATTGATTTTCCAAAATTGCGCCCCCCCCCCTCTTAAAAGTGCGTCTCCATGAAAAAAGGTTCCCGGGAATTCAAAGTCACATTTTTGCACTGAACGAAAAAGATTGATGAAAAGTTTGCATCAGTTTTGTTATTTTTTGGCCCAGATCAGTGTTCTACACACGTCTAGTAGGTCATTAAATGATGCAGATACCTTCATATGAAAGAGGTAACTAATATTCAACCATTAAATACCATTTTTTCGCGTATTTTAAAGCAATTTGCTATTGATTTTGATCGCTCAGAAAGTTTTATTAGGAGCAATCTCCGTAAGGTTCCATTCTTTGGTTCAGTTTTTTGCGCATGCGCAACAAATCCAGCAATTTGATTTTAAAATTATCAAGACGCATGCGTGATTAATAATCGCGGCCAATCATAGGACTCATTCTGATTACCGCTCGGAAATCAACTACTAGTGATTGTCCTATCACATACCTCATACTATATTGATCGGAAATCAACTTCCGGGAAAGAAACTCCGAAAGATAATTTTATTTCTTTTAGAAATAGAATATCCTTCGTTTATTTAGCGGATTTTGACTGAATAAAAGATTGAAGGTAAGATCTTTATCAATCCATTCATCCAGAGATGATTTTTTGATATGACCTGCACTGCGTCCAAGTGACCCCTCATTTTCATTGTTTGGGGTCCCTATAATAAAAACCGGGTCCTCTCCATTATGGGACGGCGTTAATGAAAGCACAGAGTTAGGTCATGTGACCAGTCATTAGTACATTTTATCTTCCCTGCTCACTGGAATTATAGGAGTTAAGTGGCAAAAAGCCTTAAAGAGCCAAGAAGAACCTGTAAGCATTCAATACTGAAATTAAGACTAATTTTGTTTTGTTTACAGAACACATATGGGGTATATAATAAAACAAATACTGACTGTCACATTTTCGGGAAATAGTGAAAAATTTTTACCCTTGGGAAAAATATTTTTCACTATTTCCCTCAATGCTTGACAGTCATTATTTGTATAACAACTTACCAGTTGAGGTGTAGTTCTTACTAACAGTTTCACATCATCACAATTTATTGTTGTTCGCCTAGCATGCCTAAAATGATTTCAAAAATATTCATAATTGCATGCATCAGTATACAAAATCAAAAAATTTGGATGATTTAACACTATTTTCAAACTGTACATTGATTGAACTTCAAATGATGCACATACTTAGCAAAAAGTTCCAGGTCAGTTGTCCACTTCTGTAACTGTTTAAATGTGGCCTCTGCTAATATGTTCTTGAAATGCACAGAGAACTGGGTCCCATGAAAGTCCTCCTCCTCTTCAAACTTTGTACAACACTTGCCTACTCCATAGTGGATGGCAGCTTTCAATTTCTGAAAGTAAAGAATTGCAAAACTCTTATTTATAATGTTTAGAACATGCAGAAATATGAGTAAAGACATTAGAGTTATATCACATTGCATGGCTGTAGAGTAAGGCAATACATCTCCCCATACAGAGATTCTTTCTCATAGGCCCATGGTTGTTTATTCGAAAGAGGGGTGTATAATAAAGAATTTTCTCTCTTTCTAAAGGCCCAAAGGCATTTATTCAAGTGTCTCACAAGTGCTTTTAAATAAACATTCACTAGGCGAAACATTAGAGGAAAGTATTCTTAAACCTGCATATCACTTTATAACGCTATCTTGGGTTGTTCTAGGGTCAACTGTAACATTTTGAGAAATATTGAAAGAATCAATATAAGTAAGTATGGATCAAATGATTATAGACTGCATGATGAATTAAGGTCTCATGGCAGTTAAGAGCAAATGACAAAACGAAGAGATGACAAAAAACATAAGATAAAATATTTTTCTGACTGACCTACCCCAAAAAGAATTGAGTAAAATTTTAATGAAAAATAAAATAATCCTCCTACCTACCTACCCTAATCTGAAAATACATGGAGCAGGAAACAGGCATATATTTTTGTTTGGCCTTATTAGGATAATAGTGGTGGTTAATAGATATAATGTAATGGGTAGAAGTGCAACTCCTCTGGCAACATTTAAGTTTAGTGAACACCTTCAATAAGTCAAAACATCAGAAAGGATAACATAAAAAGAAATATAACTTGATTCATGTATTTCCCGAAAAAAATCAAAATATTTCTGTGCTTAACCCCATAATACAGATAAAAATTACTACCGTGGGTACTGGGCTCACATGGTGTTGCTCAAAAGTGAAAATAAAAAAGACTTGTATAATTTTTTGCAGATTTTTTGTGACAAAATTATTTCATTCAACTACTCTTTACAAAGACATGGCTTTTTACAATGCAGGACACCTGAACTTATTTGTAAAGCTAGGAAATGGGCCAAAAGTGAATTTCCCGAGACAAAAATGGTGGCCATTTTGAAATTAAGCGAGATTTTGAAGCAGGAGTCACAGGTTTTTTTTTGTTTATTGACGTTGAACAAAATTATTTTAAATCGGGAATCCTATCTACAGAGGATTTAAAAAGTGTTGACAGAGGTTTAAAACTTGCCACTTTTTTGGACTGACTGAGAGACAGATGGACGAATCAATTTTAACTAAAATGGCTGAAAATAAAAAAAACTGATATAATATTTTGCCGATTTTTTGTAACAAAATTATTTTATACAACTATTCTTTACAGTGACATGGCTTTTTACAATGCAGGACAGCTGAAATTATTTGTAAAGCTAGGAAATGGGCCAGAAGTGAATTTCGCGAGACAAGAATGGTGACCATTTTGAAAATAGGCGAGCTTTTGAACCAAGAGTCAAAGGAGAGTTTTTTGTATTGATGTTGAACAAAATTAACTTAAAACAGGAATCCTATCGACAGAGGGTTTAAGGCAAATGGTCCAAAAGTGGATTTTGCGAGACAGATGGACAAATCAATGTTAACTAAAATGGCTGAAAATAAAAAAATGGATATAATTTTTTGCTGATTTTTCGTAACAAAATTATTTCATACATCTACTCTTTACATTGACATGGATTTTTACAATGTAGGACACTTGAAATTATTTGTAAAGCTAGGAAATAGGTCAAAAGTGAATTTCACGAGACAAAAATGGCGGCCATTTTGAAAATAGGCGAGCTTTTGAGCCAGGAGTCATAGGGGAGTTTACTGTATTGATGTTGAACAGAAATAACTTAAAACAGGAATCCTATTAACAGAGGTTTTAAAACGTGCCACTGTTTTTGACGGAAAAGTGGATTTCACAAGTCAGATGGACAAATCAATGTTAACTAAAATGGCTGAAAATAAAAAAAAAGATATATTTTTTCGCTGATTTTTTGTAACAAAATTATTTCATAAATCTACTCTTTACATTGACACAGATTTTACAATGTAGGACACCTGAAATTATTTGTAAAGCTAGGAAATGGGTCAAAAGTGAATTTCGCGAGACAAAAATTGCGGCCATTTTGAAAATAGGCGAGCTTTTGAACCAGGAGTCATAGGGGAGTTTTCTGTATTGATGTTGAACAGAAATAACTTAAAACAGGAATCCTATCGACAGAGGTTTTAAAACGTGCCAGTCAAAAGTGAATTTCGCGAGACAAAAATGGCGGCCATTTTGAAAATAGGCGAGCTTTTGAACCAGGAGTCATAGGGGAGTTTTCTGTATTGATGTTGAACAGAAATAACTTAAAACAGGAATCCTATCGACAGAGGTTTTAAAACGTGCCACTATTGTTGACGGACAGACAGACAGACGGACGGACGGACAGACAGACGGACAAGTGAGCGATTGCAAAAGCTCACCATGTGAGCTAAAAAACCAGATGGATAGCTGTCATTTCTAAGAATTGGATGTTCCCCAATATACTGAAGATCTGATGAGCCAGGAGGCTGTTTCTCGAAACTTATCAGGGCTCTCGCCAGGCTTTTAGACTGTGGCGCAGTACCACACTCTATTTAGCTCCCTCCACACCCTAATGGCAAATCATGACTGTTTCCACAGTCTAAACTTGACTAAATATATAATAATAGCATGTAAAAAGGATAAAACATAACATAAATATGATTTATCACGATTGAACGGTTATTCTGATGATGTTAGCACCACACCCTAAATATTTCCTGGTGAGGGGCCTGCTTATCGTTATTATGAATTGTTGATAGCATTTCTATGGACACTGCATGGTTAGTGGAACACAGGACCCCCATTCTTACTCGTAAAATCAATCATGGATAACGAATCAGTTTAAATCATGACGTCATCGTGAATAGTTATCTTTCGAGAAACGGAAAAATCGTTATTAACAATTAAATTGATGATTCGCAAATAACGGAACTTTCTAGATACGGCCCCTGTTTCTAAAACAATGATTGAATGCGTTGGACCATCACTGCACAGGCTACCGAGTAAAATTACCTACCACTCTCTGAATCAAAAATGGAGGTCTGTGTCCAGTATTTCCAGTTGTACCAAACAAAATATTGGACACGTTTCTATCCTCTGATAATTGTAGAATTGATTTGTTCTGGACAACTCTAGCCTAGAGTTGATCTACTATTTTTTTCAAGGCCTGTCTGCGTCGCTAACATGCTAAATATAAGAGTTAGCTGACGTTTGGGAGTCTGACTTACCTTCTAAAGGTTAGAACCCGAATCTTAATGAAACCATATCACCTTTGTTCCGTCAACCATGGAGCATTTGCCACAACATCCAAGAGGTAAATCATGGATCGAGAAAATGAATGATTTCCTTGTAAGTTCCGGAAGTTTCAATACGAAAAATTACCGAACATATGTGAAAACCGAATATTTGTTCGTTGTTTTGGTCTAAATTATAAAGCATCACCAACAGGTCTTTCTCTATTAATCGACTAATACAGCAGACGGCTCATATTTCTACAGTGCTGGTATATATTAATTGATTAGTCGTTTTATTGCCATATTTTCTTGAATTTTAACATTTAATGTCCCAAACTCACACAAACTGCAGAAAAGTATACACCATAAATCATATATACCAAAATGAGTGTCTCCAAGGCTTCACACCAGCGTATGCATAGTTCATTTGTCACGAGTTTGAGCTGAAATTTCGCCAAAATGAAGTAGGCTCAGGGTAGTCTCTGCCAGGTTTGTTTATTGTGGTAAGCTTGTAAGTGCTCAGAAGCAAATAATTCATGTGCGCAAAATAATCAAATAATCTGATTGGTTAAAACTTTGCTGCACATGCGCACAATATATGCCATGTTTTTTCTAGTGATTTCGTTTCGTTTCATGGAGTTTGCGTTTCAGTGTAACTTCCGCAAAAATGGCGGACCATGAACAGAATTAATAGGTAAAATCACTTCGTAATTTCAAGAGAACTTTTTACCTATAATAGCAAAACTTTTGTTTTATTTGTGCATTCTATCTATCAGATAAGAGTCTCAGGGGTATGTAGGCAAATTTATTTTGGTAGGAGCACTCTAGTTTAGTTTGTAAACGCACCCTTAATTATTATATATCAGCACTGTACGTAGCATTTCATTCAGACCAATAGTGGGAGTGTAGATCACGCAGTTTCGTTCGTTGCGTACTTCACTTGAAATTGGTAATTTTTAATATTAACTACTTCACTTAGCTTGGCGGATGTAGAACATTGCTTAATATTCTTTTAATTTTCACACCAGACATGCTTGGTTGACACGTCAACAAAGTAAAGTTCAAGGGTCAATGCGTTATTTCGTGATAACTACAACGCCTTCCCGGAAGTCAACATTGATGAAAAATGAAAAAGTCGGAAAAGCATTTACGCTAATTTCTATCAAATGCTATGTTTATGCATCATCATCGACGCAACAAAGGTGATATAGTTTCATTAAGATTCGGGTTCTAACCTTTAGAAGGTAAGTCAGACTCCCAAACGTCAGCTAACTCTTATATTTAGCATGTTAGCGACGCAGACAGGCCTTGAAAAAAATAGTAGGCTACAAGCTTACTCTGTTCCGCTTCCGATGCCTTTAGATTTGACTAAGAAAGTGATTCCAAAAGAAGTCTGCACGGAAACGGACAAGAATCCACCTCGTATGCAACTACCAGATGTATCTTAAACACAATATCAGTTAATAGTTGTAGAAATAGCAATATTTACCGTAGAATATTGATGTTTTTCTTCCTATTTTCAACTAGGAAGATTCAGTGTTCTTCTGACCTTGACCTTGGATTTCGTAATTTTCACAAATATAAATCTAGACTATTTCCTTATTCTAACGCATTCAATCATTACCATTAATCTAATATGTTTATTAAGGTTCTTTATACTATCATCTATATTAATACTGATTATAATGAACAAATTACCTGTCGTATTGCTAGATTCTCGTACTGTTCTCCTTCATTTGCCATTTCATTGAATTTGGCGCTCGGAAAATCTAAAACACAAACTCGGTGGCAAACATGACACGCCACGCACTAAATCCAAGTCTCGAACCCCGGGGAGCAACCACGGACTTTTAATTACCATTTGAGCCTGTCAGCGGCGAAACCAGGATCTAAAAAATAGACAAACGAGGCAAATTTAAGAGGACTCATCTCTACTAGCCGCAGAGCTGTCAAGTGTCCCGCGAATGGCGGGATTATCCCGCTAATTCGATCAAAATTAGGCTAATTCGCGTGTCCCGCAATGTCCCGCGAAGTCCCGCAAATGTGGCTTTCGACCTCCGCGAATTTCCGAAATTGTTGCAATCCCCTATATGGTGATTATCTAATCTTATATAAGAAGCTAAGTTTTTGCACTTTTGAGGAGTAAAGTTTACCTAATTTTAAGTACCTAGCATGCTGTTGTTTGGTATCAAAATAAAGAGGAAGGGTTCAACTTTCATTTTAATTACGACAATAGGGATGTAGGTCACAAATAGTTCCAACGTTGGCCTTTTTACTATCCGTGTGGCCTTCACCTCAGAACTGAGCAAATGTTAGCAAACGTGAGTTACAATAAATGGACGCTGATATCTAGAAAGGGTTTGTAGAAAAAACTGGGTACCGGGTAGTAAATCCTCCATGCTGGGTTCAAACTTGGTACCCGTTACCCGGTCAAAAAACGGGTAAGCTTACCCAAAAACAAAAAATATACGAGTATAACATAATTAGATTATCAGAAAACGTGTAAGATTTGTTTTGAATTTACAAAAATGTGTGTAACATCCTTCAAAATTGAGCTAGAAGCTTCAAATAAAAAGCATATTTTAAGGCTCTTTTCTTCCTCTATCGTCATGACCATATTTTCATTGGTTATGGGGGGGGGGAGTGCGATCGCACCATCGCACCCTCTCCTGGCTACGCCTATGACATTGTAAGACATAACAATTTAGTGGACAATTCAGTGGACATTTTGTCGACAGTTGGGATAACTTAAATTATGATTAATAATCAAAATCTTACACATTGCATCATGTAAATTAACACACGTCACCTCTCTGCTAAAGCAACGATAGCAATTTACAGATTTAAATCATTATCAAAACAATTCACGTACCAACATACGAACTATTGAAAATAGAGTAAAATTGATTTGCCTTGTTATTCAAATCGTCTTACAATGTCATTGGCGTAGCCAGGAGAGGGTGTGATGGTGCGATCGCACCCCCCCCCCCCTTCATTACCAATGGAAATATGACCATGATGATAGAGGAAGAAAAGAGGCTTAAAATGCTTTGTATTTGAAGCTTCTATCTCAATTTTGAAGGAAGTTACATACATTTTTGTAAATTCAAAACAAATCTTACACGTTTTCTAATGATCTAATTATGTTGTATATTCGTATATTTCGTTTTTTGGGTACCGGATTTTTTCGACCGGGTACCAAGTTTGAACCCAGCATTGAGGATTTACTACCCGGTACCCGGTTTTTTCTACAAACCCTATCTAGAAAAGTAACCTCATTCCCTATAATTTGATGTAGATTAATCGAAACCCTATACCATGGGCTTTCAAATGAAATAATATTTCTATGCGTATTTTGTGAAGTTATGTTGACGTTTATTTAAGTTACAATGTAACGGTGCATTATATTTGATTAATTATCAGTATCTGAAAGTTTGATTTAAGTACTTTTACACGCTTTTACATTAGTCCAAATCACGCAAATCCCTTGGATGTCCCGGGACATCCTGCAAATTTAGGTGGATGTCCCGCGAAATCCCGCAAATTTAGGGCACTTTTTCTAGAAAATCTGTCCCTCTATGAAGTTTTTGCTGGTAAACCTGTTAACTGTCCCGCAATTAGGGTGTTTGTCCCTCGAATGGTCCCGCGAAATCCCGCGAATTTGATAAAAAAAAATTGGCCTATAAGCGCAATCACGCAAATCCCTTAAATGTCCCGCGAAATCCCGCGAATTTAGAAGATGTCCCGCAAAATCCCGCGAATTTTGGGCACTGGGTCTAAAAAATCTGTCCCGCGAGAAAATCTTTGGGGGTTGACAGTACTGTAGCCGATTTTGGGGTACCGTGAATGCCGGGGGGGGGGGGGGTAAACATTTTGTATAGGAGCGTGCCGCTGATATTCGAAAATAGCCTAGGCTAGTACATGTAAGGGAACCTGGGGCAAAACGGCCCGTAAGTTAAATTTTAAGTTGTTCCGTATGGGGTATTTTCTTATCTGTCAATCATCGCGCACTTTATTAATGGGTTGTGGTTTACATTTTTCGAGTCTTTTATACTTGCCTAGGACTATCTTCGATGATTTATCAATGGTCAAAAATAATATCGGGATTGGAGCAAAACGGCCCAAGGGTGGGGCAAAACGGCCCACCCTCTGTTACTAGGGCTTTAAAACCAAGATTAATCAATTACACGACTCGTCCACAGACATCTTATCTCCGACGTTTTTACATTTGACAGCATTTTTAACCCCTACCAGTTCTACTCATTGTGTCGGAAGGAAATAAGGTATAAACCAAATGTTAAAATCTTTCAATTTCAATTTCAATTTATTAAATATATATGCATACAACAATACAAAGATGATGAAGGGAGCGAGACACCACTGAAAGTTGTATGGTGCCCCTATAACAATAAAAGATTCATATGAGTTAGCATCATGAAGATTATGAAAAGCAAGGGTCCTAAAATTGAGCCTTGGGGAAAGCCACATGATATCGTTTGTTTGTTGGATGAATTAATATTGTTATATGTCACATATTGTTTACGGTTGGATAAGTAATTTTTAAACCATTGGTGAGGAGATACTACGAATACCATAAAAATCCATTTTTGTAATAAAATGTCGTGATCTAGGGTATCGAAAGCTTTATACAGGTCTAGGAATAGTCCAATACAATGAGTTTTAGCTTCAAGAAAAGTTCTTATTTTTCAACAAAATTCAAAATGGCCATAGAAGTAGATCGATTTTTCCTAAATCCATATTGCGGTTTGTAGAGGATCTTGTATTTTTCGAGATATTTAGAAAGTCTATTATACATCAGTCTTTCAAGAAGTTTTGAAAAAATAGAGAGCAAAGATATTGGTCTGTAATTAGAAAACTGATCTTTTTTCCCTTTTTTAAAAATTGGGATAACCTTAGCAACTTTTAAAGAGTTGGGAAAGAGTCCTTTGGTAAAAGATAAGTTGAAAATGTGAGTAAGAGGGAAAACAACTGCTTCACCACATGTTTTTATGAGTTTGGGTTTAATGTCATCATCACCTGATGCAGAGTCCTTCAGCTCCTTAATAAGTTTGGAAAGTTCAAAATGAGTTACAGGTGACAAAAACATAGAGTTAACATTTCGTTTTAGTTTACTCATAAGCTCAGCAGGCGATTTATCAGCATTTCCTATCTTTTTAGCCAAGTTAGCACCGACAGAGGCAAAATCTTCATTGAAAGTATTTGAAATTTTTGTATCATCAGATATTTTCAAATTAGATATAGGACAAACAAAAGAGTCGCATAAATTAAGATTTTTCTTTTTTCTGGCTAGAATTTCATTAAGTGAGTTCCAGTTTTTTTTATATTGTTTCTAGCATTAGCTTTTTTATCAGAGTAATACAGTTTTTCAGAATGTTTTAATATTTGTTTAAATTTTTTCTTGTATAATTTATATTCTTTGAGTTTATCTGGAGCAGGATTTTTTAGATATTGTTTTAGAATGTTTTAATATTTGTTTAAATATTTTCTTGTATAATTTATATTCTTTGAGTTTATCTGGAGCAGGATTTTTTAGATATTGTTTGTACATTTTGTTTTTCTTTTTAGATGAAATTACAATACCTACAGTTATCCAGGGTTTGGAGTTGTTCTTTATCATTTTAATTGTTTTAGTTGAAATTGGAAAACTATCATTGTACTTAGTTTCGAGCAGGGTCTTGAAATTGGAGCAGGCAAGGTCTGGACTGGTGGTCTCATTTAGTACACTTTCCCAGTTGGTGTTTTCTAATGATTGTTATATTTATATATGATATCAATTATTCTTGTATAATAAGATTTTTGTATGTTATAACATGTGTGGGCCGTTTTGCCCCAGAGACATGTGCATTTTCAAATAGACGTCATTTTAATTTACCTAATATTTGAAACTCGAAATTTTGACAAATAAAGAATAAATATACTCTATGTAAAATGTTAATTCAAATTCAAAATGATATTCTATTGTTGCCGGATTTTTTAGAGATTCTCGTGGGAGGGGTAATTTGCAAAAAAAAGAGAGTGAAAAGTAGAATTACCTCTTATGTAAGGCGAGACGCTGCCAGATTAAAAAAGGGCGGTCGAAAAGGTGACGGAAATTCGATTATGTGACTTTTGAAGAACCATCCTTTTATAGTTCAAAAGATATTTCGATGGGCCACTTTGCCCCATAGGGCCGTTTTGCCCCATGTTCCCTAAGCTTACCCGCATCTAGGTTTATTTTCTCTAAAAATGTCCCTGGCTTTTTTGATAAACTTTGACATTTTTTGAGGAAAAAACTAGAACAAATAATTGAGTCAATTGACATATTGTTTATAAATTGTTTTAACAATTAGGCTAGTTCATGTAGGCTTACGGCCGTCATTTTTCTGTTATTTACAACCGAAATTTCGCTTTTTCTGATATTCTTTAGAGTTTCATTTTTTATCTACAACGCGACGTTTGAATACAAAGAAATTTCAAATGAGGGAAGATAAAGAGTAGGCCTATAAGACCAACATTTGCTGTGACCCCTTACACAAGTTTGGCAACAAGATCGATGTTTATTTCAATAAACCTTGATGTTCTTTGAGGAAAAAACTAGAACATTGACATATTGTTTTTATCGTTTTAAACAATAGTTAACGTACCCCTTAATAACATTTGAAAAAATGAAAAGGTTCCACCGTCAATATTTTCTGTTATTTAGAACTCTAATTTCGCCTTTTTCTATTTAGAATTTCATTTAT